AGAGGTTCAGAGGAACGACGTGCCGATCCAAACAGGCAAATTTCAAGGAGAGCATCTTTCTGAGTGCCAAAGGCCTGAAAGACGGGCCAATAAATTCTTCTCCAACAGGCCTCAAAGAAGCTGCCAAAGCAACATTGGAGAGGCTTCACAACAAGAATGTGAAAGTCCTTCAGCGGTCCCAAAGCCCAGATTTGGATTTCAGAGAAAATCTGTGGAATGACTTAAGGATTGAGTGATTCTTTTTATTTGAAAAAACACAACAAAAAACAACTGAGCTCATGCAGATGTTTCCAAAAGGTTTCCTTGACAGATTATTATCTCATTGTTCAGCATTTTGAAGCTGCTTCAAAGATCAATTCATAGTCCATACATGAACAAACATACTCTTTACTGTGGGTGTTAAGCACCTCTACCCCCAAAATCTGTGCTTGTTACATTTAATTTCCAGCATGAAACAGCAGAAACACACAGGCCTTGTTTGATCTGTAATACTAAATTCATTTTTCCATGTATATATTGTATCTAAACATAACGGAAAAAGTCTGATCAGCAAACACACAAATTACAACCTTTGCTTTTACATCTGCCAACTTTGGAAATGTTTGAAATGAGACTGTAATCAGATTTCCAGAGAGATAACGACAGTATTCAACTAGGTACTCGGACATAACAGTGTGAACTGTCATGATTTGTTCTGTTCATTCAGTTTGTCCTTGATTTTATTATTTGAGTGTATTTTCTTTGTGTTTTTTCTCATGTTTCTGTTCCCTTTTGTTCCTGTGATCTAGTCTTGTGAGTTTTCAGTTTGTGTTTGACCCTGTGTCCCTCCTGTTCTCAGTGTTTTATTCTTCATATCAGTTTTCAGTGTTTCCCATTTTATTTTGTACTTGTTGATTCCTTGTGTTTCTAGTCTGGTTTTTACTTCCCTAGTTTTCCCTCCTTTGCTAATTAGTTTCACCTGTGTCTCGTTTGCCTCACCTGTTGCTCGTTTCCCTGTGTGTATACAGTCCCTGTCTTCCCCTTTGTCTTGGTTGGTTCATTGTATGTCAATGTGTGTGCATGTCTGCCTTATTCCCCGTGATTTTTTATGGGTGAATCCTTCGTCTCCTGGTGTTTTTTTGCACTCAACTCGATGATCAACTCGTCAGGGCCCCCCCACAAACAAGCGGCTGCTGGAAGAGAGTAGGTGAGTTATGTTTAGTCTCTTTACTAAAGAAATTAGGCAAAGTTAAAAAGATGTTTGATGACTTGTACTATGGTCGGGACCCTATATGTCCTGTTGGTGAAGTTAGGTGCTGTTCTGAGAGACGTGGAGACGTAGACATTGTGTATTGCTATCGTGCAGTCGTTGTTAAAGTTGGTATAACTAGAGAAGCAAGCGGTCGACAACATTCATCTCTCGAGGTGGTGTCTAACTCAGTGTTAAGACGTATTTGACCATAACTTATATTTATGGTGGAATATCCTTTTTAAGTTCAGTTTTCATTTGCCATTTTGGTTGCAATCTGTTCTACCATTTTATCTACGAGTGGGTTCTACATTTCTGATACCACTATTATTGCCACCTCGCCTCTCAATTGGCTATGCAGTTGTTCGACTGCATGACAATGGACAGTTGTTTAACGAAAACTATTCCAGGTCAGAGAGACTCAAATCGTTGACCGCTAACATTCGAGGAGGATGATCTGGCAAGACAATTTTAAAACTGATCATTTGGTCTTCACTGAATTCTGCTAGTAGGGGGGTCTAAAATCAGCACAACTATCTTGTGTGTGTGTGTGCTCTGGTTTAGGCGTTGCTGGGGATAAAAGCTGTGCAAGAAGAATTGACTGATGTGAGTAAATGATTGGAAACATGACCCCAAATGAATGTTTTTCTTATTGTCCTGTACAGACGGGTTTCTCTTAAAATAGTTTGCACTTATAGTGTGTTAACGCTACTTTCGTGATATTCCAGTGGCAAAAAAAACATGTGGTATTCATGTTTAGGATGGTATTTTCATGAAAAGGTTCATTTCTGCCAGACTGAACTGACAGCACTTATTACAAATCATTACACTAAAATCAGGTTTTGTTTCCTCCATCACTCAACCCCGGATTTGTATTTTTGTGTTTAATTTCCAGAAGTAAGCAGATGCATTTTTAATGATTTTTAGGCTGAGGAACATAAAACACGGGCGAAAGGCAGAGTCTTTAAATACTTTATGAAGGCACAGTAAATACAGACTCTGTTCTTGTTTGTTTATTTCAGAGCCTCGCAGCCAAAAACAAGAATTGATTAATTACCAGCTCATCTTTTTCTGTTAACTCTCTGCAGCTCTGTTTTTCCCCCTCATAATCTGATCGTGTCTGCCTAACATATCCCATCTCATTTCTTTTTACCACATAATCTAAAACCTTCTTTGAGACAGACTTCGATTCTCTTATCAATCTGATTCCCCAAAACACACCCTGGAAATAAGCCAAATAAACAGATGTATTCATAATAATGAAAATCAATTTAGCAGCACAAAGCAAAAGCACCTGGAGAGACTTCATACACCTGGCCTTCCTCACAGAGCTCTGATTTTTATTCTTTTCCCACAGGGGCCCTTGGTGAAAATCATTTCAAATTTGCAATCTAAATGTTATTTTTCAGGCCTGTTTTGAGGGCTTTACAGGTTCATCCTGCCGAATACTTATAATTAACTATCCCTCTGCAACTTTGGGCATCTGTAAAAATCAGCTTTGAATGCCATTCCTCTTTAATGAATTCAGAGTTTTATTTTATGTGTCTGCCATCAAGGTTCAAACTCTCGTATTGTTTTGGAGGCAGCAGGATGAAGTTTTAGAGCTGAGTGTGCCACAGGGGACCGGAAACTTTTTCATCCACCTGCTACAGCGCCTTGTGTTTTAACATGCAGCAGTTATTTACGCTGTTGTAAGCAATATTTTTGTGTAAAAATGCACCTGTGCTACTGCCTAAACCTTCAGGAAAGGCTGCGGATACAGAAAAACATCACCAGTCTCAATGTGTCTCTGAAGATAGGAGTAAGAGAGGAAAATAAACCAAAGTTGATGATTTCATTCAGCTGCACAACAATCAAATAATAGAGTTACTGCTTGCAGAAAACACTTGCATCAGGCTCCGTGCAAAAACAACTTTTAATTCCTTTTGTCATAGATGCTGTTTGATTGAATTGGCTCCTCCTGTGGTGATGCAACGACAGGAGTGATTTGCATGTAAATCCACTGCCCCCTTTCCACTCTTCAAGGGATTCTGCTTTCCTCTATGCTGTTGTTGTTTCGCAAAGTCAAGATGCCAAAGATCAGAGCCAGTCGTCCCCAAAGACCAAAACAAATGTCTGTATTCTGTCCCAGCACCAAAAGACCAAACAAAACAGATTTTTTAAATTATTATTCTAAACTACAAGCAGGTTACAGCTGGTGCTAATTTACGACTGCATCTCTACTGGTCTGCATCCTCCACTCAGACCACATTCTAGCTCCAAGTCAGTACAGTAATTTATGACATAATATTCATGTCGACTCAGATCACTAAATTAATGTTAAGCTTAAAGACTAAGAGGCTACAGAAGTTCTACAAAAGCTGCATTTCTCTTTTTTGCGATTGAAATCAAAACCTGAAAAGACAAGATGTCGTAAGAGATGAAGAAACCATTCAACCTTCAACTTTCATATACTGTATGTGTGAACTAATTTGTTGCTTAGATGTTCTTCTTAGGGTGCTTTGAAACCCGAATTGTTTTCTTCCCTTAAATGGTTCGTTTGGACATGTGTGAACACAGCAATCCATGAGAGTTAAGGTCCTTACACACCGGGACCAACGCAAATATACGACGCGAAATTATGAAATATTCAGAGGCGAATTTTGACGCGCCTGACCATACACATACACATCAAGCCTGTACATATTTGCAGTTTGAATGATATCAATCCAACAGCTGCTTGACTCAAAACGATACTAGTCTTATGCAGTTGGGCAATTTCATTCACAGCTAATAGTTAGCATCATAATCTGATAAGACTCTTTAATCAGAAGATAATTTGGACACATTGATCCAAATCCAAATCCAGGTCATACAAAGAAGAATCAAACAGCCAGGGGTTCGTTGTTACGTCACACAACAAAATCAGAACATATGTTTAGGGTTCTCACTGCCTTTCTGATGTTAGATTTATTAATTAGTTTATCTATTGGTCTTGTAATGTTCAACTTTTTTTTTAAGAAGAGCAATAAAATAAGGTCCCTGTGCCCAAAATTTGTGTTTTTAAATTTCTTTCTTTCCATAAGGGTAAATTCAATACATAAAAAAGTTAATATCTGACTATATTAATGTCTCATTTGAATTTCACTATAATTAGCAAGCTTATACTCACACTAATATCAGGATCAGAACAATGCAAATGCTCTATAGGTGTGAAAACAACTTCACCTATTTGATTCTAAATACAAATAATTCTGACAATTATTTGTTTTCCAGCTCTCATACTGTCATCTGATCCATTTCATCCTCAGTACAAAGCCTGACTGACTCACATGAGAGAAACACGAGAGAAATCCACCAGGATCCCCCTCCTAAAACTGAAAAATTGTTAGTGAGCGTGAGTAGCTTTGGAGATGATGGATGCTCGGCTTTAATTTAAAACAACTAATCACTTACTCACTGACATTTCCCCCATCAAAAGGCTTTTAAGGTCTCAGTGAGATCATTTTCCTTTTCAGGAAATTTTGTCATATCATGCAAGATCATTTTAAGCATCACTGGTGCATCATTTCAGGAAATTCAGGAAAGCTCATCTTCAGTAATTATATTATCCTCACAGCTAACAGGCTTCCCAAGTGTCAGCGAGCAGCGCTGAGTATCGTGCGTCATCAGCGAGTTCATTAGCTTATTAGCAAACACACAAGCCCAGTGAGGAATGCTGATAAGCTTTCGCCTTACCCAAAAGACATGAGGCTGATAGTAGTTTCCTAAACGATGTGACAAATGTAAGGCGAGGGAAAAATGATAGACAAAAATTCAAAATGTCAAGGCATCCATTTAACAGCCATTTGTGCTGGCAGCAAGTTAATCTGACACATTGTTGAAAAATCAATAGAGAGCTGGAAACTGTTAGGATAAACTGTTGGCAGATGACATCCACCACTGTGAAAGCGTGAAATCCACATTGGTTTCAGGACGTCCAGGAACAGTCAGAGGAAGGAGGTGGGCGGCTCGGCTCAGGGGGTTTGAACAATTGTATCTGTTATAATCTGATACACTGTCCTGCTCATACATAAAGTGACAACATATTCACATACCAGCAAATCACCACAGCTCTGACACATGCATTTGAACTCTCCTTTTCACACCCTGATCCCAGGAGATCCTTATCGACTACACAAACACATCCAGGCCACACCAGATTTTTTTTTTTTTTTAACATACCGGGTGTTGAAACCATCTCGTACAACAGCAGGCTGAAATGTCAAGAGGGCCACTGGGGTTTACAGAGTTCTTGATGGATTATAAGTCATCTAGTTCCTCTTACAGCAACAAACAATGGGCTCAGCAGAGGGCTTGGCGAAGAGAGGAGAAAGAAAGACACCAGACCCAGTGGACATGAAAGATAGTTTGTTTTTGTTGCTCTTGGTCCAGGTCCAGAGCGCTGTGCAGTAAGTGGCAAAGCGATTCCCGTATGAGACCTTTATAAATTCTTCGCAGAATCAGGAGGGAGGGGTGTAAGAAAATAAAACCACTTAAGGACATTCACTCAGGAACGGTGTGTTGGCAAGTTTGAGATAAACAACGAAAAAACAGGGTCTGATCATGGATTCATGTATGAGTCCTTCTAAAAACATGGTATCAGTGTTTGTGAACAAAAGAGTATCTTAAAGCTCCTATGAGGACATTTTTTTATTTCATGCCATGGGTAAAATTTATATAGAAGTCTTTTCAGGATATCCAAAAGCAAACAAGACCATCAAGGACAAGATTAGTGGGTTTTGAATAGTCATTTTTAATGCCTGAAACTGGCGCTACATGGTAAGTGCAGCTGACTATAAAAGGCTTGTTTATACAATTTTCATATTAAACATTTAAAATAAATGCCAATAATTTTTTTTGGCAGCAGTCTCTACTTAAAGGTGGAGTAGGCAGGAATCTGTTAAAGAAGCATTTTAATTTTGTGGTGTATATACAAAAAAGCTTTTAATATCAGTCAATAGCTATTAGTCATTGATGACGTTTGGTAAATTAACAATATCACTGTGTTTGGTTATGTCCGTGCAGTCAACATTTTAAATTTTTGAGTGGCCCGCTCTTTCTGACTGTAAACAAAGCCATTCTCGTCTCCCCCAACCTGATTGGTTGTGAGGCAGATGCTGCTCCCCCATGTCGTTCAGGAGCCCAAACAAAGTTAGCATGCTACAATATCGGACAGTAGAAACCAACCAGAAAGTACCGAAAATTGTCTGAATCCTCCTTTGGCCACGACTGCCAACACAAGCAAGAAAACAAAGTTAATACTCGAGACTCTGGCGGAATAACAGGCGCTTAAAACTGAGGTAGACCAGACAAGTGCTAAAAAGCCAGGTCAACAATGATGGGGGACGCTTTGGGATCTTACGCACCCCGTAACCTTTCTGCTGGACAGGTAAACTGCTTTAACAAAGTAAGGCAAGTGTAATAGAAGTGTTTCTTGTCAGTTGGGACCTGCTGTGTGTTGTAGCGCCGCTAAACTGTTGACCTCGGGTCCTGGAGTATGTCACTTTATCCTAGTTGTAGAAGTCCTGCAAACATTGTGTTTGCTGGTAGCCTGTTGGCATCTACAGTAGCACTAATGCTTTTTACTTTCACGTTGACTGGGCCCCATTTGTAATTATCTGAAGTATTTTTCTGCATTATATCTGAATTTAATGGAAACGATACAAGCAAGCAGGAGCGTCTGTTTGTGGGCGGGGCTTGCTGGAGCAGAGAGGGAGGAGCTGAGGGGAAAACTGGTTAGGAGGGGTAGAGTTTACATTCAAGATTTCTCCCAAAAACTGGTACTTCCTCAGATCCTGACTACCCCACCTTTAAGCAGAGAAGTCTCTACTTCTCTGGAGCGAAAACTGACAAAAGTTCCTTACTGGAGCTTTAAAAACATATTCATCCTTCCTTATCTACAGACGCTAATATCATTAGTCCTGCGTTGTGTGGCTGAGTGGGTCATTTGGTCAGCATGATGTGCAGAGGATAAAAATATGAGACTTCAACTAGGACTGAAGGTTGACATTTGGCTTAACTCATTCAGCACAAACAAAACTTTTATTGCAGCCTTCCTTCAGAAAAATCTGTTTCCAACCTTTAGTCTTCTTCAAAAATGTCCTTACTTTCACCAATTAGTTGATGTCTATCTTTGACTTTTATTACACCTTTCCCAATAAGACACCGCCAGGTCCTTTTTGAAGTAAAATAATTGCCAACTTTGAAACAGCTAAATCAGAACAATGAGCCTTAATCTGGGATTAACTACTTTTCTTCATCTTCTTAATTAAGAAATTGGCTGGTGTAGATAAACACTAATTCTTAACAATTTCCCTGTCCTGTGTGACTTCAAAAATCATTGCTTGGAAGCCAATAATTTCTGTCAAATCTGTCACAGCAGACAGAAACCACACTTTCAGAAGGACTTCAAAGATGGAGTCAGTCATAGAGGCCCTCAGCCGCCTGCCTGTGCTGCCCTCTGGTGGCATTATATGATATTACTTAGGCTCCAATGCACCCTCACCAAACAGCCACAGAATTTGAACCTCGGGAACCTTTTGTAATGCGTAACAGTTCAATATTTACCTTCCTCTGATTCAATAGGAAAGAAACTATCCATAAAAGTAAGCTTGGGATCCCAGCTGTCATTAGGTAAGACAGGTACACTTTGAACTATCTGCCAGTCAATACCACGGCTGACATAGAGACAAGCAACCAATCACAGTCCGAGTCAAACCTACAAGCACTTCAGAGTCACCAGTGAACCCTAAAGAGCGTGTCTTTGGACAGCGACAGGAAACCCACATATGTACAAGACATAGGCCCCCTAACACAATGTAAACCACTGCATCACTACACAGCCAAAAAGTGGGAACAATTAGTGCAAATAAAATTCCAAACTTCTTTTGAAACCGCCAAACCCAGCATCAAACCTGGTCAGTTACTTTAGTTTTCCCTCTATGAGAATGACTCCATATTGAGCACCAACAAAAACTGTTACACAATGTTCTTTATTCCTGTTTCCTAGAAGAACTTTGGAGGAACACTAATAGGGCAAATTTTAAATGTTTACACCCCTAAAACCTTAAGAAACCTAAAAAGCCAGATTGAATGACAACACAAGTTTACCCTCTGAGTTTCTGAGGTGTGTTGAAGTAAAAAGCTGTCTTCTGACGGATTTCTTTGTGGTCGTACTGGGCATACTTGTGTGTTTGTTTATGTTCTGTGATTATGAGTCCAGCAGCAGCAGCAGTGAAGGACACATCTCCATGACCTGTGTACCTTTCCCCTCTGTCTGATTTTATAAATAGCTTTCAGTGTTTTAACTGTTTTTGTGTTTCTCACTTTCAGATATATTTACCATTTTGTTTAGGGAAGGTGGAAGAGAAACACAAAAACAGACAGATGACTATATGAAAGATAAGAATTGAGAGGAAAAGTGGAAAATTTTAATATGGTAAATCCTCAGTTCGTGCTGACAACCCACACCTGATTTACACATTTTATGACCACAGGAAACTTTCTCATTATGGCAGATTACAATTTAATGGGCGCAGTTCTGTGACTTTTCAGAAAGTTTCTCTAAAAGCAGAGGAAGAATTAATTTGTGAAGTTGTGTTGTTTAGATGTTAAGTTCTTGAAAGTAACAGGATTTACTGAAATAACCTTCTTCTAGGTGGTGGGCTGGATATTGCTGAATAAACTGTAGATGTTCTTTGCATGTGCAGCTATTGTTTGATTATTGAATAGTCTCAGTTTTCATGCCCGCTATGACTAAATTTTGCATCATTAACTGTGTCACACTGATTCAAAGCTGTCATTCAGAGCTTTGTCTCACACATGCTGTTATACGTCAACCTATTTGTCTGATCTTAGCTTTTATTTTGAAAGGTCACAGTCCATGAAAGTAGTTAAAATATATTTTAGCATGTCGTTTCATTTCTATCTATTTGTTTCTTGATATCTCTAATTTCCGTCCTCTGTCACAGCCAAGCTCAAGGCTGCATAAACAACCAGCTGGCTGTTGCTAAAAATAACCTTATTTGATATCAGTAAAACAGAAAGGAACCAAAGACAGTTTAACAGTGTGAGGAGCTGACTGCCAATGAATTTTATAGTTGTGCACGACCACGGAGAATATGACCGAACTCCCCAGATGCCCCAACTTTCTTAACCCTTTATTGCCTTTTGTATCATATTTGATACATACTTAAATGATTCTTCTATCAAATCAATATGATCAACAAATTACTAAAAAACACCTGAATACAGTCCGATAAATGATAAAAATGTCCTCTTGTGGTTCATCAGTTTCCAAAAACATCTAATGTATCAAACAAGATAAATAGATATATTTAATAAATTTTAAGGACATTTTGATTTTTTTGTTTTTAGGTTATCGCGTCTTTTCTGTCCTGTGTATTTGAGGTTGTTCTTAAAGGAGACAGGATTAAGCCCCACTTAGGTTCAACCCATTGCTGCATTAGAATTATTGATATATATAAGTCGCAAATGCTTTTCTATCAATTTGGAGTCAGGACTAACCTTCTGAGGTATCAGGGGAGTATTTTGACAGTTTTATTCATATTTTCACCCAAGAAATAATCTGAACACTTATTAACTTCTGATCCACCAAAAAAATAACAAAAAGAAAAATACATTGTGGGTCAATTTTAAAGCCTGTTATTCATTGAAAACATTTATTACATTTTTATGATGCAAACAACAGCGAGTCCCACCCTTGTTGGAACAGCTCATCACATAGTCATGAGGGAATGAAATAGACACAAAGGGACAGGGACAGAAAAATGTGTATTAAGCACAATTCCGTTTTTTTCTTAATAAAAAAAAACCAAAAAAACATGATAATCAGCTCCTATTGTAAATTTTGGCATCTTTCCCCTCCTGTTGTTCTCTCTGGAGTATCGGTCATCAAAAATCAAAAGAACAAGGCATGCATAATAGTTTCTGGTAATGCACATAGACGAAAGGATACCAATTCATACAAAATCCATGTACGATGTTCATGTACATTTCATATATATATGGTCCCTTTCTTCGAGGAGTCTCGGGCCTATCTACCTGTTCCCACTAAGAGACTGTGTCTTCTGTTATCTATGCTTGGTCACTAGATTAACCCTGTAAAAAGGTCTGCGCTGGAAAACCTTATAATGATAACTAGATATTACAACCATCTGTTTACTCCTCCCTCCGTCTCTTACTGCATGTTATTATCAAGCTATTTATCCCAAAGTTCAATTTATTTAAATAGTTTTCTTTTGTATCGACTGACACATGAGCCATCTGCACAATTTCAAACATTTCCTGGGTTATAGCCTTTATTATTTTCTTTTTAAAAAAATCGTATCCCATCCTTTATACTACCACCCCATGCTTATCTTTTAAAAGGAGAGCCCACAGATCAATTGGAACCATTCAATGTAAATGTGCCCATAAGATAGAAAAGTCTGGAACAAAAGTATTTTAACTTCAAGGTCACCCTAAAAGAACTGATCCAATTTCTGATACACTAAGTTAAATGCACTGGTCCATTTTAATAAATCAGTGAAACAGCCATGCATCTATAGTGGAGGCTGTATACGTGGCCACACATTTTATTTATTGAAATGTAAAAAAAAAAAAAAAAAAAAAAAGAAAACAGGACAAACCAAAACGTGTTGATTAAATACAACGTTGAATGAATGTCTTTACTGTTAAAAAAAGTGTACTGCAATGTATACAACTATGCTGCTCTCTCTCTCGCTGCTCAAAATGAGTTAAAGAGGGGACAGAGGCATCAGGATTGTTGATATACCAATGGAATCATATACAGATTTACAGTTATAATGCATCTATCGTCACACTCAACTGATGGCAGGATGGGAAGGGGGGCGAGGGCGGCGAATGACAGACACAATATAGAAAAGACTCATCCGTTTGAATTTGAACACCCCTTTGCGGAGGAACCAATGCTATGTTACTCTCTTAGAAAAAGACGGAGATGGACATGAGTGTGCGCGTGTGCTCATACAGGTATGATTTCTGTAAGTGCGGAACCAAATGTTCGACCAATAAAAGTCTATTGGGATCAAGTTGTACTGGTTTCTCTGAAGGTGGAGGCAGACTTGTTTACCAAACATGGGGCTGAGTAAGATGGTACTGGTGGCAACGATGGGCGTCTTGAGTGGTTGGGTTTTAGCGCCCCCTTGATGGTGGTGGTGTCGTCGATGTATTACGGGGCTCGGCTGCTTTAATCGATGTACTGGGAGAGCCAGCGGAAGCCGTCGCCGTAGCCCTGCCTCTTCAGCACACTGCACATGAACACCTCCAGTGGTCTCGTGTTCAGCTCCTTCATAGCGATGTTGCCCTGTGAGGAAAAATGAGAAACTAAGTCACACTGCAGTTTCTTCTTGTTCTCTTAAAAAAAAAAAAACTAAAAAAACTGCAATAACTTCAGGGTTCCTACTAGAGCATGACACGGGAGCGGATTTTCACTCCTGTCCCGTCCCACTCCCAGAGAAAAAAATCCTGTCCCGTCCCAATCCCGGACCAGAGTAAAAAAATCAATCCTGTCCTCCCCCACTCCCATAGAATGACTCCCACTCCCATCCCTCCTCCACTCAAAATTACTCCCACTCCTGTCCCGCTCCAAACATGTTGAAAAAAACGTTGCATTTTTTTATTTTAAGGAAAAGTGCAGTGCATAATATGCATAAATAAATTAAAAATTTTAGGTAAAAGTGGCAGCCGAGTCGGAGCGGCAGTCGCTCCTGGCAACACCTGCAGTCGCTCCGAGTCGCTTTTCACTTCCGGTGGTGACAGGAAGTCAAACCACTGTTGTAGTTCTTTTGTGTTGGCTCTCACTGAGAGATGACTACAAAAATGGACGCATCTGTTCGTCTGGTTGTTTAACACGGCTGAAAATGATCATCTATTAATGTTGTTCTCACTCCTGCCCGCTCCCATTGCTTTTTTCCCGTCCCGACCAGATCACAGGATTAATTAAAAAATGACTCCCATCCCGTGGGATTCCCGCAGGAATCACGTGACCCACGGGAATTCTCGAAAAATCTCATCCTCTAGTTCCTACACAGATGGAATTTCCATACTTTTCCATACCCTACTTTTTAGACCAATTTTTGGAAATACCTACTTTTCTATTTTAGAAAACAGTATTTTAGAACTGTGGTAATAGTCTGGATACTTCATTTTTCATTTTCCATGGAAATTGATCACACTTATTTCCATACTTGGGTAGAAACCCTGTAACTTTGAGTGTTTTTCAGCCAACTACAGTGTGATCGGTGTGATTATAGTCAGAGCAGGAGTTTTACTTAAATATTAACTAGATGTTATATAAAAAAAAGAAAAACACTCTGTCTCTCCGTCCCTGACTCCATCTCTCTCTGCAGAGCTCTGTCAAAATGCTAACAGCCACAACTACAGCTAGCACAAAATCTTTGCTCTTGTTATTACAAAGAAAGGGATCTATTTAACGTGTAAATATGTAAGAGAGAGTATTAGTTCAACTCTTGCAGGAAAATACTGTCCACCAGCAAACTTTAATCTAATCTTTACCACGTTATAAAGGTAATACTGACCCCTAATAGTCTTGTGAATCATGCCTGTAGTCACTTAAACCTACTTTGACAAGAGTTTTTTATGTCAGTGCACTATGGTGAGGCTTCTTAATGGATCTCCAGGCTTTTATTTGCCAACAATTGAAACCGATATCTTTAATTTGGAAGAAATGCCCGACTTAGGACTCTTAGGATCAGGTGTCGGAAAAAGTGCAGCGTGTTCGGAGTGCGATGAAGGTGAGGTGTCTACTCACTTTGCCTGTCGTCTGTCCATACAATCCAAACAATTCCCTCAATCGCTCCTCACTAATGGCGTCGTTTCTGTCGATCTTGTTGCCCAGGATCAGGATAGGCACATTTCCAATGGTCTCATCTGTCATTAATGCCTGAGAGGGGAGAAAAGTTATTACAATGTGGCTTTTGCAGGTGTACTCATGATAATAAGGAAAATTCTACACTCACACTCTTCTTTGTTACATTTAAAATGCATAATATTTTAACCTATCTTGGATTAATTTATAGCTATTCAACTCAGCTATTAACTAATTTTCCTGCTTTCCCCAGATCTGTTTTCATTTCAAATTAGCCTCTAACTAAACATAGAGAAAACATCTGCCTGTGCTGCCTTTACTTCTGCTTATCGAGATGTCATTTTTAGGGCTATCCCCTGACTTATTTTCCCAAAATCTGTTAATTCGAAAGGGTTATGCCAGTTAATGTGAGGCATGTATTTATCTAATATTTTCAAGTATTTGAATCAAGTATGTCAAATGCTACGGCATCAATTTTCACTCTAAAATTAACCTGAAGACGCCACAACTCAACATTGAGCATCGACACAAGAGACAGAAATCTTGGTCACAGACTTTGAGAATTTGGTGAAAACAATTTATTAACTAACCTACTACAACTACTTCAACATTGGACATACAGTAAACAAAACACAACAAAGCATTTATATGTAGTGCATCTTTTTTTCCAATGTTTTTAGGCTCTTAATACAAAATAACTGTTTCACCTCGCTAAATCAGAGGGCATGTAGCAGGTACTTACATCAAGCTCTGCTTTAGATTCAGCCAACCTGATGTGGTCTGCACAGTCCACAAGGAAGACAATGCCGTTAATGGCAGGGAGGTAGTTTTTCCACACTCTGCGGGCTGTGTGGAAAAAAACAAACAAATAAAACAAACAAATAAAACAAACACTTGAGTTTTACAGTCCTGTCTTTCTTTTACTGTGAGACAAATTTTACTGTGACCTATCCTACTACCTTTTTGTCAGCACTCGTACAGAACAGAGGTTTCTCAGAGCACTGCACAAATGCCTTATGTTGATAATGCATGTTGCTTGATGGAAACTGGCTAATAAAAGTACTTTTAAATCACACACCTTGTGCGTGGCCTCCAAGGTCAAAGGTGGTAAAAGTCATGCCAGCAATCGTCAGCTCTTCCGAAGCTGCAAAAAGACAACAGAAACAAACGTCAGATAGTTAATAAAACACAAAAGAAAAATCATTACTTTCACATGTGCAGCATCAACATGATAAGCCCAATAACAAATGATGTATGAACCAGAATATTTAACACTGTTTTGAGTGCACTCCCAGCTTGCACCCATTCAGGAGTAGTTCAATCGCATGGAAAACACAAAAGCCTGTGAATAATTTGGTCGATGTGTTTTCGCATGGATGGCTTTTAACACCTAACTGAATGTGTGTGGGAGTGCGGCGACAACTCACTTGGATGTAAAGTTGGCACATGCTGTCCCAATCTGTCATCTTTGAGCATGTGCAGTAGCGTCGTTTTGCCAGCATTGTCCAGGCCAAGAAATACTAACTTGCCGCTTTTCTTGTACAGTCCTGAAAAGAGGCCAAAAGGTATTTTAGGATACAAGAAATCGCCATTTTTCATGTTGCCTGTTGCATGAGCCTGGTGTTTTACATTTAAAAAGAAAAGACTACATTTAAACTTGGGTATCAGTCAGGTGACACTTGAGAAATGAATTTAGAGTTTGAGATGAAAGTACAGAGCTGACACTTGGCAGAGGGGTTGCCAAGCTCAGACTTGTTCAGGCTGAGAACCTGATGTGGAAATTATGCAAAAATATTTTCTCTGACTGAAATCAGAAGTCTGTTTTTTGCCGTTCTCTGATGTCGACTTAGTATCAGTATAAAGGTTTAAAAAAAATGACTCAAGTTACAACAAGCCCTCATGTAGGTAAAGATGATTGTAATTCTGCTGAGGAATAGTCATGATGATAACTTACACCCATGCTAAGAGCCCTGCTTCAAAGACAACCTAACAAGATTTTACTTTCATCATCGGCAGCTGCGTAGGATAAGAATGATGACTAACAGAACAAAGAGGACAGAAGGTGTAAATAAGGCTCCCTTTTTCCTTGGAGCTTGTGACGGGATTACCAGTCTTTGTGATTACCTCTCTCTGAGTCAGCATGGTGATACCCAATGTATATGTGACTCCTTTTTTTTTTTTTTCTCTGAGTCAGCTCTAACAGACGTCACCGTAACTCACAACAGCACAAAGCTACCTGTCCGACAGGGAGAACAGGACCGACTACTTTACAGGAGGGGCTCTGACACAGAAACTAGTACAGCATACCTCTGGGAGAGGAGCAGCTGGTACACTTAACAAGATTTTCCACCAGATATCAGCTGGATACAAGAAGCTGGGGTCTATAATAGTGGTCAATTTCTGTAAGAGACATGTCCTTTGTTTACAGATGAAAGTTCAGCGTTGCAGGAGCAGGAATAATACAAACAGTCTGATCACCTCTGGTTAAAGTAGCATTAGGTAGGAGGTGGTTTAGGTTTTAAAAAAATGAGAAGAATGAAAGCACTGCAGTCATTTTTATCCTCAGACCCAAAAATGACAATTTAGTGACCAAAATAAGAAGGTGAAAAATAACATAATACATGCTACTGAGCGCATGCTTTCAGCCAAAACGCCTCACAAAAACCAAAGAAGCACCTGATGTCCCAACAGGAATCAACTCTGTAATCCAGCTTGTGTTGGTGCTCAATCCAGGGTTAGCTGATTTAATTTGTTTCCTACAAATTGGACCACTTGAGAGGACTAGAGCTAGAACTGTGAGGGTCACTCGTTTTTGCTTAAAAGAGGGAATAAGTATTTTGAGAGTTGCTTTCTGAACTGTCATGTTATTTGTGCTTCAGATTAAAGTCAGCAGAGCTCATCATACGGCACCACTTCAACAGAAACTCTGCTTCTTCTTATTTGCCTCTACGACGACAGGGATGGCGGGAACAAAGCCGACACTTGTGAGGCTAAGAGGGGACTTTGTAAGACCCACTTTCCACTTTAGGACTCGTAGACTGAGGTAAAACACTGACCTGTCGCTGTAGTGACCACAGAAGGAAGACGTGAGACTCACACTCTTATCTTAAATCAATAGTTTTGTGGTTATACGCTCTGACGCCACTGTTTAAACTCCAATACTTAAGCATTACAAATTGGTTTTGGCATTCTGAAAACACATTGAATACAGAATTACAATTCCTTGGAGTGTGGGATCACTGATACTCACCTAAAAACTGTAGCACGGTATTGAAACTATTAAAAACCCAGTCAAAAAAGAATGACATATCCGGAGCTGTTGGGTCCTGGAAAAACACACAAAAACAAAAGAGTGGAGTTAGTTTGTTCACAACATCCATCGTTGTTAAGAAGAATCAGTATGACTGTGTCCATAGGTTTTTATTTTACTAATGTATGACTGTATCACTCATATTATCCACAGCTTTCTTTTCTTTTTGATGAATGTAGATGGAGAATGATTTTAGAAACTTGAACGAGAGCACCCAGACAGTATCTGATATCCCCAACATGAACAGAATACTAAAGAGATTTTTTCCCCTCCATAGCTGCTAAAATAGCACCACTGTATAATCTCTGTGGAAATCCTCACACAAGACTGCAGGTTTTTGATGTTTTCATTATGCTTCACATGCTAAACTGACACAAGACAGAAAGCAGATGAAACATGGAATATTTAACTTATGTAATAATACTGAGCTTTAGCCACCCAACCTTAAGAAGACAGTGAGATGGGGGATAAATGACAAATTCCTGTTCAGATTTGATGACGTTTAGTTCTTTGGATAAATCCACAGTTTGAACGTTCACATCCAAATGTCTGTATATTGTTGGATTTAATCGTTTAATATTCATTTATATTGCGTGGCAAGCTCACTCAGAGTAGTGTCGCTCAAGACTAATTAATCAAGTATTTCTCACTGACAGTGCAATCAATAGAAACCAGCCAGCATGACCCACCACAAACACGATACAAGTGACAGCACTGAGCTCTAAGAAGATGCAGACCGCCTCAATCTGCCTGAGTCAATCTTTCTGAAGATAAGAATGACGACTGGCACTCTTCAGCCTATGATAAGCTTGTTTCAATAGGAGTCTGGACAGCAGCACTGGAGATTCAGAGCTCTGATCACACGACGGCTTACAGCTCCTCAACAACCCATCAGCAAGGGGCCTTAGAAATACAGACGAGTTTTAGCCTTTTAGGAGAAACTCGGCAGATTGTGTTTCAATTAAAATAAAAACCAATCCAGGGTAGGACCCGCTTATTATGTCGAACATCAAACAGTTTTGTCACATAACACATGCAGCAGATTCTGGTTCACACAAGCTTCTTTTCTCGTCTTTTTAGAGACCTGTGATCTGCAGTTTCAGCTACAGGAGTGAATATGAAAATCTGTGAAAGGAAGATGAGAAAAACACAAACTTCCACTTTCAGTTGTCTAAATGATTTTATAACCTATATAAAAGAGGTTGTAAGTCATATTACAATATTACACAGCAGCTCTGTTTTCCTTACTGTTTCACTGTTTCTGTAAAATTCGCAGAGGAATCAGTGGAGGGTGCAAGCGCTGACCTCTAGCCTTATTACGCAACATGCAAACAACACTGGGGCTAAAGTATATGGTAGGTATAAAGTTCAAGATCACGCAAATACAGCTGAACTACACGTCAGCTGTTGCTACACTCTAATCACACACGCTCACACGCCCGCCTGGCTTTCTGCTACGACACCGAGAGCCGGTGCTGCAGACTGATGCTCCCACATGTGGCGTGATGCAGCTGCGAGTGTGAAAGAGTTTGACAGTAACTGAAAGCGACTACGGGCAAATACGGGTTTACATAATACCAGTATAGACATGTGTGACAGAACTGTTTATTATTAAGGTGAGATATTTGAAGGCGGAAAGGAGGGGTTCATCTAGAAATGCAAGCAAAGAGAAACTAAATGTGACATCTGTTATCAGTTAAATGTCTCATACCAGAAAGATTAATCGTTTAAGTTTATGCTGAATTTGAATTTGGGATTAAAAAAGTATCTATCTATCTATCTATCTATCTATCTATCTATCTATCTATCTATCTATAAGGACTGTATATAAAGGACTAGGACTGTCTATACTCATGGTGAAAAATAACATTTTGAGAGTTTGCTAGCTTTATTCTACAGTCTAAAATGTAATAAACTAACTTTATGACTACTAGACTAATACAAACTTTTTCCAAACTGGCTTAAAATCAACTTTTCTTGTTTCTTGTAATGACATTTTGAAGCAGACATGCATACAGACTTTGTATTTACAACATTTTGCAGGCTACTGAGTTGATTTACTTGTATTAAGGGATCTTGATGATTCGTTGGATGATCATTATCACTATTTCTGGAGTTGTAAAAACCTAAAATAGGCTGAATTCACCTCATAACTTTGGGAAAACATCATATCGGGGTTAACAACCTATTGCTTTGTTTTTTAAGTTCTGAAAAAATTAGCGGTCTAGCTATTATGTCAGGTTAAAATTAAATAATAAGCAGGATCGTAAAAGTAAATTTGATTGTCCTTACTCAAATATTTTAAGTGGAAATATCAGGAAAACAAACATAAAGTACCTCTTGGTGGGAAGCCTTGGGTTGTTGTCATGTCAAAACAAGATAAATAAGTCAAGATCTCGTAAAAACAGTTGAAGTTAGTAAATCTAAAGTAACGTTTGCTTAATAGAGTACATTATATCCCTCTTTTAGATACGTGTCCACATCCTTTTCTTGTTCGTGCTTATTTTAATTACATTTGTGTACTTTAAAGTCCATATCTGTCATGAAAACAGTTTAGTCTCTATTAATCAAATTTTCGACAAGCTTTGAGTCAGATGTTGTAAATAAACGTCCTTTCTTTTGAGGTAAATAAAAGTATTATATAGAGTTTAGATGGTGGTTCTGGTCTCGTTTTCACAGCCGCTGTCAACGTAGCAGCCAAGTTAGCTAACCTTTACCTTTAAGGGCTAATGGTTTGCCTTTGACAGTATTCACTACGACAATTAAGATTCATTTTAGCCCGAATATCAGTGTAACATCGGGTCAAACACACTTTAAGTGGTGATACTGAGCTTTGGTGAGGCTGGCGAGTGCGCTGCTGGTCGGAAGAACTAGCTACGTGTCATCTCCTCTAACAGGCTACGTTGCATCAACCGGCTAAAGCAGTTAGCCACAAAAATGACTGACCGATGGACTGATAGCAGAAAAATACTGGAGACTGGGTTAGTAAATTGATTCCAACAATGACTGTCAATCTCTAATATAGACATTACAGCTGGTTTAGTTAAAATCCAGATCGAGTCGCTTTTATAACAGCCAAGTTAGCCAACTTGGTGTTAGCAATGCTAATGTAGCATCGCCAGGAGCCGGGATGCCGAACATTCACATTTTCAGATCATTTGTGAGGACAAATATCTCATAACACTTACCCGTTGTTCAGGTGGAGATTATTTAACCAAATGTGTGAACTCTAATGGTCATGAAATTGGTCCTTTTAGTCGAAAAAAACAGAGAGGCTGCGAAACGCCAGGTCCTCTTCTTCTTCTTCTTCTTCTCCTTTATCGTGTTTTGTTACTGAGCCACGACTCTGCAATGGCTGTCCAGAAACTCCCCAAACTCTGCCCTACCGCTTCCTCTTTATGTTTCTCACTCATCTGTCCGGCTGGAGAACTGCTACAGAGCCACAGTCTGTAGTTTGTCTCATCCTGTAGTTTCCAAATATACTTAAACACACACAAGGAAAAATAAGAAAAGTCTATGTGAAGAGATTTTTACCATCTGGAGAAGTTTTTTTAAGCTTTAAATATAGTTTTTCTTTTTAATTTCCCTTTGTTTTATACATTTTTTTACTTTTCATTTCATTATTACAACCCTTAACTTTACTTTCTTTGAATGTCGTTATCATTGGTTCATTTACCATCTTTAAAGCTCCTGAGAAGGTTTTTTTTTTTACCTTCATAAAATAGACAGAAATTCATATTGATGCTTTTTTATGTTATCACAAATCAAACAAGACCATTTGGAACAAGACTGGTAATTTGTAAATTGTCATTTTTAATGCCTGAAATCGATATTTTGTTTATTTGTTTTTCTATATAACCAAAGAATAAAAGATTAGTGTTTGTTTGCATATTTTCTGTTCAAAACAGAGTATATAATAGAAATGGTAACGAAAACAAAATAATAAATCTACTTTTTGTTTTTCAATTTATTGATGTCCCCATTTCCTACAGTGCTTTTCTACTGTTCGCATCATAGGCTGTGTCCGAAACGGATCCCTAACCCCTATATAGGTGACTATATGGGGGTAGCGCCATTTTGAGGGGTGTCCGAAACCTGAGTGATCAATTCCAGTGCCCTATATAGGCGACTCAAAATTTCCCATAAAGCATTGCAAAATGTAGTGACCATCCGATGGTCACTCACCAGTGGTAGGCATCCCGTCATGCATTGCGTCTTGCCATGTAGTGTCCAAAACCTCTGGTGATTGAGCTCACTACATGGTCAACTATATAGTAAAACCCCATATGGGGGTTTGGGGTTAGGGATTGAGTGATTCATTTTGGACACAACCTATGACTTTATATAGAATGGACAATGTCTGCCTCCTCGCTGGGTGAAGCCACTCCGAGAACAGCACCCTTTGGTGACGGGCTGCAGTATAGGTCATAAATCCCGCCTCCTCCAGCAATCCCTATGGAGGTGTGGACAAACTTTAGAAATGCATTACACAGAATATACATTTTTCTCCCCCCGTTAGCGATGTTGACATGTAGTTATTATAAGACTGTTTTGTGCTCAAGTCCTCTTTTTTCTGTGCAGCTCCATTTTTAAAAGTTATTCGACGCTCAAGTTTCCCATGACTGACACTTGATACAGCCTATGGGCGTACAAGGAATGTGTAGTTGCATAGATACGCTGTTTGAGCCCAGTGTCATCACAGCGACTCTCCCGCCGAATGCATACAACGCTACTGTGCAATGTCAGTTTCAGGAAATGAAGAAAAAAAGTGGAATTACTGAGAGCTTTTTGGCTTCAAATCCGTATACTGGCAGAAGGCGGAATCAAGTTGTCCATAGCATACACAGTCTATGGTTCGCACATGCACACTGTGCAACAAAGTAGCCAACAACATGGACCAAAAACTCCAGGCCAGAGCAGTAGAGAAAGGCTAACCTGCTGTCTTTTTTCATTCTTGAAGGGTAATCATTTGATTTTTTAAACGATAACAGGAACATTTTTTTATTCTCTTGAAAACACTTCTTTCATGTGTAAAAGAACAAAATGTTTGACTTTGTCCACAGAGGTTGCCAAAACCAGCAGAGAGAGAAAGTTCCTCACAGGACCTCTTGAAGAAACAGCTCCAATCTATCTCCTGAATCTTCGGTTCAATTTATTGTTTTGTTAACTGTGAGTCTTCACTGTCTTGCTGTATTTTCTTAAAGACTGCTCAGTCAAGCAAACTGGCTTTGCAAGTTGCAGTCGCAGGGATCAAATGAAAACCCGCAATATGATAGTTGTTGCTCACTAAAACAACAGCATAATGTAACAGCGAGTCTGCAATAATCACTAACTACTTGGATGAGTCACATATTTATACATCGCAGTGTCTGATCAACTGAGGAACATACATTGAAATGTGGGACGAATGCCATCAGAATTGCCACAAGGAATCAGGGCTTTGTTATGAGGTGATTTTTAATGGAGGAAACAAAAATAATGTGTAACTTCTCAATACAATACTGATATATGTCTTAAGTTTTATAATGACAATATTTTATAGGTCAGGACAAGACATACGATGGACACACTGCATTATATGGCATTGGTTGCCTTTATTGTATGAAAGGTAACTTCTTGTATATAGAAATATATATCTATATATATAGTGTCATCTAAACAAGTGAGTCCCTATTTTAGATATTTTACATGGAAAATGAAACTAAAAAGAAACTTGTTTGAATATTAAAAGAATGTAGTTTATTTTCTTTTATAGAGACTTTAGCCTCATTTTTTACACGAACCAGCCATAACAGTATCTGATGCACCCCAATACAACAACTCTATACTCAAACCTAATGTTACAAAGATCCTATACTTTCAGTTTTTGTCAGACAGGTGATTGTTGTTCGCAAAAGGAGTTTTTGAAGTTTTAGCGGCTTTTGGTGGTGTACTAGGGGGCAATATGTTAAAAAGGTTTCCTATCATTTTGATTCCCTTGTTAATACAGTGGACAAAGTACTATAAACACCTCATTATGAACCATGACAACTATATCTTACAGTGTATAAATTACAATTTACACCTGTCTGGTCATGCCAACAACAAATAAAACCAGGACAAAACTGAGGTTTTAATAATTGGTTCAAAGGTACAGAGACAACTCTACATTGAGGGGTTAGACTTTTGTGATCGCAAATGTAACAACAAAGCTCTCAGAAATATTAATAAATTCAAGTTTAATTGTCCATTTTAGTCCATTTTAATAACTTATTTTTCTTGTTCTGATGTAAAGCACTTTGAGCTGCAATTTCATTTGTATGAACAGTGCTTTATAAATAAACTTTGATTGATTGATTGAAATAAAACTGAACTTTACTGAAAGTATAATTCGTGTAAGAGCTTTTGTATTGGATTGTTTATGATTGCCTAGGAGTACAACATATTCCTGCTGGTCGCTGTATTTGTGTTGTGTGCATAGACTGTTGTGTGTGACTCTTGTTTCCAGTACAACGGAAAAACCGGAGCACAAGAGGAAATGCCACGTGTACACACTGCGCATGCTCGACGATATTGACGTTGATCCTGCTGGGTGATCCCAACTTCCGGTGAAAGAGGAGAAGTGTTTCACACGATTACTCTGACAAGGCCTATCGTAGCTGACCCGTCGGTACTTGACGGGCTTTCGGTAGACGCTATGACACTGTGAATCTCCATCAGGACATCTAACTGATTCTAAAAAGACACTCGGCGACGTCTCCGTGGATGTCGATCTGACCGAAGAGCGCATCGTCAGGGCCGCGGGTTCAAACGTTATTACCCGGGACTGTGGTGAGCTAGTGGGGCTAGCTTAAAGACGCAGCTAGCTTTTCGCCAACCAAGCACCTCTAAATTAGACTCTGGTGTCTGTTTCAAGATGTCAACGGCGGGGTTTAACCCTCAGAATGGGACGGGGACGGGACAGGCGTACGCGAATGGTGAGTAAATATGAGAAATGAAGCTCGATTTAGGCGTTTGTGAAGTCTGGAGCTGACATTAGCAGCAGTTTTTTTGGTTCACCGTTAGCCTCTGAGCTGTCTCACTAACTTTAAGGAACAGTCAACTGTCAGATAACGTTCCTGTGGTTAATCTCGACTGTTGCCTAAACCCTAATCCAAAACCAAAACCATATTAACCTGTCCTGTTGTTGAACTTAGTTTGGGTTGTGGAGTTGGCAGACCAACAGGTGGATAAATATGATAGTATGTTTTAATTGATAGTCTGCCTCCTCACTGTTCACTCTGCTCCGTCTGCATCAATTTTATTACCATCAAACGAACTTTAACTTGAGTCTGCGCACCAAACTCTTACTAAACTATTGTGCAGTGATGTTATTCTGAGCCCTATGATCTGCTCGGGGCATGTTTTCGTTTATCGTTTTGACTGTACATGTGGCATATTGGGATTGATCCAGATTTGTTACTGCAGAACTTTCTCCAGCTTCAGGCGCAGACAAGGAAGGGTGTGAGACTTCACGATAACTCATATTTCTATCACGTTATGATGAATGTTAAAGGAGATGACAGAAGCCCCCCCTGTAGCTTTTGATCGATGTCTTTGAGGGAAACCTGGAGTTCAGTTCAGACTTAGCAACTGCAGCACCAGGTTTTACGGCTCTGGTGGTTTGCTGAAGTTGTAGACAAACTTCTCAACACAATAACATTCCCTCCTACTCTTTTTACACCTATGTCTTTAATCAGACAGACCACTAAATGACATTACTGTTACTCTGCTTTTTGTGTGCTTAATGCAATATTGATGAAAACATGCCATCGATATTCTTGTAAATATCTTGTTCTTGTAGGATGTGTTATGTATAGGGCTGGGCGATAAAACGATAATGATATATATTGAAAATTAATTTCCCTCAATATAAACGTGATCAGTATCCCTTACAATAGTTGGCATTCTGTCATGTTTTGGTAGACTATACAAATAGCAGATGAAAAGAGGAATTGCTCTGATCATGTGCTGAATTAGAACCAAGTAGCAAACAACTTCGTAGTAGCAGGCTGCAACTACACGCAACCAATTCTTAACACGTGAAGCCGACAGCACTGTCTGTGAGAAAAAAATAAAAAGAGTGCTATGGCAGAAATGCAGATGAAGGCTCAACAGATGATGACATTGTCAACAACGCTGGCACGAAAATGCTGGTGGTGTGGAGGTATTTTCAGCTCCAGGTTTTACTGCTCTGGTGGTTTGCTGAAGTTGTAGATAGAGGGGTTTGCAAACTTCTCAACACAATATCATTCCCTCCTACTCTTTTTACCCATATGTTTTGAATCAGATAGACCACTAAATGACATTATTATTGCACTGCTTTTGTGATGATTTTGTGATCATGAAAAAAATGCATCATTGATGAGATCATGCCATCAAAGCTGGACAGAATGTGTTTTTAACACAATTCTTGTAAATCTATTGTTCTCGTAGGATATTTTATGTATTTTTGCATTTCAAGAGTTGAACATTTTTACTTAGTGCATATATTACAATAATAGACAACAGCATGCACAACTATAGCAATCTGATAATTTACAAGCATTTTCTTCAAGATGACTTTCCTTCCCTCACTCATGTCCCTGTCACTATTTGCTTGATTGACTTAATCAATGAGGCCGATAGTTGTCTTAGGTCTTCACTAATACTCACCAGTGAGGTTGATTATACTCTGCTCTGAACTGCTTAACTGACAGTATGGGATTGATATTATTAAGATGACCTGGTAATGATTGTATTATGTCAAATATTCAGGATTCCAAACCTGGCTTTTAAAGGTCCTCTATGTTCTCATTTGGTTTACTCTGTTAAATCAGATATTTATGTTTCTAAACTCTAAACAAACATGGTTTGATTTCATGATTTACCAGGAGACTCTCTCTGATTGGACACCAGCTATAATCTTTGGTTCTTAAAAGTTCCCTGCTTACAGGAAGGGAAGAGATTTGAGGTGGATTATGTTCCTTCATTTATCTTTGCCCATTCAAAAGAGTTGTTTTCTAATCCCTTCTCACTCTGCTGACTTGGCTCTGCCTCCAGTTCGGTAGTAAAGGACTAAGTGGATAGAAGTAAGTGAATCTGTTGGCATTAGGTAACACTTTGAGGTGCAGGTTTCTACTATCAGAGTATTGTTTTTAAAAATGTATTACATATATTTATATGTATTGCCATTCTGACCCAGTTTTGTCATTTAATCTTGTACCAAACAATACTCCAAAAAGTGTCAGTCTCACAGTAATTATCTGTTATTATGGCACCCTAAGCCGTCTTGATAATGGCAGTTCGCATTTAGAAAGATGCACCAGAAAAGCCCCCACATCTAAGTTCAGTATTTGCAAAATATACAAGAAGAATTTTGAAGAGTGCAAAGAGTTTGTGTTGTCTCGATATGACTGTTCAGTGAGATGAGACTTTGCTCAGAGCCTCACACTCGCTGTCCCTGAGAGCAGATCATGGTGAATTAGATCCAGGTAAAGAGATTAGACCCTGGCCTGTCAGCTCATTGGTCGTTTGGTGGCTCTGTCTGAGAGGTTTCACTCAGTGTTGTCACTGCGAGTACTCTGCCATCTGTTTTTCATTTAACTTTTTGAACTGTGCCTCAGGTTTAAACCCAAGGATTTCCCTTTCCAGAAGGAAGACGGCTGAGTCTGACGCTAACGCTGGCACTAAAACATATCTCTATTATCTGTGTGGGAATCTAATGTTTGGGCTGCTAAATTTTACGACCTCCATGAATGTTCTGGTCAAGCGTGATATGACAGTAAACTTGTGAAAATTGACATATCTCATATGCAAAAAAAACAAACTCAACAGCCAATTTTCTTCTTACCACCGTAAAGCTACTGAGGTGTAGTGAAGGCCTGAAAGAGCATGAGTGTTATTGTGGTGGCTGTATATTTGGTTTGTTTTTCAAAGCAACATGTTATCACTAGACAAACATGGACCTGTTGGATCTCAAACATGCTTTTTTTTTTGTCTCGTCTCCAGGTCCAACACAGAATCCAGTCGCTCTACAGCAGCTGCCTGGAGTCAACTATGGCATGACTCATCAACCCACCTACAATCCAATGCAGGCCAAAGCCCCCGCACCCCCTGGCCCTGGACTCTATCCCACTGGGCCATACCAACCTGTTCCCCCAGTCAGCTCTTACCAGCCTGGCCCACCACCCACTTCATACCCACCTCCCCTGGGCCAGCCTCTGTTAGCCAGACCGCAAATGACAGGTCCTCCATCCCACACCCCTCCCCAGTCTGCCAGCCCAAGTCCTGGTCCCAGGCTGCCCCCTGCACAAGCCACACCTCCCCCTCCTGCTGTGTCGTCTAGTAGCTACTACCAAAACCCTCAGCTGCCACAGCCTCTTGCGCCAACATGGCAGTACAACACAGCCCCCCCGCCGATGGGGCCACCCACTTCCATGAACACACCTCCTCGTGGCCTTCCAGCGAACCATGTGAGCCCCGCTACGAGCTCGACAGCACCGCCGCCACCGCCGCCAATGTCATCAGCAGCTTACAGCTCAGCACCACCGGCCCACATGTCTCATACTGCCGCCCAGCCCCCAGGCCCAGGGATTCCCCCCACGTCTCTGCACGGATACACACAGCCAGGTATGACCACAAGAGTGCCATTAAAGGTGTATTTATCCCACAGAGAAGACATGGTATCAGCACTCCCTGATATCACTCATCCTTTGGACTTCTCTAAAACTGGACCCTGAACTTTAGCAAACGAATCCTTTTTCCTCTATCACTTAATCACTGGAGGAAAAAAACAAAGACCCCTTACACCTCTTTTTGGACAACACACACCACTGTTTCTCTCCAGTTACAGGAACACAATTATCACGCCCTGTCTCTTTTACCCATCACTGTCTTCTAACATCAGCGTGTGCTGCAGATATGCGTATCTAAACACTGATATGTTGGAGCTGGACATTGCCCTCTGCTCCTGCAGAGAACATGTGGGCTGGTTGCTGCCTTCAGCTCCCTCCCTGGCACACAGACTCATTCGCTCTGGATTCGTTCAAAGTTCAAATAAGAATTTTATTGTATCTAAAGCGTTCTGATGCCAGGATATGATGTGGCATTAAGATCAAATTGAAATCCATGAAATGAGGAGTTAAAGGGTGACAATAACAGAGCCGGACAGTCTTCTTGTCAGGTGTAACCCTCTGTTAAAACTGTTAAAATAGAACATTATAATAGTTAGTTACATCAGCTTTGAGCGGAGTGTCTGAATGATTTGTCATAGCATTTTGAAAACCAGCTTTTTTTTTTTTAAAGCAAATGTACTCGTGCATGAGAGCAGAGGTCACATGATCTCACGGTCAGATTTGCTTGATAAATGACGCTCACATTCGCAGAGCCTGCCGCAGTCGAGGCCGACCTTTCCCCCAGCGGCACCCTCAGCTGCTATCTTCCTGATACAATGGTGACAGTGAAGGCAGCAGTTAATCCAGAGAAGTTATGAGATCTTTCTGGAGATAGTTTATTGCTTTCAAATGTCAGTCATATTACAAGCTGTTCGAAAATGTCAGACACTTCGCCACCAGCTGTAAAAATATGTTGGACAAATCTGAGCGTTGAACTGCAGTGTGAGCTGTCACAGGTACTCTATCAGCAAACCATGTCAGAATAAATCCAACATGTCATGTTTGAGCGCCGCTTTGAAATTCATTAGGAAGTGCATGACATGATGACGTGAAGACGGTTGTTATTTAGTCTTCATTACCAGCTTTGTCTCATTTTCCATCTTGATGAAAAGATAAATCGCGATCAATAGAGATAAAACTTTCTATTATTTTCGCTGTTTAAAGCTCATCTCATTGGTCGGTTGGATGTTAGAGATTGACATGTCTCTGTCACTGTCCTGACATCGGCTGGCTGTGGCTCTGCCGTGCCATCAGCTGTTGTCACCTCCACTTAGAGCTTATAATGTTTCACATTAGTGTGACTTCACGTCTCTTCTTCATTATATGTGGAAACAGCTTTGACAGGTCGTGTTTCAAAAGCTCCACGATCGTTGATGTCAGGACGACTCTGCCTCAGTAACCCTGCAGATATTTTGTAAGAGGAATTAAGTCATCAGTGAGGAAGGAGGAATTGAGTTTGTAACGACGAAACGCAAACGGTTCCTGGATCAAGCTGTTGAAACTTGAGAGTTTTCCGTCTTTTTCACCCTGTGAAGTTGAGAGTGTCATCGCTGATTTGTTTGAAGATGAACAGAGAATTAAAATGATCATTAAATCTTTTCTGTTTGTTTTGTATTCAGGCCCTGCACCTCCGCCCATGAATCCTATGGCTCCCCACACATACCAACCAAACAGAGGTCCCTATGGACCCCTACCTACAGGTCCACCACCAACCATGAAACCTGCACCGCCTCCCACTGGACCCCCAGTAGCCAATGCCACGCCACCGCCTCCTCCAGATGGTGAGTTTGCTTGTTTTTTCTCTGTGGGGTAGAAGCTGGTTAAACCAATTAAAGCAACGATGCACTAGTTTGTGGCAAATTAAACATGTTTATTTTACCATTTCTCACTTTCTCAAGCGATGTATTTTGAGGATCTTAAAATAAATCCCAATGGGAAAAAAACTATTTTCACTCAAACTACACAAAGGGTTCCTAACCAATAAGGCAGCTCTAACGGTGGTTTCAGTCGAGTGTTTTCTCCTGATGAGTCTGAAACTGTGATTTTGTCAAATGACGATGATTCATCACTTCAGGTCTTTAACTAAATGTGCTTTTGACAAGCGAGCCAGTTTTCTTGTTCTGATCAGCTCCCGTTGTTTCCCCCTCATGCCAGCTCAGTGTGGGGGGGCTGTTGACAGCACCCTCTCCCCCACTGAGTCCGACAACCAGGAGGGCGATATTGAATGTCCAGGTGTGGCCAAAACTGTCAGTAGCTGTTAGATAAAGTGTCAGTCTTGTCCCCACTGTGCTGTTGTTCATTGTTTCAAGGGATGCACTACGTTCTTTTTTTTTTTTTTTTTTTTTATTTGTTAAAGAAATTCATTCTGAAGCTCATGGAAATAAGCAGAAAACTATCCTGTAATGTTTAGAAAAATAAGAAATCTAGTCCACATGCATATGAGCTGAAGTTGCTGCGTGTGTTTGTGCTGCTTGAGTTAAACTTTCTTCATATAAGTGCATCCCTAGGAACTTATTCCCTCTTGTTAGTGTTCGGGGTGTCCCAATACGATGTTAATATCGGATATCGGTGCGACATCAGCAAAATAAAATGAATATTAGGTTATGTCAGCCTTCATCCAAAATCTCCGATATCAGCACTCCGATTCAAGGAGTCCATTTCAGAATCCGCTCTAGAGCCCACGTAATCACAGCAACAGTGTGTACTAAGGTACAAACAAAGTAGCAAGGAGTAAGAGTAATGTCAGCCGTGTGGCAGTATTTTTCGTTAAACTCTGAAAAAGATGTTGCAGCTGAGTGCAAAACTTGTCATGCACAACTGCGGGCTAATATCGGATCAATATAGGTATCGGCCAATACTGAAGGCTACAATATCAGTATTGTATCGGAGGTAAAAAAAATTGTATTGGAACACCCCTAGTTAGTACGCCATCAGTTTCCAGTCATTCCTTCCCATCTTGTGTCCATTTAAACCCCCCCCACATAGCAGCCGCCATCATCCTCATCATTCATGAGTGTTGTTTTGTTTCAGTGCACCCATGTGTGCATCTCATTCTGTCGATCCAACAGTTACATGTTCATCGCCCGTGGATGATAATAATTCTAAGGATACTCTCATCACATATGTGTTTCCTTTGAAAACAGGAACTGTTGCTGGCAATGGCCCCCAAGCACCAAACAGCTACAATCATGTTGACAACAAAATGGGTAAGGGCTTTTTCTGCCACATGTCAGATTCTTTCCACATCAAACACACATGAAATCAAGCTCGGGAAAGTCGGGTTTCTTCGCTGCTTCTGTGCCAACATGCAGGATACACACATGTAATATTTCACTAAGCTTTTAAAGTAAACTCCCTGCTTCTGGACAGGATTATGAACTCTTATTGGTTCAGTGTGTAGTATTCAGAGGAGTTTAGTGAGCATCATATTCAAAAGTTTGTTTAAATCAGTGCCTGACTATGACATCTGTCTGTTATTGTTAACTTGGAATAAGTCTTTATAACAACAGAAGAGCCTCTACCATGTAGGGCCGCCATCTTGCACTGCTGTGTTTCTACAGAAGCGCAGAACAAACAAGCGACATACATGTATTTGTATTCAGTGAGTGGCTTTGCCAAATGCAACAGCTGAAGGACAAAGAGGCTGTTTTTCTTTTTGTTGTGCTGAAGAGTTTTAGTGGAAAATCTTCAGCATACGTCTCATGGATTGTAGTTTTTTTTTTCTTCAAAGGTTACTTCACCAATAAGCAGGAAAGTCTTTTCATCCAGAAACCAACTTCTACTGTATTTAGATACAGCTGAATATTCCCATTTCTACACACTTTAATTTTAAGTTAATTTTTTTTTCTGATTTCAAACACACTGTATTGCAGAAATCAGGGCCAGCAAAGTCAGGCTGTTTTTTTTTTTCTTGCATATAACTGTGTTTTTTTTAATCCTTCAACTAGGGTTCCTACACAGTTGGAATTTCCATACTTTACATACCCTACATTTTAGAATTATTTTTGGAAAAACCCACTTTTCTATTTTTAGAAAATAGTATTTTAGAGCTGTGGTAAAAGTCTGGAAACATAAACATTTTCCCATACTTTATTTTTCGTTTTTCATACTTTTTAAGACCTGGAACTTGATCAAATCTATTTCCATACCTTCTATACTTGCGTAGGAACCTTATTTAAAAGATGATTATTCAGGAATTGGCAGGTCATTGAAATAATCCACAAAAAATAGACGGTAAATAACTAACCAACCCCACTAAACAGTATTGATTGGTTAAGCATTTTAAGCAAATACATGTACAGTGTGTTACCGCTCAGTGCCACAGAACTACATTGATTTCTACACCTTTTAAAAACAAAATGAAGCCCAGTGGTTGGCACACTCTTGCATTTTCTTATTTTGAATTAATCCCCCGTAAACTGCCTCTGTAATTCCAAGTAATCCATAGTTAAAAATAGTTCCACGAAAAGCAATGTTTACTCATACTTGGCGACAAAGCCCAACTGTTTTAAGAGGTTTTGAGACTGAATCTCCCCCCTGAGGTTGACCTACATATTTATGGCTTGTTTTTGAAGAATAACATCATGCTTAGAGGCCTGAGGCACAGCGTCCCAGAGAGAGCAAGGATGTGAAAAATGCGAAGGGATTAATGTAAATGCTGTTTGATTCTGTTTCTTTTCTTTACCTAATAAGTCAAGAAAAAGACAAATGTGACTTTGAGCCACTCTTAATCCTGTCTCTTGGATTCGGTTTCTCATATCTTTCTTCTTTTCTCCCACAGCTGGCCCACCCCAGCCCGGACCACCTGGTCGGCACTTGGGCCACTACCCCTCTCTCCCCCCTGGGTACCAGAACACCCCGACTCCCCACAGCACTGCACCCCCCACGCTGCCTTACTCTCAAGCACCTCAGCCATACCAGCAGGTAAGAAGGAAGTCCCAGCGTACACACACACACACACGCTGACGGAGGTGTTTTAAATCACTCAATCGCTTTTGATTTTCTTCGCTCTCAGCCACCTGTTGGCCCAGGGCCAGCCCAGCTGAGCCCATCCCTGGCAGCCATGAGCCTCCAGTCCAGCACCCCCGAGGCCCTGAGAGTGGTCAACCTGCTGCAGGAAAGGAATCTGCTTCCTCCAACCCCCATCCCTGCCCCCACACCCTGCCTCCAACAAGACCTGCAGAAAGTGAACTGCAACCCAGAGTAAGCCATGATGGATTTTGACTGACTGCATGTGTCTGCGTCGACTCTCTTCTCTCTGAATATGCCAGTACTTGAAACTTTCTCCGTTGTTTTGCATAAAACAAGTTATTTCATGAACGGCGCTGCATTTAGAAGGTTTCTTTTTTCTCTCTCTCTGTGAAGAACCAGTTGTAGTTTGTGAAAATTTTACAGTAGAGCAACTAAAGTTTTTGAATGCTCACGGTCAGTGTTATGGTAATGTTGTTCCTGGTAATATTTTAAAACTGGTGGCAAAAAGAAAAAGTGGCAAAGAATGGGTGAATGTGATGTGAAAGAGCTTTGAGAAGTCAGAAGACAAGAGCCAGAGCTGTATAAACATAGTCCATCTAACATTGACTGCAGAAAATCCACCTTTCTCTTTAAATTCACTTCCTGAACTTGTATGTTTGTGTTACTTCACAGGGTTTTTCGGTGTACGCTAACCAGCATCCCTCAGACCCAGTCTCTGCTCAATAAAGCCAAGATGCCTCTGGGTCTGCTGCTCCACCCCTTCAAAGACCTTTCGGTAACATCTCAGTTCTCTGCGTCATGTGACATTTGCATCCAGTTAACGGGGCTTTTAGCAGTCTGTGAAATGACAACATTATTGAGTCACGCACATTTTAAAAAAACTGGTTTACAAGGTCAAGAGGAAGTCGGGGAACCTTCGTAAACACAACACTTTCAACCTGAGGGGAAGCACATTTCCTGGATTGCTTGTTCTGAACCAGACTCTTCACTGGTTTAAGCGAGAAAGGGACTTAAAACAGGAAAAATATTATGGATATAAGGAGGCGGGACTTTCCCCGGGAAAAGTCTTCCCCGGGATGTGTCTTTTCCCCCCCCGGAAAGTCGCAAAATTGCATCGGGCTTGATGTGTATAGTCAGGCTCGTCAAAATTCGAGTATTTCGTGATTTCGCGTTCTATATTCGCGTCGGCCCCGGTGTGTAAGGACCTTAACTTGTCAAATGCCCATGTGATTAGAATAATATTTATCTATTTATTTATTTAAACAACACAGGATTTAAAATAATTTCTAACTTAACTTATTTTTACTTATTTATTTTTACTTTTAACTTATTTATCAAACAAAAACAAACAACTCATTAAGTCAACCAGACTGTCTCTGACGGCAGCTTCACAGGCCATGAAGGTGAAAATATAGGAAAGTCTGCTTACTCCTGTCTTAGCAGCCAGTGTGATAACTTGAAGTAGAGCGCCTTTTTCTGTTAAAGCAGAATATGAGGTCATTGTACTGAGTATGTCATCAGAAATCTCTGAAAAGCCTCTTTCTAATGATAATGTCACTTCAATAAATTCACTCCATAGGACTGTTACTGTTCAAACATCCAGAATTCCCTAAAACCCTCTGACAAGAATTTGACCAAACAGGCCTCTGGGCAAAAACCTGCCAGCGCGAATTCATGCTTTCAGCTCTGTTAATTGAGGACGCAGACGTTGCACAACTCGGACAGCAACAAGAATGTCTCTATTGAAAAGGCCAACGACTGCAAACAAGAAAATGAGTTAAGCAGAGCCTGGAAGCACTCCTCACACAAAGTTTGTTTTGTTCTGTGGTTTTTCTTGCAGCAGCTTCCTGTGGTGACATCCAGTACCATCGTCAGGTGTCGATCCTGCAGAACATACATCAATCCCTTCGTCTCCTTCTTGGACCAGAGGAGGTGGAAGTGTAACTTGTGTTATCGGGTCAATGATGGTAAGGAAGTGCGAGGAAGTGATGAAAGAGCGTACTGAGTGTCCTCTTTGGTGTGTCCTAGCAACAAAATGGTACAACTGGTACTTAAAGTTTTGAATGAAGTGAGAAATCTGTTAATTCTCTTCTATTTGAAGTTATTCTTATGTTAAGAAACAGTCACAAACAGCTTTTTTGTGTGTGTGGGGGGGTGATTTTAGCCTTTTTATGACAGAACAGAGTGAAATAGAGAGGGAGAAAGAGAGGGGGAGGAAGTGCAGCACATGGCCGAGGCTGGATTCGAGCCCATGGCGGCTGCGGGGACCATGGTCCTCGGCTAACTGCGCCGCCCAGCTATTTTTATTTTTTTTGTATTATTTTTATTTTTATTTTTATTAATTTATTTATGTAATAATATTTTTTTATTTATTAATATTTATTTTTTATTTATTTTATTATTATTATTGTTACTATTATTGTTATTATTATTGTTATTCATTTATTTATTAATATTTGTTTATTTATTTATAATTATTTATTTATTTTTTATTATTATTTATTATTGTTATTATTATTTATTTATTTTTATTTATTTGATTATAATTATTAAGGTTATGTTAACATTGACATCTGATATTTTCCATTTACCTTCATTCTTTTTAATGGTATTTCCTCTAAGCATAACCATGTAAGTCTAGACCTTAGTATAGACAAGGTGTACAACCGTAACTCAAGATTAATGATCGTCTTTGTCACAAACTCCTACAAACAGGCGATGAAATGCAGAAAGGATGAGTCATAAAAACACTCAAGTAGACGGAAAAAAGAGCTGTAGAAAATGTAAAACTGTGGAAATAACAAAACATACATGTCATTTGTCGTGTGTATCTGTTTGTAGTTCCAGAGGAGTTTATGTACAACCCCGTCAGCAAATCATACGGAGAGCCACACAAAAGACCCGAAGTCCAGAACGCCACCATTGAATTCATTGCTCCTTCAGAATACATGGTGGGTCATCATCAGCATTATTAACAACATTATCGTTCCAGACGAGTGTGCTTATTTTGTCTGGTGCGTTGGTGTGTTGTGCACAAATCCTACAGAAATAAAAGTGTGTGATCTTGTGTCTTTGACCTTTAAACAAGTTCAATGTCTTTCCCTCATCCGTCCAGCTGAGACCACCGCAGCCTGCTGTTTACCTCTTCGTTCTTGACGTATCCCACAATGCAGTGGAGACGGGCTACCTGAATGTGTTCTGCCAGTCGCTGCTGGACAACATTAATGCGTATGTGCTCTCTAAGGCTGTCTATGCAAAATCTGTCAGTTCATTATTTGAATAAACTAGAAATAGATGACAAACTGAGTCAAATCAGAACAAGGCTGCTGTAAATATCTCCACCAGTGAGTCATTATTGATTTGTTGTAATATCATTAAATAGAAATGGTTTAGCCTGGTTCTGCAGGGCTGAAATCAGTCTTTGTAAATAAGATGAATGAGTGCAAGCTTTATTTGACCCTGCGCGTCCATCTCCTAGGCTTCCTGGAGATTCACGGACAAAGGTAGGCTTCATCACCTTTGACAGCACCATCCACTTCTACAACCTCCAGGAGGGACTCTCCCAGCCGCAGATGCTCATTGTGTCTGACATTGAAGGTGAGACGCGGCTGACGGCAAAGTCTGCACACTCACTCCTGCTGCAGTTTGACACCAGCTGCATGCGCCGCTGTTTCAAATAAACACATAAGAAATCAAATGTTGACCTCATAGTAGCTGCAGTTTTAGTCCCACTACTGAAAGGATTAAATGATGTTTACGAAAATGATCTTTGTGTCCATACAGATATCTTTTTACCAACACCAGACAGCCTTCTAGTAAACCTCAACGAATGCAAAGAGGTAAGAAAGTAGTATGTTCATTCAATCACACTGTGTTTTAACCATAGACTGTATATAGAATGGACGCCGTCTGCCTCCTTGATGGGTAAAGCAACTCTGAGAACAGCACCCTCTGGTGACGGGCTGCAGTATAGGTCATAAATCCCTCCAGCAATCCCTATGGAGTTGTGGACAAACTTTAGAAATTAATTACACAGAATATAAATTTTTCACCGCCCTGGTTGCGATGTTGACATGTAGTTACTGTAAGACTGGTTTGTGCTCAAGTCCTCTTTTTTTCTGTACAGCTCCATTTTTAAAAGTTATTAGGGGGTTCATGTTTTCTATGATTGACTCTTAAAACAGCCTATGATCGTATGAAGATTGCTTAACTCACCCGGGGAATACGCTGTTTGAGCCAAGCGTCATCACAGAGACTCTCCCACCGAATACGTACACTGCTCGTGCGCCATTGGTGGTTCCAGGAAGTGGAGAAAGAGTTATTCGGCTTCAAATTCGTATAATGACAGAAGGCGGGGCCAAGTTGTCCATAGTATATACAGTCTATGGTTTTAACCCAGATAAGAAATTCGGAAACCTTTACTTTGTGTCCTCACCAGATTTTGTCATTTAGTTTTCATTTTCCTCACGCTGATAAGAAAAAAGTTCATACATAGTTATTTGTATACTTTTTTCCAGCTTGTTCAAGATCTGCTGAAGAGCCTGCCAACTTTGTTTGAGAAGACCATGGAGACCCAGTCCGCCCTGGGCTCAGCTCTGCAAGCCGCCTTCAAGCTGCTGTCGCCGACTGGAGGGCGAATGTCCGTGTTTCAGACCCAGCTGCCCAACCTGGGTGTGGGGGCGCTCCAGTCCAGAGAGGACCCCAACCAGCGGGCATCTGCTAAGGTAGGAGCTCTGCTGATGGGCATGCTGGACATTGGCCGGTGTAAAGATTTGTAACCTGTAGATGCATGAAGTGGCTAGAGAACACCAGATCTCTGGAATTCTGTCACTTCATGTTATGAATGAACTCTAACTTCGTGTTGGGGAGCTGGTTTATGTTCTGACTTTAGCTTACATCGTCCTCCGTGTGTTTCCCTTTAGGACATCCAGCACTTACCGCCAGCCACAGATTTCTACAAGAAGCTGGCTCTTGACTGCTCCGGTCAGCAGGTTGCAGTCGACCTGTTCCTGCTCAGCTCTCAGTACTGCGACCTGGCGTCACTCGGTAAGTCCAGTTCAGGCTGTACAGAACAAATAATAAAATAATTCGAAAACATCTGGTTGCCTGAACTTGACCTTCGTATGTCTTTGTGTGCCACAGGCTGCATATCCAGATACTCTGCAGGAAGTGTTTACTACTACCCCTCATACCACCACCAGCACAACCCTGCTCAGGTGGAGTGTTTCCAGAAGGATCTAAAGAGATACCTTACCAGGAAGATAGGCTTTGAGGCCGTCATGAGGATACGCTGCACAAAAGGTGAATAATTGACCCGGATCTGATTCTGAAAGTTTCCTGTTTTATAGATTTTTGGCAGAATGAAGTTCTTCTTGTGTTCCTTTTAGAATTTTCTGGTTATTTCATGGCCTCATAATTGTTGTACCATTTTTACTGACTTGTCCCCGTCTTTGTCCTCCTGCAGGTCTTTCCATCCACACGTTCCACGGAAACTTCTTTGTGCGCTCCACAGACTTGCTGTCCCTGCCCAACGTGAACCCAGATGCCGGCTTTGCAGTTCAAATGTCCATCGAGGAAAACTTGGACGACATGCAAGTTGTCTCCTTCCAGGCTGCGCTGCTTTACACATCCAGCAAAGGTACCGACGCACACAACTCTTCTGAAAATTAGGAATATTTTCTGTCTCTTTTGTTAAAGCTTCGTTTTTTTATCGTACAGGAGAGAGAAGGATCCGGGTCCACACCCTGTGTCTCCCCGTGGTCAATTCTCTGTCAGACATCTTCGCTGGGGCTGATGTTCAGGCTATCACTGGACTGCTAGCATGCATGGGTAAGTGATACAACACCTGAAATCCTTTAAAAAGTCTGTCTTTTTAAATTGAATGTGCCTGCTCATGGTGCAAAGTTAAACTGCATGTGGACCAGGACTGGTTTAAAACAAAGCCTGGCTTTGTTCTCATCTGCTAAACAAGACTCGGGCAAAGATCCAGGTGGTGGTTTGATAAATTTACGTTTTTGAGCGGCGGAATTAAAGGGTGAACATGACAGAAACAGAGCTGAATAGTTCTCCGCTTTTAGAGAAACAAGATGTCCTGATGCTGGACTCGATTATTGAATGTCATGATGGATCATTTGCTTTTATTATCCTCAGATGTGCTCACAGTGAGATGAAATCAAGTCTAAATTTAAGATAAAACAGACCTGTGTTTGCTCTGTATTATTTATTGCCTGTGATAATCAACGGATCCTTTTTGACTCGAGATGAAGAATTATTTCAGCTGTTTGGATCCATGTTTTCAACATCTTTGCCTATCCAAAAATATCAAAAAAATTCATTATTTCTGCCCTAAAAGTCTTTCTGATGGCTTGATACAAAATCACTGCAAGCTTTTCATCCCCTCGGCACTGACAGATGGAAATAAGTGGCGACAGCTGTGGTTGCCAAGCAACCATCGAATACTAAGCAGTCAGATCTGTCCTTACTCATCTCACATTCAGTCAGAGAACAGACGCTGACATTTCTCCTCCTTCAAAAAAAACGGTCAAGAGGCAAGCTCAGAAAGGCCACCGCCACTGTTGTTACGGGGCAAATAAGCCGCATCTGTTTAAAAGTCGTGATCATGAAACAATCAAACAAAAGTCCTGGAATCAAAAGTTTGAATGTACAGTCATTAAAACCATACGCCTTTATATATATATTATTTTTTTGAATAAAAGAGGCTGTCTTGTTTTTAATGTGCCCGACACGTGTTGGGTTTGAAAAGATGGGGTACACTTTACTTGAAGCCTATCTCTAAAACCCATTATAAATACATGTATAATGTGTTACAACCACATTATAGCACTGTATAACTATAGTTATAAACACTCATAAATGTTCATATTGCTTTATAGCAATAATCATTACACATTATAAAGGATTTTATCATGACTTACAAGGTCAGGTATTATAATGTGTCATGCTTAGTGTTATTAAGGCTTATGATAACTAATGAGTGCTTATAATGATAGTTACACAAGTTTATAAGCGAATTATAACACATCATAAATATATGTTTATTGCATTATCTATGTGGGCATTGTCAGTGAGTTGTTAACAGTTATAACACATTATAATACCTGACCTTGTAAGTCATGATAAAATGCTTTATAATGTGTTTTGATTATTGCTTTAAAGCATTATGATCATTTATGAGTGTTTATAACTATAGTTATATAGTGCTATAACATGATTATAACACATTATAAATATATTTATAATGGGTTATAGAGATTGGTATCAAATAAAGTGTTACCAAAAGATGTAAATTCTGCAGTTATGTCATGACTGTGTGTTTAGCTAAACCCTCCTCATACTACGAGGCGTCATTTAAGTAATCGTACATTTCTCCTGATCTCTCTTTTCCCTTTCGTTCATTCGGTGACAGTCTGAAGCACTGATGAAATTTTGATTCACCTCAATCCCAGCATGTGCCACTTTATGTAGGATTGGTACCAGATGGTAGCGTCTCTGTTGATTACAAGAAAATTGGACAACACTGAAGACTGTTGTGATGATAAAATGCCCTGAAAGAAAAACCTCCTTTCTTTTAACAACTGTTTGTGTCCCCCCTCTCTGCAGCTGTGGACCGCTCTGTGACAGCAAGCCTGAGTGACGCAAGAGACGCCATGACCAACGCCTCCATTGACTCTCTGTCGTCGTTCCGACAGTCTGTGCTGACCATCCAGCAGCCCGGCCTGCTGGCGCCGGCCTGCCTCAGACTCTTCCCCCTCTACATCCTCGCCCTGCTCAAACAGGTATGCCTGCATTATCGCAAAGCCGGGGATTTACATGCGGGATGAACTCATGAGTGTCTGAATAGTAAACAGATTTTTACTCCCAGGATCGTGTGTTTGTTTGGTCTGTATTGATCCGGTGTCGTGTGTTTGTGTATTAATCTGCAGAAAGCCTTCAGGACGGGCACAAGTACCAGGCTGGATGACCGAGTGTTTGCAATGTGCCAGCTGAAGTACCAGCCTCTGGCCTACTCCATGCTGATGATCCACCCTGCTCTGTATCGTATTGACGACCTGACAGATGAGGTGAGGAGGGTCAAATTCACCCGCAGCTCCTGATACAGAGTTTTGGAGAATGGCTCGTTTCAAAAAGTTTAGATATTTATCGCGGTGGGCTCAAGTGAAACACTCATCCCAATATTTTTTATGCCTCTCTGCTTGAAAATGTCATTTTCTCTTATCTTCTGTTTCCTGCCTCTCCAGGGAGCTTTGAACATCAATGAGCGGACCATCCCTCAGCCCAGGCTGCTGCAGCTGTCTGTGGAGAAGCTCAGCAGGGAAGCTGCTTTCCTCATGGATGCTGGAACAGTACGAAACTTAGAGCCATTACTTTTAAAACAGAAGTCGTAAACAAGCTTTATGATCAAAACAAAGCTGACGTTGACGTCTCCTGGGGAAAAATAATGCTTTTAACTCAAACTTCGCCTGAATTTCCCAGAAGTGTTTAAATATGACATCTGACTGTAGCTGTAGAGTTTGTGGTGTAAATTATGAATGAAACATAGCATCATAATGGAGAGATTTCCTGTCAAACATATGAACATTAACGAGTGTTTTCTGCTGTCCCAAAAGGTGATGTATCTTTGGGTTGGACGAAACTGCAACCCCACCTTCCTCACACAAGTCCTGGGAGTCCCAAGCTACGCTGCCGTGCCTGAAAACCTGGTAGGAAACCTCAGTTTTTTTGAGAGTAGATGGTTGATGGTCTGATTTCACTCCTACAGAACTTATCTACAGTTTATCACATCTGTTAAAATGGATGAATCGTTCCCCTGGTGATAAAAACCTGACAGCGTTTCTCTCTTCTCTCAGTATTTGCTTCCAGAGCTGGACACTGCCGAATCTCAGAGAACCAGGGCTTTCATTGGTTGGCTGAGGGATCAGAGGCCATTCTTCCCCTCCCTGCAAGTCATCAGGTGGGCAGCTGCTGTAAAATCTACTCAAACGTTTTGGTTTCTGTCTAATTCGTTGAGAGAGCAACAGAGAACCGAATTAGATCTGACTTTATAACTTCGCTCTTTCAGGGACGAGAGCCAGCGGAAAGCCGGCTTTCTGCAGAACATGATCGAGGACCGAACAGAGTCAGCCCTGTCCTACTACGAGTTCCTGCTCCACCTTCAACAGCAAATCTCCAAATAATCTTCAGTGGGACTGTGCAAATGAGGAGACACTGAAGTGAGGATGTGCATCGGTGTGTATGTGTGTGTGTGTATGTTATCTGTGTGTTTCAGTGTGAAAGCGGTGGGAGACGGACTGAAGGATGCTTCTTGCTCCATCTCCAGCTCTGGGGCAGCCTGTCTGAGCTGAACTGATGCTACCTGTTGATTGGATGAAACGCTGTGGTGGACAGTGAAAGACTGAGAGTGTCAAAAAATCCACTCTGATGCTCATTTGTCTCTTTTTTTACCCCGCTGGAGCAACACACCAGGAAAAAAAAAAAAAGAAGATGAAAATTATTATGATGATGATGATTAATACGATGATGATTATAATGTCAGTTAATGAATGAATCAGTGTTTATTCTCAGAACAATGCTTTCTTACTGAGGTATCGTTCAGATACTGTCCAGGCTAACGGATGTGTGAAGTGTCTTTTGTTGAAAAAGCACTGTGGTCTTTACTAAATGGAGTCAAAGGTGTATGTATGTATGCGTGTATGTAGGCTTGAGACTTGGTCGATGAGGATGTTTAGTATGTTTGTGCTCAAAGACTGTTATTGGGTTTCACCCGGAGTATTTGTACACAGAACATCTGAGCTTCTAACAACACTCTTATTATCGTACCTGACAGAAGGACAGAACATGTGCTTTTTACTTCTCAGTTGTTATAATTGTGTGTCGAACAAATCCGTAGACTGTCCTCAAATGTTGAAGCTGTCTGAAGGCGGATCGACCTCGCCGTCATCGCTGCCTCGAATGTGTGGATTCGGCAGTGTGAAGTTGTTTCATCGGTCTGATCTGTCCTTTAAAACTCTGTCATCTTTTCAGAACACCACTGATGACGTCCCTGTTCTGTTAATTTCCTTTCTTTTCTTTCTGATAAGTAATAATTTATGGGACTCCCAATCTGATTAAATTCTATAATTGCCTTGTATGGGAACTCACTTTTTATTATTAAACCTCTGTTCGAATACAGACTCTATATATGAAATATTTTAATATAATAGGATATGGGAAATTCTTTAACAGACATAACAAAGCCATTGTGATCTTTTAGTCATGCTTATTGATACTTGTATATTGAAAAGACTGCATTATATAAAGGTGAAGAAATGCTGGTGATTTTAGTAAACACAAAGGTGAAATGACGCTAAGAAAATAAAATGTTTGGGACTTTTTAAATGTAGTTTTGTCTTGTGGTGGGTGAACAGCAGCTGTTTTTACAGTGACGAAGACTACACGACAGAATATGGATGACCGCAGTCAAAACCTCTTTCCTGGACTTAAACTGATGACATTTAATTTGGTCTGATTTCGTACAGTTTGTAATTATGTACAATATGAAAAAAATGTACTTAGGAAGACATATATGATGATTTAGTCTTTATGCACAAGTTTTGTTTTGTTCTTTTTTTCATAAAAAATGATGAAAAATAAAATAGTCTGTTTTTGTACGTAGTGACCTACCCGGGTGAAGACTTGGTTCACATGACTCAGACTTGGGTCATGAATGGAAAATGTGCACTGATACCAGACCAGGTGATCCCTCTCCTTTTAAGAATAGTTAATTCATGACAAAAAAAGTTTCTTTGAAGCAATTACAGTGCCTTAATTAATAAGTGTAGTCATATTTTGTATCATTTTCTAGGTCAAATTGGCATTATTGGCTGCTTAGAGCGTTAGACTTTTTAATGCAAATGCTACAAGTAGATGGGTTACCCGAAAACAGTTTGACCTCACTAAAACTATCGACTCAGATGGTTTATAGTTTTGCAGACCAACTACAAGATTCAAAAATATGTTTTGAAAAAAGTGACTTTTCTTTTTCATGACAAAAAATGATTTGGTTTCAGTGTAACACACAGTAAACCCGTCACAGGAGAGGGGTGTACAGCAATACCAAAAGACACGGATGATAAACCTCAGATATCAATTCAATAGTGTTACCCCAAGAGGTTCAACCAAAGAGCCGGTCTAGACCATCATCTATTCACAAAGACCCAACGCAAAGATAGGATAAGATGTTAGATGTGATGGGTCAAATCTGTCCTATCTTTAGGTTGGGTCTTGATAATTCATCTAACAATGAGCATGGTCTAGACCTGCTCCTTTTCTTTGGAAAGCGTCTTGGGATAATGACTGCTGTGAAATGACGCTATATAAATTTTGTTGTTGGGTTGATTGATTGATTGACCCATCCCAACTTTAACCACATCAGTGTAACACTTGACAGCAATCAGCAAGTTACAGTGGAGAGGGAAAACTTTCTTTAAAAGGCAGAACCAGACTCATGTCATAGCATAAATCTTTGAATTATATAATTATATTATATAATACATATAGTAAAAATTATATGATTATAAAAATAACATTTTTATCATTTAACCCTAAATTCAAAATTCTTTGACAGCTTTTGTCAGATTTCTAGGAGTAAATTATTCAAATGCCTTGGAGTTTAGAGTAAAAATGATGTAAAAACAATCTAGTGTTTTTTAAAAACAAAAGAGGAAAATAAGATCACATCCCTGCAGCTCTGCAGGGTAGTTGTCTCATATCAACATCAGGTATTTACCAACCTTATCATCCCGCTGTTTGATTTGAAAGTTCTTTGCCCCTTCATCGGTAATGACTTGTTAGTTCACTTTTTTTCTGCTGGGTACAAGAGGTTTCAGAACGTACTTTTCAGTCTTTTCAGGTTTTCCTGATGCAAGATCATGCTACAATTTTCTACTTCAGTAGCATGCCATACTGTATAATACATAGATAGATAAATTCATTCAGAATTACTCCTTAATGCACTAGGATACAGAGTCACTCAGACCTTTTTTTTATTTTTAGCGCTGAGAACTTATTTATTTTTAGCACTGAGAGCTTTTTTTATTTTTTAAAAAATTTCTTATCTTTAGAGCTGAGAGCTTTTTTTATTTTTTTAAAAATTTCTTATCTTTAGAGCTGAGAGCTTTTTTTATTTTTAAAAAAAATTTCTTATCTTTAGCGCTGAGTTTTTTTTTTTGTTTTTTTTTTTAATTATTATTTTTATTTCTACCGCTGAGAGCTTTTTTTATTCTATTTTTTTCCTTTATTTATTTATTTTTTTTATTTTTTGTTTTTAGCGCTGAGAGATTTTTTATTTCATTTGTATTATTTTTATTTTTTTATTTTTAGCATTGACAGCTGTAGTGTCACTTTAAATATCTCGTGACGCCATCAGTGTGCGTCCTCCTCGACAACGCTCAGTCATGTTTACCGTTTAATTCAGTGGGCTGGGGCTTTTGTGTTGCCAACAACGAGTAATCAAGACTGTTCTTGTTCGCTGTGAACTTAATTTATAGTAATTTATTTCAGCATGGAGTCCGGGGAGGCCGGGGAGGAGAAGACGGCTTCTCTGTCAGCGGCTCAGAGGAGGGCAGAGATCCGGAGGAGAAAACTGCTCATGAATTCAGAGGACCGCATGAACAGAATAGTGGGCTTCACCAAAAATGAGGCTGAAAACAACGGTATGACATGATACTTACTGCTTTTTACCCCGTTATCTCCTGCTTCATCTTAGTGCTGCAGTCTGAGCTGCAGTCAGCTCGTGATCAGAGACTTCAGATGCCTCTGCACCGATTTTTTCCTCAGTATCATCAATTACTTCCCTGTTTGGCCAAATACATAACACAGTCAGCAAAGGTCCGAGGATGTAGAGACTGTTCATATAGTGCAATCTTGTTAAAAAAAAGTGCTGAAAAAATATTCAAGGACTTCACCCTAAAAAAGGTGCAGAGTTAAACATCACACATTAAAATCGTTGGTTTTATCAAAACAAGTTATTTGTGGCATTAAGACTGTTTTTTGGGGCATATTGCAGTCCTCAGGTATGGTGGCCGAGAACCGCCACTGCTGCAAATAAAAATAATTTTAAAAAAAAGAACGCCACAATGAAAGAGGACTTTTTTGCATTCTTTTCTTATTTGCCACAGTGGTGGTTCTCAGCCACCGTACTTGGATATTACTTGAAATATCTGGACTGAATATTGAGAAATTAATAGCTTACTATGTCTCGTTTTAACGCAGCAAACTGTTTTTTTTTTTTTAAATCAAGATATGTATTTTAAATATTTCTCCCTGGACAACAGCTTTGTAATTATAAGGTCACTCTGATGTGAACTCACCTGTGTCGTTGTCATGGAAATCCTCAGCTGGAGCTGCGCGGCGTCCCACAGAACCTCGTTTTCACCTCGATCTTGACAGGACAGAGCCGTGGTCCTCATCTTCATCATCCCCAAGACCTTCTCCCTTCCTGCCAGAGGTGTCAGGAGCCAGCAGTCGTTCCCGCAGTGCCACCCCAGAGAGGAGGGGCTCGCCCCTGCCAGGCTGCAGCGAGCCACACTCCGGCTCCATAGAGGACGACATAGGAGGAGTCCGACAGAGGCCGAGGGGGGACAGGGCTCCAGAGGACCTCAGTAACTCCCCGCGACGAGGCCTTCAAAAGTACCTTTCTCGTTTTGATGATGCTATGAAACTGCGAGGTCAGCTGGCCAATGAGAAGCCGGCCCAGGATGGAGGGTCTGACACCGAGGAGTTTGATCCCTTCAGAGTTTTCAGGCTCATCGGCAGCATCCTCCTTGCTGTTTTTGTCAGGGTTTTTGTCTGCAAGTATCTGGTGAGTCTGTTGTGATCACTCTGTTGAAGCTAGAGTCAGTCTCAATCATAGGAGGGAGGGGAAGTTTATGGTGTTTTGTCGCGCAGGTTTGCAACATCATGTTTTTAATGAAATAACACCATCTTGCATTGAAATATGAACAGATTTAATGCCTCCATGTGTTCATTTGATCAATATTTTTATGATTATGTAACTCTCAGGGGTATACATTCAACACTTGTGAAATATCAGCTGCCTCATTATCTCCTCTCCTCTTTCCTAAAATGTAAACTGTTAAGGAGGTTTTATTTACATTAGACAATGAACTCAGAAATAAACTTGATTTTGTCTCTCAGCACTTCAATTAAAGCTTGTAGTTGTTACATAATAAAATTAAATCTTTCTTTCATAGATATCACAACAAATTAGTGTGATATATATTGTATGTTGTATGCATTCATTTTGTTTGAATGTACCCTTTTAATTACAGACCATTGGTATAATATCACTGTTGTAATCTGCCTCTTTTTACAGTCAATATTTGCTCCATTCCTGACCCTCGAACTGGCCTACATGGGGTTGTCCAAATACTTTCCAAAGGTGAGTCCCCTTACCCTTCATAATAGGCCCTGTTTATTTAGTATGGCGATTGTATTGTTCATATGTGGAATTTGGTCATTCTGTGTGTCAAATGTGAAGGTTTTAAAGGTCCATGTAAGGCTGTTCTACTGCACAACAGACTAAATTTACTAAGTGATGCGTCTGAATGAGATACGAAAGCAAACAAGCCCATAACAAACAAGACTGGTTATTTCTTTAAAGGAATATAATGCCTGAATTCACTGACACGAAGGAGGTGTCAGATGAGCAGATTCCTAGCACGATAAAAAAGCATCCTTCCAGCGATTCATTTTCTGCAGTAAATATTTATATATTTGTCTGTGAAAAAAAAGCAGTTTGAGATTTTTCATAAGGAAACACTTCCCACACACGATCGAGACAAAAAGAAATCAGCCAAGAGATAAGAGGCGTCACTTTGTCCACAAAGGTTTGGCAGAAACCAGAACATCCTCACAGAAGCTGTGATGACGACTGAGTTGAACTGATGAGCTTAAAGAAATATACATGAAGTGAAAATCCTTGGTTAGAAAAGGATCCATTTTTGCTGATATCTAGAGTTGTACTTCTGTTGCTTCAGGTGGAGAAGAAGGCCCAGACCACAGTGCTGACCGCCGCCCTGCTGCTGTCGGGCATCCCTGCTGAGGTCATCAACCGCTCCATGGACACCTACAGGAGGATGGGAGATGTTTTTGCCGACCTCTGTGTTTACTTCTTCACCTTCATTATCTCACATGAGATCCTGCTTCTCATTGGCTCAGAGACTCCCTGATGGACCCGGGGGATCTCCGTACCTCCGACTTCTGTCCCTCTCTCCTCTGTCTCCCATGGCAACAAGGCATGGTCATTTACGTTGGCTGGTGTACGCTTGTTGTTGTAGACAGTCTGGAAATGTGTCTTTGCTGCCTTATGATTGGGGCAGCGCATCAGATTGGACAAATGTGTATTTATCAGGATTCTAACAAGGCTACGCTACATGTGATTGTGAACAGAGGCCGCTGCTGTTTGTTTTCAATATCAGTCATTTTTGTTCTAGACCTGACCTGATAAACAGAAGTTTGTGTTTGTTTCTGTGACAAATGTGCAGTTGCTTTTAACATGTTAGGTCATATTTATTTTCTAGATTTAGCAAAGGAAAGGAAAAAAACAAACGTCATATTTAAGAGCGGACGACAGTTTACCATTACACTCATTTCAAATTGATCAGCAACTGATGAGACCATGGACAGTGAAAATCCAGAGGGACATACAACTGAAATTGACTACACTTGGACACAAGCTTACATTAGCACTCAGCATCTCCTTATAAATCAATTTGCTTGATGTTGGTAGTCTAGGGGAAAGCGTATTCACGTTTTTCACCCTTTGACATGACCATAGTTGATTAGATTTAATTCAAACCTTTCTAATCTTATTTAAGTAACAGTAAAGCTAGAAATTGTTAGATAAAAATATTTGGACGTTGGTGTTACCTGTGGTCTAAAAGTGGCAAAATAGATACTGAAGCTCCTGTGAGGAGTATTTAGCTAGTGAAGAAACCGTCAATACAAAGATTTTTCCTTTCTTTACTTATATTTTCAAATACCTAAAACTACTTAATGTGGGCGATGTGCCTCCAGCTCTTCTAACGATGAAGCCAGAATACCGCCTTAATGGATCTTCTGCTCATGAAGCTGAGTCATGAACAGAAGAGATCTAAAATCACCACAAACATCACACCTTTTCTGCTGATCAAAATCGATTTCTTCAGTAAAATGTCAAAGATCCCTCATGTTGGATTAGTCTACTGCAGATTAGTTCAATTTGTTGATTTAAAGCGGACGCTTCTGAGTCTAGAAAGCTCAATGACTCTTACTACACTGCGAACCTCGCAAAGATCACTGCAGGAGGCATTTTTTTTTTTTTCATAGGATCGTAGGGGAAGATTCTGCCTCCTTCACCTCTGATTGGCTAGTAGGGCTGGGCTCCGATTGGTTGTTCCTTATGGCTGTGTGAAAGGTCATCGTCTGACGGGTTAGGGCTACGTTTAGGGTTAGAATTCTAACGTCATCACACACTCAAGCCGAGTGCGGGCTGTCGGCTCTGTACGCCTAACAGAACATTATCGCAATTCTGAATCTCCTAACCCTAACCATAACCCAACAGATGATGACGTTTCACAGCCATAAAGAATAACCAGCACTTCTAGCCAATCAGAGGCGAAAGAGGGCGGGACCTTCCCCTACAATCCTATGAAAGAAAATCCTGCCTGCATCTGTCAGCAGGGCTGTCAATCATCTCTGAAGCATAAATAAAAAATAATTTAATTGAAAAAATAACAACTGCATACAAATTAGCACGATAAAAACCAACTGCTGAGAAAAAGAAATCGTGTTTTTAAAAAAAAGTATGGCTATATTTTGATTTTCTACTTTGAGCCATGTTTGATATGTTCCAATGGAGGACTGTTTTCAGAATTGTACTACAGGCAGCCACTAGGGGGAGCTCTATGTGGCTTCACTGGGAGGAGCTGTAGTTCCGTCCATGTTACATACAGTCAAAGCTTCAAACACTGCCACAGAGACAAAGCTGTGAACGGCATGCTGCATAATCTAACTTTTCTTTTCAATGTTTTATCTGCGTTTTCCTTTTTTAAAGGCACTGTGAGGAGACTTAAACTCATACTGATGCCTTTTTATGACCTCCAAGGAAATAAGACCATCAGCAAGAAGGTAGATAGTTATACTAGAGTAATTTTTAATGCTGAAAAACACTGAGGAGATAGGTGTCAGAGCAGATGATTGACAGAACACTGATAAAACAGCCTCTGCAGATTGTTCCCACAGCAAATACTCACAGTGAGTGATACATTCACTGTCAGATAACACCAGGGTGAGGTTTTTGTCTGAAAATAACACCGTTAAATTTACAGGTCAAGAAAAAAAACATTTCAACATTGGCAGCAGTGGGTGTTAAATCAATGCAAACTAAAAGATCCTCACAGCGGCTTTAATGAGAAGTGAATCATTTGACAGCAGGATGAGATTTTCTGTTGAGACAAAATCAGCAAATAGATGAATTGTATCATTTCCTCCACAGAGCCAATTTGGAACGAACCCAGAGCTCGTGCTGGAGCTTTAAATAACTTGATCGGTGGCCAAATGCCCTTCTGAACTTTTTACTGTTCCTTGTCTTCAGATGCTGAGAATTATGAAGAGCTGAAAAATAAGAAGTCAGCCTCTCTTTGTCCATATGACTCGCAGCCTTAAACACAACAGCTCAACATTTTAGTTCTTTCTGTTAACTTATTCTAGCTATAATATGTGTGTCACCCAGAAGCTGTACAGACGAGAGCAACCAACTAATTTCCATGTTTTCTTTTGTGAAGTATTCCCAACTGCGAAAAGTACCTAACAGGACTGGACTCCTTTGAATATTTGATACGGCTCATGTTACTTTGCGCTCTAAGTTCCCTTCAGTTGCACTTTCTGTTGCTCTGGTCCACCTACAAACGCATTTTCCTCTTTCATTGGAGTTGTGGAGTTGCAAAAAAAGCATTTATCCCTCAATGTGGAGTGTATGATTTTGCACGGCAATTAACTAAGAATGGCAGTAAAGTTCATACAGTGTTTGTGGAAAATGAAAGAAGTGATTAACTGGAGTGATTGGGTTGCACTGGAATGCCCTGTCACTGCAAACTAATATGAGGCAGTGGAAGTTCATACGCTTCTTGTGATAAGTAATTCTAGTGATGTGCCGCCCTGCTATAGTTTCTTCAAGCCTTGAACATACATACTTAAATGTATATGTATACTCTTCTTCAGTGCTGTAGTGTCCTCTCTAGAACTTTAATGTCATCCAAATTAATTTATTCATGTGAATATTTTTTCCTTGTACATGAATTGGTGTGATTTCTCCTATGAAATGTCTGCACTACTTGATTGTTTTTGATAATGTTTACAGAATACCTGTTTATAATGGCTCCTACAGTATCCTACATATTTCAACCCGAGTAACAAATTGAGTGTTGATATGATATTAACAGCCTCTGCTTATAAACATACAAAGGAATAAGCAACCCAAACCTTCATACCAAATAAATACAACTTGTGTGAATAGCTACGACTTGTTCTGTCATATTTTTTATTTCTTGTTTCCACATGATAAAAGTATTGAGTATTGTTTTCACTTCACAAATGGCCTTCCGGGGCTTTCACAGTGAGGTGCACATCCCTGTCTCTAAATATATTTTTTATCATTTGAATACTTTTACTTTTTACCTTTAATTAGCTTATGCACAAAATGTAAAATTTGTGAAAATAACGATGCTTTAATTTATTGTACAATTGTACAAAAATGCATATGTTCATTTTTATCATTCTATCACAGAGAATAGATATTTAATTTCATTTGTATGTGTGTATTATAGTGCAGGTGAAATAAAACATCGGACTTTACACGGCATGTCTACACTGGCTTGCGATATTTTTTTTTGTTGGATGGTAGGGGAAGGTCCCGCCTCCTTCGCCTCTGATTGGCTGTAAAACGTCATCACATGCTCAAGCCGAGCGCAGGCTATTGGCTCTGTACATTGAACAGAACCTTACAGAACATTATTGCAATTCTGAATCTCCGAACCCTAACCTAGTGTCGTGTTGTTCATGAATGATTCATTCAAAAGAACCGAACTGCTGAGTGAACGACATGAGTGGAATCACTCCGAGACCAGATTCGTTCCTTTCTCACTTCTGCTCAACTGAAGTCCACTTAAAAGATTCGGTTCTTTTGAAGGAATCATTCGCGAACGACACAACACTACTCCATTTTAATCAGCGCGGTTGTTCAGCCCTCCCACCGCGGGGCGGCGCAGTAGGTTAGAGTTTGTGAACTGAAGCGTCGCAGTTTTCTTACGTCAAGGTTCAACGATACAAACTGTTCAGCACACGAACGTTGGTTGCTATCGGAACCTGAAAAATACTTCTTAAGACTTTAATTCTCAGACAGATATGGGACGCGAGTCAAGGTATGTCAAAAACGTGAAGTATTTGGTTTCTGTTGTCAACTGTTGACTCGACTAAGACTATTGTGACTGCTAATCTAGCTAACTTCATGTAGCATGGTGTGAAAGCGCATCACAAACACAAGCAGCGGCTTTTATAACAGAAAGATATCCATTTGGAGTTTTAGGCCAAGTTTTCTATGAACACCAAGCAAGCCTAGTGTAAAGCTAATTCTGCTGTTTGATTCTCAGACACTACAGAAAACGCTCCGCCTCTCGGGGACGGTCAGGAAGCCGATCCAAGAGTCGATCTCCGGACAAACGCTCCAAAAAAGACGACCGAGACCGGAGCAGGAGGGAGCGCTCACGGAGTCGGGAACGCCGCAGGTCCCGGTCCAGAGACAGAAAAAGAGCAAGGTAATATATGGAGGCTCATGACATGTGGGTGGACAAGAGTCTGAAAACAATCTAAAGAAGCTCATGGTCTGTTTTTCTTGGCCATAGCTAGAATTTAGTTGATCTGTGTGTGCTCGGCTGTGGTTCTTATACTCATGTAGGGCTGGGCGATATGGGAAAAGGTTTATCACGATATATTTTCATCGGCATTTCAGCCAGGGGTAGCACTTTTTTTTTGTAGGCTTCACGTGTTAAAGTGCTATGGTTGCCTGTAGCTGCAGCCTGCTACTACGCAGTTGTTTGCTACTTGGTTCTAATTCAGCACATGATTGGTTCAGCACAAAGTGGACCTGGAGCAACTCCCCTTTTCATTGGGTATTCATGTAGTCTACCAAAACATGGCAGAATGCCGACTATCGAAAAGCATATTGACCATGTTTTATATCGATATTGAGGGGAATTAATTTTGGATATATATCGTTATCGTTTTATCGCCCTACACTCACCTACCACAACAGTATGAACTCCTGGAGACAGTACAGCAATCAAATACATGATGGTGAAGTCTGTTATACTGAAGGGCGATCCTCATGTTTTTTTTCCTCTAATGTTTGTAAATGAAGTGGACTAAGCAGACAAATTATAAAGAACACTTCATCATAATACACTCCTGCCCACCAACCACCAGCTATATCTAAGTACAATTACCACTGGTCTAAACTGAACATGCAGAAGCTTTCTGGAATGGAATTTAGGTTCCAGTTGTCGTTGTGCAGAGGAGTGCACAGTATCCTCTACAAGGTCCTACTGTGAGGTGGTTACACGATTTTTAAAAAAATAAATCATGATGAAACCTGAAGTGAATTGAAGCATCGTTAATTTCACATTTTTAGATCTAAAATTGTTTGTTTTGTCAAAAAAAAATCCCAATGTTAGTGGGTTTTTTTTTTTTTTAGATGAGCTGAGACTATAAATTTGACCAAGTACAAACATGCCCATGTTAAGCAAAAGAGAAGTTGTTTGTCCCTCTCATTTTATGTCGCATGCTTGCCTCTGTTCAGACGCTCCAGAAGTAGAGACAGGAGGAGGTCCAGGAGCAGAGAGAGGAGGAGGTCGGGCAGCAGGAGCCGAGCCAGAAGGTCCCGGTCGGGTAGCCCCAGCAAGAGCAGGAGACCAGATGAAAAGTAAGACCTCTGATCCCATAAGTGATGTTTCACATAATAAATCATGCTTGCAGCGCAGACTGACAATGTGACCAATTAGGCCAGATAGTGTTTGTAAAGTGTATTTTGTTTGGGAGTCTCTGGTAGATGTTTGCAGGATCTTTCAAACAGGTGAGCAGAAATAAGTTTTTTTTATAGTTCTTTTGTCTTTTTCTTCCCATCAGGCCAAAGAGCAAAGAGAAAGACAACATTGATCCGATATCGGACAAGAAAAAGGTTAAGGAAGAGAAAGAAGATGAGAAGGTTGAAGATGTAAGTTTTGCTGATTAAGTCTCTGTGAATCATAAAATGTCATCACGTATGAAGAGAGGCTTTTTTCATATCTATCCTATGCGTCCCTGCAGCAAGACTTTGACCAGAACAAGCTGGAGGAGGAGATGAGGAAGAGGAAGGAGCGTGTGGAGAAGTGGAGGGAAGAGCAGAGGAAGAAGGCCATCGAAAACATCGGAGAGATCAAGAAAGAACTGGAGGAGATGAAGCAGGGCAAGAAGTGGAGTCTGGAGGATGATGATGGTGAGGAAGCACAGTCGAAAAGTTCACCTTCAGGAAATGAACGGTTCATTATTTTCTCGAGTGGTCTGATAACAGTCTCTTGATTTCAGATGATGACGAGGACGTTTCAGCTCCAATGGAAGCTGACGATGATGAAGACGGGGAAGGAAAGGGTGAGAAGAGAGAGAAAGACACAAAGGAGGAGAAGCTAGAGGAGGGTGAGAAGGGTGAGACTCCCATGGAGCAGCAGGCTGAGGAGGACGATGTGGATCCTCTGGACGCCTACATGGAGGAGGTGAAACAGGAGGTGAAGAAGTTCAACATGGGGGGTGTGAAAGGAAATGATAAGGTGAGTTTGTGGGGAAAATGCTGCATCACTGTGGCTATTAAATAATTTCTGGGTTACAAAAAGGAGAAAAAAAACTCAAATCTTCCCAATGAACTGATGACAGGAGGATCTAATGAAGGAAATACAGCAAAATGTACTTAAGGATTGTGTAGTTAGGTTGTCGTTTGTATCGCAGGGTTGTAGAAATCTTATTACTCTCCATATAAAAGCTTTTGTCGTATCTGCACTCATTTTAAACTGAGGATTGATTGTAAAAAATCTCATTTTAATCATCTAAAGTTAGTTTTTCTATCAGTGCCTGACAAATGTAGATGTCAACTTTGTCAAGAATGTCTCTCTTTCTTCTGTCAAGTTGAACAAATATCTGATTTTAATGTCCCCACCAGAAAGGAGGAGCGATGACAGTAACCAAAGTGGTGACAGTCGTCAAAACCAAGAAGGGACCTCACACCCACAAGAAAAAGGGGGAGCTGATGGAGAACGACCAGGATGCAATGGAAGTGGGTTTCCCTTCTTAAGCTATCATTTGTGTTTTATTTGTGAAATCGGTGACGCTTTCATCTGTATTTTTACATATTTGTCTTTTCTTTCATACCCTTAAAAAACCTTAAATGCCCCCTCTGTATCCTCTCTCAGTATTTATTTCTCAGCATACTTCTTATTCATACTTCCAATTGTCCAAATGTGTTTGACAGTACTCTTCAGAAGAGGAGGAGGTGGATCTGCAGACGGCGCTGACGGGCTTCCAGACCAAACAGAGGAAGATCCTGGAGCCTGTCGATCACGGGAAGATCCAGTACGAGTCGTATCGTAAAAACTTCTACGTGGAGGTCCCAGAACTCGCCAGGATGTCTCAGGAGGGTCAGTAATGATGGTGATGGTAGGGTTAGGGTCAGTGGGGGCCTGAACCTGTAGAGACACATTGCATCACTGCCTTGTGATATGTAGAATATCTGTTGGTGTTTTCAGTCTCTGTTTAACTGATCTGACGTCTCTGTCATGCTGGTTTTAATCATTACAGATGTGAACGCGCACAGACTGGAACTGGAAGGCATTACCGTCAAAGGAAAAGGCTGTCCAAAACCCATCAAGACCTGGGTGCAGTGTGGGGTGTCCATGAAGATCCTCACTGCTCTGAAGAAGTAAGTTTGACTGCTGGTCTTGTGGACCAGAAAGCCATTTAGGGAACGTTTAAAGGCCCATTTATGCTCGCCATACGTATGAAAATGTACGTGTTCGTTTCAGACAATGGTTCTGTCACTGCCTACATACTTAGACATTACATCCACTTGGGGGCAGGCCGGAGTCAAAAGTTTCTGACAATAACAAACAAAAAGAAACATGGCGACTGTGGAGGATTATGTATATTTTGCACAGCAGACAGAAACGGAGGCAGCGTGGAGGAGGCGGTGGTGGGTCAGGCCACTAAACGCCTCGTGGTTGGAGGACGTAGAATTCCTTTTTCTAGTAGTACCGATGAGAGAAATTAACGTTGATCCTCAAAAAGCCCCGCCATCGTCTTCTTCATTTCTCTCCAGAGATGCGGGTAGTGACAGCAGCAACACTGCCCTCACGGTTTCCGGTGGTACTGCGCCGTCTGACTCGTATCTGTAAACTTCAAGGATAGCATAAATGAGCCTTAAGTTGTTTAGCATCAACTTTGTTGTGAAAAACAATTCCTTGAAAAAATAGTAACATGGATTTATGTTCATGCGATTTAAAAAAAACAACTTAGAATGCTACTTTTACAGCATGACAGATACCTGGATCACACATTTCACTTCTTTTCAGCAGTGAAACAACACACTGTCTTCACCTTTATTTCCCTCTTCTATATGAACCCAGGCACAGCTATGAGAAACCAACGCCCATCCAAGCCCAGGCCATCCCCGCCGTCATGTCGGGCCGGGACCTGATCGGCATCGCTAAAACCGGCAGTGGAAAAACCATAGCCTTCCTGCTGCCCATGTTCAGACACATAATGGACCAGAGACCCCTGGAGGAGTCTGAGGGACCCATCTGTAAGGATTTATACCTGTGCTGAGCATTTTTATGTTTGCCAGTAGTTGAGGTCAATTTTAACTCGGCATTTGTCCCTCAGTAGAACTCACTTTGTGTCCTTTACTCTCCCACAGCTGTCATCATGACTCCGACCAGGGAGTTGGCTCTGCAGATCACCAAGGAGTGCAAGAAGTTCTCCAAACCTCTGGGACTCAGGGTAGTGTGTGTTTATGGAGGCACAGGTATCAGCGAACAGGTAAACACACACTCTATTGAACCCGGTGTCGTAGTGCACAGTACTCCATAAATGATCATGCTCAGGCCTTATAAATATTACATATACACATATTAAATACTGTATTTTACACAAAACGACTTCATGTTCTCAGTGAATTTGCCCTCATGTTAGGGTTAGGTTAGGCGAGGTTGAATTTATTGTCCTCATAAGGAAATTCATTTGGGGTAAGTAGAAAAAACATACACAAAGACAACAGCCAAACACAAATTCATACGCTGTCCCACATAAAAACAAACAACTCAGGAAAGACAATATAAAAGTACTACTGTACTGTACTGTACGTTGTCAAATAAAAAAATATAAAAAATCATTCCAATAAATAGCCTAACCCTGAATTTCCACCACGTCCAGAATGGCTCCGAACTGGAGCGGTTGTGGTTTGAGCCGTCTGCCAATTCCTACCAGATCCGTTTGTGAGCCAAATTTTGTGGCGGATTACAGGACAGCGGGAATCAAGAGAAATCACAAGAACCCACGGATTCACGTGCAATCGCACGATAACGAGTTATCTCTGTAAAGACAGCCACATAACCATATAGATTGTGTCCTTCCAGAGGAAGAAATCCACTTCTGGACCTTTAGATTCAGCATCTCCTCATCCATGGTGTCCTCTGGGTGAAATGCTGGATGAAAGGATGCGTCTCCTCCACAACTTTTTTTTTAGCATTTCAACTTTTAATATTGTCATTTGTTGTCATCGGCTCCCAGATAGCTGAGCTGAAGAGAGGCGCTGAGATCATCGTGTGCACGCCCGGGAGAATGATCGACATGCTGGGGGCCAACAGCGGTGAGTTCACACACCACGACCCTCTCGTCTTATTCTCTTCGGATGTTACTGCTAATGAGCGTTATAGAGAGCCTGTCATTGATTGCCTTGCATGGGAATAATGTTACAATGCAATAAAAAAGAACTCAATGAACCCAGTCAGTACCACTTACTAAACTGTCGACATTGTTTGGCCACCTTTGGGATCAGTCATTTCTACGAGACAGTGATGTGTTTCCTGAAGATCAGGGGGAGAGCAGGTAGGTGGACCTGGTGCTGCCTCTGTGGCTCCTCAAACTCCAAGCAAGAGATGATCCAAATTGCATTTATAAGTGTTGTGTATCACACGTATATCAGTGTGTTCAGTCTTTGAAATAATGATAGCCTGCATGATTAAGTGTCGTGTCACATTAGATATAGAAACTGCTTAGAAACATGTAAACATCTTGTATTTAAAGTAAAAAAAGGTATTTCCCTGTTTTTTTTAGGCTGAAAACAAAACTGTAAAATGTATCTGCCAACCTTTGTGTTTCTGTAAACCTCTGATGCAAATGTGGAAAAAAAAGATGGAAATGTGGAAGATTTATTAGCTGAGCCTTTCCCCACTGTGCAGTCAGTAAATATTTAATGAACAATAGCGCTACAGAAGGGTTTCTGTTGTTTCCACACATGCGAGGTAATCTGTAATATGTTTCCCTTGTAGGTGAAAAGGCGCTTGGTCAGATAATGCTTGATGGGGCTCCATCTCTTGTTTTGTATCTTGAGGCTGTTTTCTGACTTTTACAGGTCCCTCATGCCCCTGAGATGGTACGCAAGACCAAAGACGACAAAAATTATTTGAAAGTATAAATAAGATTTAAAATCAAGAAGGTGGCCAGTTGAAAGTAATACAAATGTGCACAAGCAAGGAAGCCTAGTCTTGTCAAGTAACATCAAGTAGTAAGGTTTCTCTGTGTTTCATTGAGTTTGTTTTAAAACAAAAAGGCAGACTGCGTATGAGAGCTGATTTTTCTTAGCTCCTCTTCTCATGCTCCTCTTCCCTGGTGTTCAGGTCGAGTCACCAACCTGCGCAGGGTGACGTATGTGGTGTTGGATGAAGCGGACAGGATGTTTGACATGGGCTTTGAGCCACAGGTGGGTTGCAGGAATGCAAACTTGATTTTTATCTTCCTTTTTTTTTTTAAATTTACTGAAATCTTTTGCCATAAATGTCAGTCGAGGAAGCTAAACCCTTTAACGCCTGACACCACAAATCATGGCCAGAAAATTTTAAGTTTTTTTGGAGCTGAAAAGTTTATTTCACTTACTACTGAAAAACCCCAAAAATCAAAATGTACTTAAAATTTAATAAATATATTTTTTTATCTTGTTTGATACATTAGATGTTTATGGAAACTGACAAACTACAAGAGGACATTTTTAACATTTATAAGACCATATTCAGGTGTTTTTTTTTTAGTAATTTGTTGATCATATTGATTTGATAGTATCATAAAAGTATGTATCGCATATGATACAAAAGGCATTAAAGGGTTAAACTGTCTCTGAGTCTTGAACAGTTTTCTTCTACACTGTTAACTCGCACAAAGTATTTGTTATATTGTTATTTTTGTTATTTCATATATATATATATATATATTGTTATTTGTTCTATTTGTTTTTTTATTTGCACAAAAGTAGACATAAAATAATTACATATTTAAAACAAAGACGTTAAGCGAAACTGTGCAGGAGAGGAAGGAAGCCTTAAGTGCTATTGCAGAATCCTCCCCATCAATACAAATAATTTAAAACATACACAATTAAAACACAATTTTAAGCAGTACAAAATCAAATTAACTAAATGACACATGAGTGAAGCGTCTCTTTTTTTATGTTTAGCAGTAAAGAAAAAAAACAAGATTAAAAACCATAAATTGCAGCTTCAGTGACCTACATGTGACGTATGGTTCCTCTCACCAGGTGATGCGCATTGTGGACAATGTGCGTCCGGATCGCCAGACGGTCATGTTTTCAGCTACCTTCCCCAGAGCCATGGAGGCGCTGGCCCGAAGGATTCTGTCCAAACCCATTGAGGTCCAAGTGGGAGGCCGCAGTGTCGTCTGCTCGGATGTGGAACAGCACGTGGTAAATCATCAACTTTTTAACTTTGTCTCATTGAATGACATGAGATCGAACTCTTTCTTTTTTTTCAGAGATTGGCGTTTTATTGTCATTGTGATTCCGTCTTAGTTTCCTTTTCCAAATCTGACCTGTCATCACTCACTTTTTTCCCCTCCTCTTTATCCCTGTTTTTTTTTTTCTTTTCTTTTTTGTTTTCATAGCTGGTGATAGATGAGGACAAGAAGTTCCTAAAGCTGCTGGAGATTCTGGGTCACTACCAGGAGAAGGGCTCGGTCATCATCTTTGTGGACAAACAGGAGCACGCAGACGGGCTGCTGAAAGACCTGATGAAAGCCTCATATCCCTGCATGTCCCTGCATGGAGGTAAGGGGTCACATAGTTATCGCACAGATTTACATCTCGGTGACACTTGAAAGCATCTCGAAGTTTTTCTTTGAATTCAAAAATAAGTACGAAATTTAGGAGAACCTAAGCATCGGCTCTTTGATTTGAAGGTTTCCACCATGGATGTGTGAAGTGCTTTGTCTTCAATATTCTCCTTATTTTTTGTCTTCTCAGGAATTGACCAGTACGATCGAGACAGCATCATTAATGATTTCAAGAACGGAGCTTGTCGCCTGATGGTGGCCACCTCTGTAGCAGCCAGAGGCCTCGACGTCAAACAGCTGATCCTGGTCGTCAACTACAACTGTCCCAACCACTACGAGGACTATGTGCACAGGGCTGGACGCACAGGCCGCGCAGGCAACAAGGTGGGTCACTGAAGCTGAATTTTGTGGTTATTCTGAGTGTGTTTGACTGCTTGCTGTAATGGCTTTTTATTTTCATTAGATCTCGACATTATGAAACATCCTGCTTTTGTTTTCCAGGGCTACGCCTACACCTTCATCACTGAGGATCAGGTTCGTTATGCTGGCGATATCATCAAAGCCTTAGAGCTGTCCGGGGCTTCTGTCCCACCGGAACTGGAGCAGCTTTGGGCCTCTTTCAAAGACCAGCAGAAAGCGGTAAGAACCAGTTGGATGTCTGTGTTAAAGCCTCGTTTGAGGTGTCGCTGTAATTTCTGAAATTGTCATAAATATCGTTCTTGAGAATTGATGCTTTAAAATTGAGGCTGCTCTCTAATTTGATGGTTACTTTTTAACTTCAGGATGCAAAGGGACACGTTTGTCTATTCTTGGTATAATCCTGAGCTTCTCTTGTATTATGAAAAACTGCCTAAAATGATGAAAAGTACCCAAAAATAATCAGATCATTTAAATTTTTGATGTTGCAATAAGCAAGTTTATTCAAATATCGATCATTTCATGAGAAATTGCATCCGTGCACTGCTGAGAGACTGATTCATGTTCTCTTAACCGGTTTTGCCGTCACATGGCAGGAAGGAAAGGTCATCAAGAGCAGCAGCGGCTTCTCAGGAAAAGGCTTCAAGTTTGACGAGACCGAACACGCTTTGGCCAACGAGAGGAAGAAGCTGCAGAAAGCTGCTCTTGGGCTGCAGGACTCCGATGATGAGGATGGAGCTCTGGATGTAAGTAACCATCAAACAGCTTATCATAGGAACGTGCTCATCGAAAAGGCGTGCTGCGAAATTCGTTGACCAACTCTTTCTCAGCACTACTTTAGAGATGTAATGTTTGTCGTCATCTTACTCGTTCACTAAAAGTTCTCTGTCTAAACCGTCTCATCATTTCTCAGATTGAGGAACAAATAGAAAGCATGTTCAACTCCAAGAAGAGGGTGAAGGATCTGTCCGCACCCGGGGCGGCCCCTGGCACAACAGGAGCAGTTGCAGCCACAGCAGCAGTTCCAGGAGGGCTCCCAGGCCTCGGCCCAACATCTGCCGGAAACATCCAGAAACTGGAGATGGCCAAGAGGCTGGCACTCAAGATCAACGCTCAGAAGAACCTGGGTGCCGAGGCTCAGGTAGGCGGATAGATTGAAATAGAAAGATGCAAGTAGAGAACCTTTTTAAAGCCCATCGTCTACCTCAAAGCTGTGTATGACCACCACGGCAGGCGTGTAAACTGAATGTATAATGAACCAAGTATATCCTCAGAGGTTTTCTGCTCCTCAAAACAACATACCCATAAATTAGTGAACCAAGAATTTTTCTGTTCTTAAAATACATAAAACGCGGGAATAAAATCCACAAATGAAACAGAAAAAGCAACTTCAGGTATCTCATAAGAAACCTTTCATTTTCAAGGGTCTTTCATCAGAGTTTGTTTGGTGCATCCTTAGTAGCTACAAATTCATTCTCATTAGTCCCTATGTTGATGTATATTCAGCATAGAATTAGTCTGACGTCCATTGCAAAGTATTTTTCTAACCCTCTGGTCAACCTTTTTTTTTGTGTCTTCTAAGTCAAACCGGTCATGTTACTTTGTTCAGGATGTAATGCAGCAGGCCACCAACGCCATCCTGCGAGGCGGCACCATCATGACACCCTCCGTGTCTGCAAAAACCATCGCAGAGCAGCTGGCGGAGAAGATCAATGCCAAGCTAAATTACACGCCTGTGGAGAAGCTGGAGGAAGAGCGGCAGGCGGCTGAGCAAGCCGAGACAGTCAAGAGATATGAAGAGGAGCTGGAGATCAATGACTTCCCTCAGGTTAAAAAAAACACTGTATACAGGACTGACAACAGAACGGACTGTTATTCTTATTATTTTGTTTTTAACCTGTGCTCTTTGAGCTTCAGTGATAATTATAAGCCATCTTTTTTTCTGTCATGAGCAGCTTGCCCATGTGAGTGCTCAAAAAAGACAGATTAGGGATGAAATGTCGCCTCTTGGACTGAAAAAAAAAAATGGTTTGAATCTGAAATATCATATCTGTGAAAGATAACTCAACAAGTATTCATAACTGATTATTTTTAGTGTCTTTATGGGGTCAGACTTTCTCAAAGTGCCCAAAAAATTTGTTTAAATTCATGATTCATTTCTTTCATAGATTGAATTTCCACTACTAAGTCAAAATAACATATTCTTAAATGTTTTATGCACAGCAGGTTCTTTATCAAAGTTCTGTCACTGAGATTTTCCCATGAAAAAAAATCACACGTTTCAGATATATCTTGGTGTTTTAAAGAAGAGACGTTTCAAATGTTCGTCTGTTTTCCTCAGACTGCCAGGTGGAAGGTAACATCCAAAGAGGCTCTGCAGAGGATCGGTGAATACTCTGAAGCTGCCATCACCATCAGAGGAACATATTTCCCTCCAGGCAAAGAGCCGAAGGAGGGGGAGCGTAAGATCTACCTGGCTATTGAAAGTATGTCAGGAAAGTTGATACTTTCTTTTTTTTACGGCTTCTTGGCTCTATATTTACATCAAATTAAGTTCTTGGTTTACTTGTGCTCTGTATAACTTTTTAAACGTTATATTAACGGTTTTTTTCTAGGTGCAAATGAACTGGCTGTGCAGAAAGCCAAAACAGAGATCACACGGCTGATCAAGGAAGAGCTCATCAGATTAGTAAGTATTTTCTTAAACTTGATACACAAACCGGTTACAAGGATACTCAGGGCCTCCTCAAGGTTTTTCTCTCAATTTTTTTAGCTAGGGTGACACAATACTTGGCTGATTTTTTAAGAAAATATCAATGAAAGATGTTGCTCATTGCTTTACCTCCGTCTTTTTTTCCTTTCAGCAAAATTCTTACCAGCCAACGAGCAAAGGCCGGTACAAAGTGTTGTAGACATGGACGCAAGGATCACTGGAAGAGTTTCCATCGCTCAACAGTCTCTTCTCAAGTCTTGTCAAATTGGCTTAAGGATATTTTAGTCTGTATTTTTTATGCTCCTTCAAATACACAAGTTAAGTCAATTTTCCTCAGTGTTTTCTGTGCTTTATGTGACCTTCCTGTAATTTTATACAGATAAAAAGTACCACAATGCTGATTTTGACCCCCAGTGTCATTTAAGCACTGCAGCTATACTCTGTAACATGTTTTTAAATGTGAGATATTTTCTTTTATGTAATTTTGTGCTCAGACTCCATCCTGTAACCTCACAGCGACATACACCTTCAGTCTAAAGATCTTTTCACTATTCCCCAGAATAAAAACAACGTGTTGCTAAGGGAAAGGACTTGATTTGTTTTGCTGTTTGTATTAACAAATACGGTAGATACTGTGCACCCTTACAGACTCTTTTAATTATTCAACAGCTTTCGTTTGTATATTATTCATCAGTTGGGATAAGTGCTGTTTGATAAGCACCGAAACTGACTGTAGTTCGATTTCTAGACAACGACGTTAAACGATAGAGTTATGTGTTATATGTTTATACAGCTTTAGTACCGCCTGTCGGATAAAAATGAACAGTTTTCGTGTGTTTTAGAGTGAAAACGGCGTTGTTGAATGTCACAGGTTCGGCAGTGAAAGGGGAACAGCCTCTTCTTCTCATCCCCCCTGTGCGACGCACTGCGCATGCTCAGACTGCGCTCCCGTCTTATTAATTTTTAATGGAAAATGGCTGCGTTTCTAATCCGAACCTCTGGAGCTGGGAGATAAAAACACGTCCGGCCGAACCGTCTACCGAAACAACCGCCGCGTTGAGGAAAGGTTTGCTAGCCGGTGTGAAAGCGGGGAGAAAATGGCTCGACTCGCGCTCTGAGGGATGAAAGATCATTTTTCTCTTTAACCCTTTATGCTCTGAGATCTGCGAACAATCGAGGTACAGTAACATTAATGCTGGAGGGTGTATTAAGATCCTTCACACGGCTTCTGTAAACGCACCCCAGTCGGTTATTTTCGCACTTTTTCGCTCTTTGGTAAACATTTCAAGCCTCTTTCTACTAAACCGTCATTAGGGCTGGATCTTGTTTTTGTGTTAAAATATACAAAGGTGCAAAGTGGCACAGTAGAGGTGGGTTAATGTCTTGAATCCATGTGGGTCTTTTTTTGTGAATGAGTGTAAGAACAACACACCTACTCACAGCCAGTCTCATTGCAGTTATGATTATCATACTAGTGGAAAAGGAATAATTTATGATATAATGCGTATAAATGTAGTTTAATGTGTTTGTAATCTTATCAGCAATCCTATCACTGCCCCAGGTCTGAGGTTAGGCTGAGCTGATGACCACCAGCTGATCAAGATTCAGGATCTTGTTTAAAGACCCCGAGGTATGGAAGCTCAAAGCTGACATGCATCCATGTATTTTATTTTTTTATTTTTTATTTACTTAGCTAAGAGTCAAGTGCCCTAAAGTGCAAAACATAATGTCAAATATAAAAACAGAACAGCTTTCAAAAGACTGTGTGTTCAGCAACAATCCTTGTCACTGGAGATACCCACATTTCCTGTTGGGTTTTTTTTTTGTTTTCAGTCACTTTTTTTTAACTTCAGAGCCACCATACCTTAAGTTGTAAAAGCCAAAATAAAACATAAAACTGGTATTGTGACGATTGAGCTGGACTACTGTCTTTGTCTGAGTGTACAAGCACCGGGCAAATATCAAGTTATTGACATTCACATGTTTGCCTCAGCTATGGTTGGTGGTAACACGCCCCTTTTCAGCTGGTTACTTTACCAGGTTGACGTATTGTGTATCAAAATAGTCAGCGAATCACGTTAGCAAGAGGCGAATAGGATAAACATAAAAAAATATGAAAATGATGTCACTTTTACAGCTTGTACGACAGTAAAGTCTGGTTTCTTTTTTCATTTGTCGAGGTTTTGTTTGTTGCTGGCTACCTAGCAATACATCCGTACTATTCAACTTCCAGCCCAACCTGATGTGCGAACACTGGAGCACATGCATAACACTTTAGCCAGGCTCAGTTCGGTTAAAGGAGAGCAACCTCCAACCGCGTTATCCAGGTCTGTTGTTCTGACTATGAGAAGTTCAGTCCAGTGCGATTTTAGTCTGACTTGTTGGTTACATGTTTTTTAAAAGTCCAGTTTTAGTCAGACTAATTGTGCGTTCGAGTTACCTCGGAAGTCAGATGTCAGCGCTGAAAATGGTGTCACACCCGAGTTGCCAACGTTTCAGTTACCAAGTCGGAAAAAAGCAAAGAAACAAGGGCGGAAACAAGATGGCTACATCTACAGAAGTTATTTAAGCACTTGCCTTGTCCTTGTTGTATTTAAACAAGGCAAGCACTAAAATGACTTTCGTATCTCGTTGTTTCCGCCTCTGATTTTGCTTTTTTCCGACTTGGTAACTGAAACGCTGGTAACTCGGGTGTGACGTCATTTTCAACCCCGACATCTGACTTCCGAGGTAACTCGAACATAGCGTAAGGCAAACAGGTTGAGCGGCCAGCTTTACGATAAATTGTCCAAAGATCCAGAGGAAACTAGCTTAGTTATCCCTACAAGACAATAAATGAAATGTGTGGATGTATGTCTGCTTTGGGCTTAAATAGTCTTTGAATTGAGGTTTTTATTCAACCTTTTGTAACCTTTTGTTTTGTTCAGGGTCCAACATTTAAGTGACTGTAAAGTAGTATGCATAAAAAGAATGAATGAGGCTTGGGTTTGGGTTCCTAAAATCAGGACCTTTGGCAGGATTGTTTCCATGGTAGTTACTGCCAACCTGCACCACATTAATAGAACATTTGGATTCATAATCAGGGCTTTTTCTAAAAAATTTGCATGTAAATAGGGAACTCTGAACACTCTGATCTGTGGCACGGGATTGTGTTTGAGTAGAAAGAATCAAATTGAATAAACTAGCAGATATAATCACCAAACTGAAGTGTGATTTTAGATTAAAAGACTTATGTAGACACAGTGTTGTAGCAAAACTATGGTACAAGAAGTAGGAAGGTACAAGAACAAGTGTGATCACTGGGTTAAACCACCATTGAGATCATGCCTGAGGTAAATACAGTTTCATTTTAAGAGGACTCAAATTATGTGCTGCAGCAGCTCAGGAAATCTGTCTGATCAACACTGTGAATATTTCATGGAAGCCGTCTTGATTCAGTTTTCACACGCTTCATTTTGTGGTGTAGGGAAAACCGGTGTATATTTTCTTGTTTAAAAGCTGTGACTGTTTAAAGACGTAACATCTGGACTCCAAAGTTTCAGCCTGGAGTGAAACAGACTCGGGTTGTAGCCCTGTGTTCGGTAGGTAGCCTTGTTTGGATGTTTCTCATCTACTGCCCAGGGAGATACAATCCCAGATGTTTCCCATTGTGAAGCTGAAGGAAGCTGCTGTGTGTTGCAGGGGTGGAAGAGTTATCAGAGTGCTCTCACTAAAGCGTCCACCTCGTCTTCATCCTTGAGGTCTTGACTACACACTAAAAAATGGCCCCTGGATTAACGTTTTGAAGCGCGACATCGACATATTGTCCTTGAACATATTTCTGTTATTATTGGTGTAGTGTTTTCTTCATCTCTAGGTTGTGACAGGCTGCAAAAGTCAAAGTGTTATTTACTTTATTTCTCTAATACCTTAACCTAATTATCAAAGTGTGAGGAACAAGAGGAGGTTTTGTCTTTAAAAATGTTCTTTTTACGTCACATTTTGTTCTTATGTCTGATACCAAAGCAGGATAAGCAAAAGGCAAATTTTTTTGTAAAAGAGTTGTTTAATTGTTTTATAGGTTGTGAATTAATTTGCTTGTTAGGGGAAACAGAGTAACTTTAAAGATAATAAATAATATTATTTCATGCAGTAAAAAAAACCTCAAGTGAGCAGTGGGGTCTTTGCAGATGCTTGTTCTTCATTTTGCTGTCAGTGGATACACACACTGCTCGCCATTCAGAGCGCCCATCTCTGGATTGGCTTTGCTTCAGGCTTTGTCACTCCTTTTTTTTTCACAGCTTATGTGTGAAACTAGAAAATTCTGCTTGAATACACTTCAATATCACATCTTATTTTTTGTATCTGATGCTGAAGTTCAAGAGAACCACACGAGACTGTCTCTAAATCCATAGATGAGAGTGGTGTTGTATGATTTGGCTAAATTAAGTGATCATAATCGAAGTGAGCAATTTTGCGATCACGGCAGAATAAATGATATGAGTCTACTGGCTTGGTTATCCAAGGTCATGCAGAGATTATTGAAAGTTTTAACTCCAGTTTAAAACATACAAGTATTAAAGTTCATATGAGGAAGTTTTTAGTCTGTGCCAAGTATTTAACCCTCTTTTTTTTTTAGCTGTTTCTTTGTCTTTGTTTTCACATACCTTAGACTTTAAAGGTGGGGTAGGCAGGATCTGAGCAAGTGTCAGTTTTTGGGAGAAATCTCGAATGTAAACTCTACCCCTCCCAACCCGTTTTCCCCTCAGCTCCTCCTCTCCCCTCCCTCTCTGCTTCAGCAAGCCCCGCCCACAAACGGAGGCTCCTCCTTGCTCGCTCGTATCGTTTCAATTAAATTCAGATATAATGCAGATAAATACAGATAATTACAAATGTGGCCCAGTCAACGTGAAAGTAAACAGCATTGGTGCTACTGTAGATGCCAACAGACTACCAGCAAACACAATGTTTGCAGGACTTCTACAACTAGGATAAAGTGACATAGTCCAGGACCCGAGGTCAACAGTTTAGCGGCGCTACAACACGCTACAGCAGGTCCATTTGACAAGAAAAACTTCTATTACACTTGGCTTACTTTGTTAAAGCAGTTTACCTGTCCAGCAGAAAGGTTACAGGGTCCGTAAGATCCTAAAGTGACCCCCATCATTGTTGACCCGGCTTCTTAGTTCTTGTCCGGTCTACCTCCTTTTTAAGCGTCCGTTATTCTGCCAGAGTCTCCAGTATTTACCTGTATCCAGTATACTGCCTCACAACCAATCAGGTTGGGGAAGGTGGAGAATAGCTTTGTTTACAGTCGGAAAGAGCGGAGCGCTCAAAAAATTTAAAACGTTGACTACACAGACATGATAAAACACAGCGATATTGTTATATTACCAAATGTCATCAATAACTTATAGCTCATGACTGATATCAGAAGTTTTGTTGTATATACACCACAAAAATAGATGCTTCTTTAACGAATTCTTGCCTACCTCACTTTTAACTTTGCAGGTTTTGTTCAGCACTTCTTTTAGTTCTGTGTAGCTGCCTGGGATGTCCCAGTGTAGAGTGTTTGCACCTTCATGTGTGTGCGATAATAACACAGCTGTCACTTATTTCTGACTCCCAGCAGAAGATGATGCGTCAGGTGACAGGCAGTGACTTCTGCATGAATAGCAGGCCGTCGTGCCTCGCAGAGGATGGCCACCATCCCACTGCCCACTTCGAAGTGTGCACCTCCCAGCCCAACAAGTTCTACCCTCCTCCTCAGTCGGCCCTGCAGATGACGCTGGCCCCCATGGTCTTGCCAGCTCAGAGCCACAAACCCATGATTTGCCAGAGACAAGAAGTGTTTGTGGGCGATGCTCGCTCACCTGGAAAAATACCCGGCATTAAAAGCACCAATCAAGCGCTGGATGACGGCAAGAAAAAGAACAAGGCTGTCGGGAAGACGGGCAGACGCGGGCGACCTTTGGGAACCACCAAGCTAGCTGGATACAGAACCAGCACAGGGAGGCCACTCGGCACTACCAAAGCTGCCGGGTTTAAGACAAGCCCGGGAAGGCCGCTGGGTACAACCAGAGCGGCGGGGTACAAGGTGAGCCCCGGGCGGCCTCCTGGCAGCATCAAGGGTCTCTCTCGCCTCAACAAACTGGCTTATAATAGCACCTGCAGCGGTGCAGCTTTTCCCTATCCAATACCACACAAAGAAGCCCTCTGTGAACCCTCCTGCAAAGAGAAGACAGCGAACGAGTAAATGCTCAGGGTCTCATTCATGAAACGTGAGCAGAACGGATTTATGTGTTCAATGTGAGCTGAACGAAATTTACAGCAAACCAACATTCATCAGTGTTTCAGTCGTTCTGATTTGTTCATTGCTATTACAAAATCTACACCTGCCTCTGACCACGAGTGTAGTGTGTGTAAGTGAAGAATTCACAGAAATATTGTTTATTATTAGAAATCATTTTTTATTCATGTTTTGATCTGTTATGCTCATAATAGATCTTTAAAAAACACATAAAACACAATCAATAAGCAGATCTAATCTTCAGATGAGTGTGTGTTTCAAACATGTTCAGTGATTATCAAGATTTTAATTAGTCAGCACTGTGGCTCTGTGGTCTAGTAATGATTTTTCTTTACCTTGGGGATCCATTCTTGTGTTTTAACTAGAAGTCTAACCTGTCCATAGGAGACAGGGTTACCCACTGAAGCCAAGGCTTTTGACTCCGCTGACCCACCACACACAGCAGGAGCTGCCTTTAATGACACCCAGACTCTGATAGAGAACTTCAACAGTGATCTGAAGGCAAGTGTCCCACCACCACTCACAAGAGACAATGACCTGTCTTTTTTTTTTTTTATTCCACTTCAAATGAAATACTGTTTCCACATCTGAAAGTTTCTTTTTCTTCCTCCTCTCTCTTCCCTCTCCTGTCGTTTCACAGGAAAGACGTCCACACCTCTTTATATGATGTTCATCAGCTATTCGTGGTTTGGAGATTTATGCTGATTAGTGGGAGTTTGTGGTTACTCTAGGACTGATTTGCAGTCGTGAACTTACTCACTTACTTTTATTGTACCGGTGACTGTTCTGCGAAAATCTACACATAAATTTACGAACGTTTCATGAATGAGACCCTCTGTTTTTACTGGTCCTCCGATAAGAGAGGCATGTGTACAGGTTTCCTGCCAGACTCTGGGGGCGATTGTTATTTTGCCCAGTCAGCTACGAGACAATGAGAAGGGGGTTTTTTATTATTCGTGTTGGTGTCATCTGTGTGCCTGCCACCTGATATAATACTGTTAGTTTTCAGTGCAGCAGCTGGAGATCTAAAGTGAGTCAAGATTTTAAAGGGATATTCCGGCGAAAAATTAAGTTAGAGTCAAACACGCCGTAACACTAGTTAGACACCTGCTTGCTTCTCTAGTTATACCAACTCAAGTAACGACCGCATGATAGCAATACATAGCAGTCTACGTCTATGTGCGCAAACCTCAAACAAAAAGCTTGTTTATGGGAGGAGTCCTGAAGAGACGATCACAGAGTGCAGCGGAGTTTCGCAGCTCAAGGAAGAACATTTATGATTATTACTTCATGGAAATGCAATCAAACCAAGACGCCAAGGCAGAACTACCGCGTCTGCAGTGCAAAATGATTATTATGATGATTATTAATTCATGGAAATGATCTGCTTCACTCTGTGATCGACTAGTCAGGGCTACCCAACAAACAAGCGGCTGCTGGAGGAGAGTGGGTGAGTTGTGTTTAGTCTCTTTGCTAAAGAAACCAGGAAAAACTAAAAAGATGTTTGGTGGCTAGTACTATGGCTGGGACCCTATATGTACTGTTGATGAAGTTAGGTATAACTTTGGTTGTTGGTATAACTAGAGAAGCAAGCAGTCAGCAACACTCATGTCTCGAGGGGGTGTCTTACTCTGTGTTACGGTGTGTTTGACCCTAACTTAATTCACGCCGGAATATCCCTTTAATTTCACTTTTCTGTGTCTGCATACCAAGAAAAAAAACAATACCAGATGTTTATAAAGGAAGGAGCCTTTCTCCTACTAACAATGGTAGTGTTTGTTCATGACACCATTGATTTTCAGTGTACTTAATGTAGCATTTGAACGCCGTTGAATGATTGACACATCCTTTTTTTTTTTAAATTACTGTAAATGGAAGAGACCGTCGCAAGGCGATTGTTAGCCAAGATTGTGAAATCTTCTCGACAGCATTAAACAAGAACAAACTCTACTTGAATTTCATACAAGCCAATGTTGCTGAACAATTTTTGCTCTCAAAACAAACACGTCCAAAGCAAGAGAAGAGGAAGAAGAGGGACAAGAAGGAACACCTGTTGGAAATAATAATACAAAAAAGGCTAATTGTAGCACCTTTTTAAATGTCACGTGTGTAAAATAAGAGACATCTGACTTTTAAAACTTTTAATTTAAGGACTGGGGGGGCAGGAGTCTAGTGCCTTGCTCAGTGGCACTTTAAAGACAGATGTACAGATCATCCTCCAGGCACACAGCAGCTAAAAAAACTGAAATCCAATGAACCTGAATTTTCCCACTCAGCTCAAGAACCAACACTAAACTCTCTGAATGTCCCCTTGCAATATGTCTACGTTATTTGCATGCAAATGTCATCAAAGTGACTGAGTCAACTTGCAGATTGTTGTGACTAATAACACTGTTATCCACGTCTGAACTGGTATATTTTCCTTAAGGTACTCCTTAAAAAAGTACATCAACGTCGTCAGCAACTCAGTTCAGCTCCTGCTTCTTTCAAACATACTGGAATTCCAGTAGCGTAGGTTATGGTTGCCTCTGCTCTTCAGTATTTCTTTAAACTCTTTTTGTGTGTTGTATCAGGAAAACTCTCCATATTTATATTTAAGTCATATGTTAATATTTCTTATATCTAGACAACTGTGTTTCTTTTTCACTTTGACCCTGTTGTCCGACAGTCTCAGGACAGCATGTCTACCTGTGCTCTGGGCTTGCTTCTTGATCTGCCTCCCTAATCCAGCATTCGTATCTTTATTGGTAACCCCGTCTAATAAGTGATTTTCTCTCTTTCTGTGGTCCATGATGGCGTTTCTTTCTCACACTCCTTTCTATTGATGTATGTGTTATTGCAGGAAAGGCTGAGTGTCTCATAAATGACGTTACTCTTCCTGTCCGGCACTTTGGATGAACCAGTAACTAAGATTGGCGTGTCTAGATATAAAAAGTATCAACATATTACACAGTCCGACCAAATGAACTTTTCTGGACTAAACTTAAGCTGAGCTACTCGCTGATGGTGTCCCAGTGCACACATCAAACCAGTCTCTTTCTCCTCATTAGTCTTTGAGCAGAAAGCAACTTAAAAGTTCACTAAACTTTTTTCTTTAAAAATGTAGATTACAATTTGAATGAGGGAGATTTTCATGGAAATCTTAAAAAAGGCAAATCTAGCTAAGCAGGGTTCAGGATATTCACTTTGATATCTGATTTTTTTTTATTTTAATCCTTATTGCGCCACATTTTGTTCAGTTCACAGTAAAAGTTAAATTACACCCGGTCATCCTGTTATCTTTTATATCCTATCGTCCAAAAATCAATTTTTGCATCTTTCTGAAAGAGGCCGATTTTGTGGTTACTGTCATATTTAGCTTGGACAGTACCATAAAAAGACATCGGGCCACTTTTTTGCAATTGTGACTGTGTAATTCACAAACTACAGAGAGGACAAAGTACTGCCGTCGTCGTTTTCTTCCGCTTATCCAGGTCCGGGTCGCGGGGGCAGCAGCTTCAGGAGGGAAGCCCAGACGGCCCTCACCTCAGCCACTTCCACCGGCTCCTCCGGGGGGATTCCCAGGCGCTCCCAGGCCAGGCAAGAGATATAATCCCTCCACCTGGTCCTGGTTCGGCCACAAGGTCTCCTCCCAGTGTGACATGTCCGGAACACCTCTAACGGGAGGCGTCCAGAAGGCATCCTAGCCAGATGCCTGAGCCACCTCAGCTGACTCCTCTCGACGTGGAGGAGCAGCGGTCCAAGCTCCTTACCCTATCTCTAAGGCTGAGCCCGGCCACCCTGCGAAGGAAACCCATTTTGGCCACTTCTTGTATCCTCAATCTTGTTCTTTCGGTCATTACCCAAAGTTCATGGCCATAGGTGAGGATCGGTACGTAGATCGTCCGGTAAATCGAGAATTTCGCCTTATGGCTCAGCTCTTTCTTCACCACGACTGATGCGGACAAAGTATCGCTTTTCTTGTTAAAGTGAATTTTTTATTACGATCAAAAACATTTTTCTTTAATGTTACGATTTCTACATGAATATGAGCAGACTGATATTTATTGCTTGAACCAATTTATTCCCACGTCCTTATTTAATGAATTCAGACTTTCAATATGTCTGTCTTTGTGTTTCTGTTGATTTTCAGTGTATTTCCACTGCCTAGAAGTCTTCACTCTGACTATCAGAGGGGGGCAGATTTTTCTTAAATGTATCATAATTTCGTTAAAATATGCTTAAAAAATGAATAAGAGCGAACATAGTGTGAACAACTTGTTTATTTCCGACAAGCTTTAGCTCTTTAAAAACTGCAGATCAGTTGTTTGATTGGCTATATAACCATGTGTCACAATATTAAACTCAGGTTTCTATAACTCATTCAAAGCTTGAGTCTAAAATGTCATTTTTACCGAGCGAACTCTGACATTTCAGAGGAAAGAAACAGCAAAGCTTCACTGAGTTGCTCTCTCACGAGGAAAACTTTAAACTACCGTAGTTCATTTTGGTGCAACAATCAGTTGTGTGTATATGACTGTGAAATCTTTGATACTATCACTTTTTATCATGGTTGTATTTTTATACAAGCCTTCAGCCTCTTGTTGTGTTGATGTGTGTGGTGTTAACAGAGCTCACTGAAATGTCACAGACAAACAAAGCTGTCACCCTCCTTTACCAAAGAACATGATGTTATCTAACTGTACCCACATTTATTGAGTTTTTCAACGTCGTCTCTAACTTTGACGAGAGAGCACTTGGAGACCACTATCCCCTGAAAGATGAAATGATTGTTTGTAGAAGGGGAAGAAAAATCCAACTGGGATTAAAAGGGATTAAAATGTCAGTTTTTCTTGAATGAATTGTAAAACGTACATGGATGCTGTAACCTTATTTAATTGATTTTCGTCATATTTATATTCATCTATATCATTTAAAAGTAGTCCTCTTTTTGTATAAGATTCTTCTGTAGCCATCTTTGATATTTTGCTTAAGCTCACATGAGGCTGAGTTGTGACGCACTCCAAATGGTTTGTTGAGGCATTTCCCGAAGTAAAGCCTGATGGGAAAAAAGCCGCCAGCTCGCTCTTTATTAAAGTGTTGTTTCAGATGAGACATTTTGAGATGTGACAGCAGGTAAAGCACAGGTGTAAATAATAAAATGGAGCACGGCTGCTTCAGCTTCAGGTTATTGTAACACTGTTGGACACTGAGACACAGACTGTTAATGTTACCTGTTACACCTGTGCTTACCTGACACAAAAACTCCAACGTTTGAGGTTGGAGTCTGATGATGCTGACATGAGGCCGATTGTTTGATTGTTTCATTTTTGCTTCTTTCTCTCACAGAAGAGTCATTTTCTTCTCCTGACATCTCCAGCATTGAATCAACACGTGGTCTGTTGTCTGTAGGTGATGATTACAAAAATATGACCTCACATTTTGAGTGTTTTCAAGAAGCCCACTTACCCCTAGAGTATGACTGGCCAAGCCTGTAAAGCTTTGTATTATTCCTGTTTTATTCCTGCATGATTGTTGTTGAATGTTCAAAAGTTGTGTAATAAATCTGAAAGTAACACATTCTGCTGAAATGTTGTGCACAAAATTTTTATTTGTTTAGATGTGAATGCAAACATTAGTTCATGTTGTTTTTGATCAGGGTATTACAAAACTCCTATGTGGAGTTTTTTTTTAAAACCCTCATAAAATACACTGAAATGTATATTAGTGCCTTTAATGACATCTATATTTGATCTTTAAAAAGCAGCAGGATGAAATATTTATGTCAGAAGTAAAGCATGTTAAAGACAGGATAAACACGGACTGCTTAGTCCACAGGGGGGCACCAAAACTGACACACAGAGACATTTCCTCACAGGAGCTCTGAACAAACAAACACAAACATTTTTGTTGCAGCACAGTAAGTGCAGAATAAAGTTCTTTATTTCACACAGGAAGGTACATTTTATTACACCAAACAGATAAAACCTCTCATAAAAAGTGATTTGTTTCTTATTTAACTGTTAATTAAATTAATGTTAATGTTAATTAAAGAAGACATCTTAGTCCCAATGACTTTGAGACCTCCAGTCTCTAAGCCGACACATTAAATGTAGCTACAACACCACAGAAAAATAAGTTTGAGAAATAATGTTATGGAGAAAGAGAGAATGTATATAATAAATAATAGGGTCATACAAATCATCATGTTGAAGTTATGAAAAGATTACACTTGAATTTTTTTTACTTAGGTTTGAACTTTTTAAGCAGATGTTAAAATCTCTGATCTAAACAAACAAACATGTAAAAAGACTCATTATCAAACATAGTGCAAATATCATACTTTGATTCAAGACACTTTTTAAACAAAAGGTTCAAACAAGCAAACATGATTCCACCTGATTAATTCCCCATACAAAAGCATTTTAAACTTTACATCTTATAGAACTTAAACCCACTTTGCCTAATTTTAACAGTGCAGGAACACCTCCTGTAAATCTTTACAGATGAATCAGTCTGTACCCTCATGTCTACTTGAGCTCACATATCTCAGCAGTGCTTCCAGAAGGGTCTGGAAGCCAGAATCCAGAATAGAGGGGGAGAGTAAAGGTGGTCTGGACTCTGTGGAGGAGAGTCATGGTGTCAGAGACCCTGTAGTAGGACAGAGTACCAGCCTGATGATCCAGGTAAACTCCTATTGTAGAGGACGGAGGGCCTGAGACGGCCGTTTCTATGTTGTTATGTCTGAATATGTGTCCACTGCTGCGACATTCTAATGACCAAGATTTTTCATTGAAACCAAATCCACATTCATCTCTGGTCCCTGTTCGGCTGATCTCCTTGTATGCAACTGCCATTATAATGTATCCACTCCACTTCACCTCCCAGTAACAGCGTCCAGTCAGACCATCTTTACTCAGGACCTGCCGCCATAGAATAAACCTGTCTGGGTGGCTTGGGTATAACTGATCTACAAGCAATTGTGTGGCTTTTTTGTTACTGTCACTCAAGAGTAATTGTTTTTGTGCTGTATTTGGATCCAGTGTGATTGAACGAGAGTATCTCATAAAGTCAGCTCTGGTTGTTGGCTCTGGTTGTGGCGGTAAAACTTCCACCTTGGTCACTGCTGATGAGATCTTCACCCAGTCCTCACTCAGAACAGCCTGAAGTTTGTCTCTCAACTTTGAAACAGCTGCTGTCACATCCTTAAAAGAGCTCAGAGGACAGACACTAATGCTGAGAGGACCTGTAGATTCATTCAGACCTGACAGTGAGGGATAGTTGTTTAAGAAATGGAGGTGATCTTCAGTTTGTGAGAGCTTCTCCAGCTGAGCCTCTTTCCTCCTCAGATCAGTGATCTCCTGCTGCAGCTTCTCCTCCAGCTCTGTGGCTTCAGTCACTTGAGTTTTCTGCTGGGATCTGATCTGCTGAGTCACTTCAGAGCGTATTTTCTCAATCAGACTGATCAGCTCGGTGAGGGTCTTCTCACTGTCTATCACAGCTTCATCAGCAGACAGGTCGAAGGCCTCCACCCTCTGCTGGAGCACCTTGACGTCTCTCTCTCTCTGTCCTGGACTCTCTGTTGGATTTTCTGCTGACTCACCTTGAGCTCTTTCTGTTTCTCGGCTCTTTCTGCAGCAGTAGAGACAATGTCATGACCTTTGTGTTCATCCACAGAGCAGAGGTAACAGATACACTTGTGATCAGTGCGGCAGTAAATCTTCATCACCTCCTCATGATGAGAGCAGATGTTCTCCTGAAGCTTGAAAGTGGCTTCAACCAGCTTGTGTTTCTTCAACAGAGCTACACTGTAGTGAGGCTGGAGGTGCTGCTCACAGTAAGAGGCCATACACACCAGACAGGACTTGAGGGCTTTCAGCCTCTTACCAGAGCAGTAATCACAGGCCACGTCTTCAGGTCCAGCATAAGGAAGATCAGGTGAAGCAGCTTGAGGCTCCAACTTCTTCACTTCTTCCACAAGTTCTGCTAACATGGTACTTTTCACCAGGACAGGCCTTGGAGTGAAAGTCTGTCTGCACTGAGGACAGCTATAAGTATCCTTGTCTTTCTCTTCATCCCAGCAGTCGCTGATACAGCTCATACAGTAACTGTGTCCACAGGGAATAGTCACCGGATCCTTTAAAAGATCCAGACAGACTGAACAACTCCATTTGTCTCTGTTAAGCTGAATTCCTTGCTGCGCCATTTCTCCCTCTGCAACAGATGGTGAATGTTTAAAAGTTTCTCTTTCTGTTCCTGATAAATGCCGGGGTCACAGTCTCTCTGCCTGTTCACTGATCTGCAGTGTCTGTGCTCACAGCTGTTCCAGTTCATCACAGAGTGTTTACACCCATCCTCAAAGTGGGAGATCTGTAAAAGGGGAGGAGAGACAAATGAGGAAGTAAAGTGTGGGTGGGGTTAAAAACATTCACTTATCAGGAAGAAGAGTGTCAGACAAACAGAGATTTTTAGACGCACTGATATTTTACAAAGCATCTCTTTAAACCACCAATAAATGGACCTAGTATAGCAGCCACACAAAGTTTATCTCTGAGAGATTTGGAACTTGACTTTAGGACAGCAGAGATGGTCTGAAATGATGTTTGATTTGAGTGTTTCAGTAGGAACGATAAGAGAGTCTGTGGAGTCCAGAGGTCTCTCACTTACACGTCTTAAAAACAACTTGTCAGGAGAAGAGCACACTTAGAGAAAAACATGAGACCCATTTGAAATAAGGTGCACCAACAAGTAACATCCACCCTCAGATAACAAAGATCACCACAAAGAACCAAAGTGTGAAAGAGAAAAGTTTCCACCAGGAGCAAATCAGAGACTCATTTAATGTAAGGACCACATAAGAAATGAAAAGATTACACATGCTAGTACATTTCTGCTTTAATAAATACAAGTCATTAAATATAATATGCTGTGAGATCCCTAAAAACACTTTTTTTGTTAATTGTAGGCTGTTCACACTTTGAGTATTTTAACCATCACACTCTGGAAGGATTTTAATCTCTGAATATTCAGCCAAGAAGATTTCTCCTTGAAGGAAAATGATGGGGGTCAGAATTAAGACTCAATCGACCACAAAGAAAACTTTTCATCCATTTGTTCTGAAATACCGCCCCCTGGTGTCAGAGATCTGTACTGTGACAGATGAATCTACTGGACTGGACTGTCTTTTCTTGTTCACGAACACATGTTTCTTCACTGAGTTGCTCTCTCAGTAGTAAATATAAAAAGACGATATTAATAATGATAATAAAATCATAATAATGGTAATATTAATGATAAAATGGAATAACAAAAATGAGCAGGAAAGAACAATAAAGTCAATAAAAGGCCTAAAAGGTTAAATAAGAAAAGATTATAAGTAAAACAAAGGCTAAAAGGACAGTAAGTCGAAATAAGGTAATAGAGATAAAAGATAAAAGACGGCATCACAGAAAAGCAAGTCTGTAAAAGTGAGTTTTTTAATTTGTCTCCTCTGGCAGGTCGTTCCAAAGTCGAGGAGCTCTGATGGAGAAAATCTATCACCTTTTGTTTTGAGTCTCGACTTTGGAACTACCAGGAGGCCTTCGCCAGAGGATCTGAGGCTGCGAGTTGGCACATAAGGTATTAAAAGCTCTGAAATGTAGCTCGGAGCAAGTCCTTTGAGTGCTTTGAAAGTAATAAATAAAATCTTAAAATCAATTCATCCATATCGTTTAAAAGTAGTCCTCTTTTTGTATGAGATTCTTTTGTAGCCATCTTTGATATTTTGATGAATTTTTTCTGGAGGTTTCGCTCACATGAAGCCGAGCTGTGAAGAACTCCAAATGGTTTGTTGAGGCATTTGTAGTAGTTTAAAAAAAATCTGCTTTTTTAAATTTTCAATAAAACAGACACCCACTCTATTTTTGTAAGTAAATAATTGAATCAATCTTCTGCAGTTACACAGCTTCGGGATCAAAGCGATACCTAAACATGTCAGTAGATGGCAGTGTAAGATTACTGTGGACACTTTAACATAACTGTTCTGCTCATGCGCAGCTCAGTTGTAAACGAGAATCGGCTGAAGCAAGAAGCTATGGCGGTAATGCACCAATAAGATGGATGCCAACCGCCGTTAAACACGAAGAAAAAAAAGAACAAGCAAGGAGCTAAGTTTTGTCTTCTGTCTCATTTGTTCTCAGTTTATGTTTCCATAATTTGCTCCACAGTCCACTCTTCCTGTGTGACCGTCACAATTGGCCCAGATTTCCCTTTAAGTCTGGCGACGGTTAAACATTGAGTGAAGTGAAGCCTGATGGGAAAAAAAGCTGCCAGCTCGCTCTTTATTAAAGTGTTGTTTTAGATGAGACATTTTGAGATGTGACAGCAGGTAAAGCACAGGTGTAAATAATAAAATGGAGCACGGCTGCTTCAGTTTCAGGTTATTGTAACACTGTGGGACACTGAGACACAGACTGTTAATGTTACCTGTTACACCTGTGCTTACCTGACACAAAAACTCCAACGGTTGAGGTTGGAGTCTGATGATGCTGACATGAGGCCGATTGTTTGTTTTATTTTTGCTTCTTTCTCTCACAGAAGAGTCATTTTCTTCTCCTGACATCTCCAGCATTGAATCAACTCGTGGTCTGTTGTCTGTAGGTGATGATTACAAAAATATGACCTCACATTTTGAGTGTTTTCAAGAAGCCCACTTACCCCTAGAGTATGACTGGCCAAGCCTGTAAAGCTTTGTATTATTCCTGTTTTATTCCTGCATGATTGTTGTTGAATGTTCAAAAGTTGTGTAATAAATCTGAAAGTAACACATTCTGCTGAAAAGTTGTGCACAAATGTTTTTTTTTTCTTTTGTAAAGACCTGATTACAAACATTAGTTCATGTTGGTGTTTTTGATGAGGGTATTGTTAAAGGTCCTATGAGGAGTTTTTAAACTTCCATGAAATACACTCAAATATATATTGGTGCCTTTAATGACATCCATGTTTGACTGTTGAAAAGCAGCAGGATGAGATATTTTTGTCAGAATTAAAGCATGTAAAAGACAGGATAAACAAAGATTACTTTTTGTTACACAGTGGGCACCAAAACTGACACAAAGAGAACGTTCCTCACCGTAGCTATAAACTGACAAAAACACTTTTTTCCAGCACAGTTTCTGCAACATCTTGTAAAAGAAGATACACAAATTGAATTTATATGACACTAGAAATATAAAGCTACTTGTAAGAATTAAAAAAAAAAAGGTGATTTGTTTTTCATTTTATTTTTCAATTGGACTTTCAAATCAAAACACCATCTGCTTCTAAAAAAGACATCTCAGTTCAAATGACTTTAAGCCTTCCAGTCCCTAAACCGACACCTTAAATGTAGATACAAGACCACAGATAAATACGTTTGAGAAATTGTGTTCCATTTTTTGACTTAGGTTTGAACTTTTTAAGCAGATGGTAAAATTTTTGATCTCAACAAACTTAAACGTAAAAAGACTCATAATCAAACATAGTGCAAATATCATACTTTGATTCAAGACACTTTTTAACAATAGATTCAAACAACAAGCAAACATGATTCCACCAATCAAGATGAATTCTCCATGTAAAAGCACTTTAAACTTTAAATCTTACAGAAATTAAACCCACTTTGCCTAATTTTAACAGTGCAGGAACACCTCCTGTAAATCTTTACAGATGAATCAGTCTGTACCCTCATGTCTACTTGAGCTCACATATCTCAGCAGTGTCTCCAGAAAAGCCAGGAAGCCAGAATCCAGGATAGAGGGGCTGAGTGAAGGTGGTCTGGACTCTGTGGAGGAGAGTCATGGTGTCAGAGACCCTGTAGTAGGACAGAGTACCAGCCTGATGATCCAGGTAAACTCCTATTGTAGAGGACGGAGGGCCTGAGAGGAGGGTTACTGTTTTGTTATGTCTGAATCTGTGTCCACTGCTGCGACTTTCTAATGACCAAGATTTTTCATTGTGCCCAAATTCACATTCATCTCTGGTCCCAATTGTGCTGATCTTCTTGTATGCAACTGCTATATAAACATATCCACTCCACTTCACCTCCCAGTAACAGCGTCCAGTCAGACCATCTTTACTCAGGACCTGCCACCATTGAACAAACCTGTCTGGGTGATCTGGATATGACTGCTCTTTTTCCACTAATGTTGTCTTTCTGTTCCCGTCACTCAGTGATAAACGTGAGTGTGCTGTATTTGGATCCAGTGTGATTGGACGAGAGTATCTCATAAAGTCAGCTCTGGTTGTTGGCTCTGGTTCTGGAGGTAAAACTTCCACCTTGGTCACTGCTGATGAGATCTTCGCCCAGTCCTCACTCAGAACAGCCTGAAGTTTGTCTCTCAACTTTGAAACAGCTGCTGTCACATCCTTAAAAGAGCTCAGAGGACAGACACTAATGCTGGGAGGACCTGTAGATTCATTCAGACCTGACAGTGAGGGATAGTTGTTTAAGAAATGGAGGTGATCTTCAGTTTGTGAGAGCTTCTCCAGCTCAGCGTCTTTCCTCCTCAGATCAGTGATCTCCTGCTGCAGCTTCTCCTCCAGCTCTGTGGCTTCAGTCACTTGAGTTTTCTGCTGGGATCTGATCTGCTGAGTCACTTCAGAGCAAATTTTCTCAATCAGACTGATCAGCTCGGTGAGGGTCTTCTCACTGTCTTTCACAGCTTCATCAGCAGACAGGTTGAAGGCCTCCACCCTCTGCTGGAGCACCTTGATGTCTCTCTTTCTGTCCTGGACTCTCTGTTGGATTTTCTGCTGACTCACCTTGAGCTCTTTCTGCTTCTCGGCTGTTTCTGCAGCAGCAGAGACCATGTCATGACCTTTGTGTTCATCCACAGAGCAGAGGGAACAGATACACTTGTGATCAGTGCGGCAGTAAATCTTCATCACCTCCTCATGATGAGAGCAGATGTTCTCCTGAAGCTTGAAAGTGGCTTCAACCAGCTTGTGTTTCTTCAACAGAGCTACACTGTAGTGAGGCTGGAGGTGCTGCTCACAGTAAGAGGCCATACACACCAGACAGGACTTGAGGGCTTTCAGCCTCTTACCAGAGCAGTAATCACAGGCCATGTCTTCAGGTCCAGCATAAGGAAGATCAGGTGAAGCAGCTTGAGGCTTCACCTTCTTCACTTCTTCCACAAGTTCTGCTAAGATGGTGTTTTTCACCAGGACAGGCCTCTGAGTGAAAGTCTTTCTGCACTGAGGACAGCTATAAGTATCCTTGTCTTTCTCCTCATCCCAGCAGTCGCTGATACAGCTCATACAGTAACTGTGTCCACAGGGAATAGTCACCGGATCCTTTAAAAGATCCAGACAGACTGAACAACTCCGGTTTTCTCGGTCAAACTGAATTCCTTGCTGCGCCATTTCTCCCTCTGCAACAGACGATGAATGTTTAAAAGTTTCTCTTCCTATTCCTGATAAATGCCGGGGTCACAGTCTCTCTGCCTGTTCACTGATCTGCAGTGTCTGTGCTCACAGCTGTTCCAGTTCATCACAGAGTGTTTACACCTATCCTCAAAGTGGGAGATCTGTAAAAGGGGAGGAGAGACAAATGAGGAAGTGAAGTGTGGGTGGGGTTAAAAACATTCACTTATCAGGAAGAAGAGTGTCAGACAAACAGATTTTTAGACGCACTGATATTTTACAAAGCATCTCTTTAAACCACCAATAAATGGACCTAGTATAGCAGCCACACAAAGTTTATCTCTGAGAGATTTGGAACTTGACTTTAGGACAGCAGAGATGGTCTGAAATGATGTGTTTGATTTGAGTGTTTCAGTAGGAACGATAAGAGAGTCTGTGGAGTCCAGAGGTCTCTCACTTACACATCTTAAAAACAAGTTGTCAGGAGAAGAGCACACTTAGAGAAAAACATGAGACCCATTTGAAATAAGGCGCACCAACAAGTAACATCCACCCTCAGATAACAAAGATCACCACAAAGAACCAAAGTGTGAAAGAGAAAAGTTTCCACCAGGAGTAACTCAGAGACTCATTTAATGTAAGGACCACATAAGATTACACATGGTAGTACATTTCTGCTTTAATAAATACAAGTCATTAAATATAATATGCTGTGAGATCCCTAAAAACACTTTTTTTTAAATTGTAGGCTGTTCACACTTTGAGTATTTTAACCATCACACTCTGGAAGGATTTTAATCTCTGAATATTCAGCCAAGAAGATTTCTCCTTGAAGGAAAATGATGGGGGTCAGAATTAAGACTCAATCGACCACAAAGAAAACTTTTCATCCATTTGTTCTGAAATACCGCCCCCTGGTGTCAGAGATCTGTACTGTGACAGATGAATCTACTGGACTGTCTTTTCTTGCTCACGAACACATGTTTCTTCACTGAGTTGCTCTCTCAGTAGAAAATATAAATATAAAAAGTAAATATTAATGTAAGGACCACATAAGAAATGAAAAGATGACACATGCTAGTACATTTCTGCTTTAATGAATACAAGTCATTAAATATAATATACTGTGAGATCCCTAAAAACACATTTTTTTAATTGTAGGCTGTTCACACTGCTCACTTTCACAGTCTCTATAACCTAGTCATCCACCCTACAGTGGATGGCTGGGACTGTAGAGGACGGTCCTCTATAGGGTTGAAAAAGGTTGAAAAGCACTGAAATAAAGAAAATGGCTGGGTCATATGTGAACGTTTGTATATATGAGCATGCACCCACACGAGAGGGGCAGCTGTTTACAATTTTCTTGATAACGAGGCTAGATTGGGTGATGTGTGTATAATGTGCGTGTATGTGTTACTTTTGGTCCTGGTCATGGTTAGTAGACTGACGACCTTCATTCTGACTCTGACCCCGCCCCCCCTTCCCAGAATGCTGTTTGAGAGACTAATGACGTTGACAATGCTGACCTACCCCTGTTCACCGGCCCTACTGGGCCCTACAGCCTGAGACCCAGACAGAACCCCAGAGTGACCTCTGGATGGACTGACTGTACTTGGACTAATCCATATCATACTGACAGACTTGACTTGATCTGAACGTTTTGGTGCATGTTCATGTGTACTGATCAATAATATGGGTTCTTTAACAGTGGTTTGAGTTCTCGATCCAGCCTAATAGAGTGATAGTGTTGTGTTGTGCACAGTGCTCACCTATATAAACACTGTTTTTCATTGAAAAAAGTATTTCAAACTATTGTCATGAAAAAATTAGGGACTTCATGTCATGTTTGCTGTGGTACACTGAGTTGTTTTTTTATTTTTTATTTTTTTTTATATGTGTTGTTAAGAACCTTAAATTTGCTCAGTACTGACATGTATGTCAGCTGCCTGCATGGTTCACTGTATTTATTGCCCTGTTTAGTCAATGACGGCGTAACTGCTTTTCACGTATGAAAGTATATTAAGTATGGCCTGTTTCTCAGAAGTGTACGGCTGGGGACAGCCTTTGTCTGACTAGGGGGGAATATGTGTACTGTTCCTTTAACAACTTCAATATCCTAATGATGTCACAGAGTGGCGCCTCTGCTGTGGTCAGTTGGGGAGATGAGGACAAGATGAGCGGACGCCATTATTAAGCTCCTGAAGTTTCTTTTTCTTTGAATTTCAACTCTGTTAACATTGAGTACCGTGAGACTTCTTTGTCGTGTATGATATCGGTAACATGATGTTTCATTTAAACACAAAGCAACAAAGTTAAATAACTGACACTCACTGGTTTTAGTTTTATTTCTAAATATAAAATATAATCAATTTTTCCTTCTGGAGGCCATTTCAAGGAAAAAAGGTTCCCTCTGTATGTCCTCTTGATGCCCCTCCGGTTTTCCTTCTGGAGGCCATTTCAAGGAAAAAAGGTTCCCTCTGTATGTCCTCTTGATGCCCCTCCGGTATATAAAAGGTGCGGCTCGGATGCTTTTCCAGTAAAGGAAATATTCTTTTCAGAAAGTGCCCTGTCAATATCTGTCAAAAAAAAGTGCCCCCTGGTTGCCCTTCCAGTACACAAAATGTGCTTTCCAGATGCTCATCCAATAATTACAAAGTACACTCTGGATGCCCTTCCAGTATAAGACCTAAGTCTACTCTGCATGCTTCACTGTGCCTTCTGGATGCTCCTCTGTTTCATAAAACTTCTTCTAGATGCCCTTTTAATATATGAAAATGGATCCTCTGGATGCCGTTTCCAGTTTGTAAACCAATGCACTCTGGATGTCCTTCCAGTACATCAGCTTGTGCCCTTTGCATCCTACTCTGTCAGGTTTAATCTAAAAATATGAAATATATTGATAAAAGCGCCTCTTGATGCTTTATAAAATGAGAAGATGTAAAAGAAAATGAGGCCACTGGATGCTCTTCCAATGGAAATATTGGTTGTAAGCTGCCCTTTTAATAAACGCACCTTATTCTGATTGTTTTTTGTTTGTTTGTTTGTTTGCTTGTTAACATTAGATTTTCAGCTCAATATGTTGAACAGATATCCATTAAAACCTAAAGTGCAACTTTTGAACAGTTCCAAGGACAGATGGAAAGTTCTTAATTTGCATAATGTACAGAAAGCACAGTGATGAATGTTTACCTCTCTGCATGTTACTTCTTCGGTAGTTATCTCTCACCAAGCACATTGCCAAACATCTTACAATTGTTGTGAATTTAGGTCATATTTGATCATATCAGTTATTTCTTATGTTCTAAAACTTCACTCATGTATAGTATTGTACTGACCCCTACTATTTTAATCTAACACTTGTTAAAATAAACTGTAGCTTTTTAAAGGTAACCAGACTCCTTGTTTCACCAGATACTACACTTGTGTCCACAGATCTCTACTTTAGAAAATAAAGTAGAAATTGGATGTTGCTTTTCTTTGAAATGTATTGAAACAGAATTGGTTGGGTCATCCCTCCAGATAGAGCTCCTTTTAAAAGTGACTCCCTGTTAGACAGAAGTGGATGTTACACCTACAAATATCTTACCACATGGACACTGAATCATATAGATAACATTTTTATTTTGAAGATTATCAAGTCTTAAATTTAACAGTCCTTACAGGTACAGGTGCTTAATCTTTTAGGAAGGAAGGTTTAAACTGACAGAATAAATACTTCAAAAAGATGGGTCTGATGGTGTGGTCTCTGAGAGCATAAATCAGAGCACTCAGACACTTTGGAAGTATATTGAGAAAGATGTAAAAAGCATTCATGATTCGGATAAAAACAAGTCTGGAGACGATCTGGGATATTTTGACAATCAAGGTGCTGTGCACTGTTGATAAGAGAATGAGGCACAGCTGGATTAAATGCAGCAGCAGAGTGTCACGAGCCTTTTGTGCCGAGGCTTTGTCTGCAGAGGCCGACCTGGCTGCTATCATCACAATGATATAAGAGAAAATAACAGCAACACCAGCAAAGACAAACAAAAAACTGTTATACACAGTATCATATATATGTGACTCTGGCACCAGGAACAGAAGAAGTATGCTACAAAGGGTCTTCATCTGCAAGCTCTCCAGCGCTTTAAATGGAAACTGTAAGAGCAAAACAACTCTGATTAAAGTGTTCAATAAACATAGTGACCACAGCGCCAAGATGGCCAATCCTGTATTTCCAACATTAACCATGGTGGAGTGCCTTAGAGGGAAACACACAGCCACATACCTCTCCAAAGACATGACTACCAGAGTGAGAGGAGGGACTTGAGCACTTAGAACAGCAAACATGATTAATACAATGCAAACAGGATACAACAACGTTACTCTGCAAATGGACAGCATGTAGAGAATCTGACTCACTGCCATCTGCAGTGTGTCTACAGAGAGGAGGTTAAACAGGAGGATGTAACGAGATGTCTCACGAAACACAGTTTTACTCCTCAGAGTAAACAGCATGAGGACATTAACTAGCAACAACATGCAGCATAGAAGTGTTACCAGAGAAGCAACGATCACTCTCTCCAGCCACGGCACCTTGTTTGTCTCAAGGTCAGAGTCATTCAACATCTTAGTGAGAGTTAAAGACACAATATCAACCTGTAAACATCAATCATTTCAAAATTTCCAAAATGCAAACATCTTCCAACCAAACACTGAAAGCATCCACAAACATTACCTTCATGTGCAGAAGAACAACAGGTTAAAGGCTGAACATGTTTGCTTGTGAGCAGAGCGGGTCTGCAGGGTTTATCTGCTCTCACACACTTTTTATCGGCTTTGCTCTCTATGATGTTCACGTCACACCAACACATCAACATGTGAAACTGCTTAGTAATGATGAGATGATGTAATCTGAGTAAACTTTTACTAAACTTACTGATAGCTGCAGATAAGTTGGAGAAATCTTTGTACAAAAAGGATAAGGACCAAAACCAATACTGGGTGTTCTTGACCTTCTGGGCCTCAGGCAGCACTACATTAAAAACAGACAGGGCTCTAGAGTGGAAGTCCCTGCATGGGTTAAAAAATCATTTCCAAATACCATTGACTGTTGACACAGTTCACAACAAATGTGGTTAAAAGTTAAACACTTCCGACAAATGAATCCAACCAATCATTGTGTTTGGTCAATGCATTTCCTCTCCATAGAGGAGTCATTGTCAAAAGCCAGCATCCCTGGTGGTATGGGGTACATCTGAGTCCATGACTCTGCTTTAAAGTTTTTGTGATCTACACGTCTCCAGCTCTTTTAGTTTTTACTTTGTCCTGGTAGCTTTTAATACTTTGATATTTTCCAAAGCTGCTCTGAAAGCAGCTTCTGCACCTGTAAATGTGAAAGAGCATTTACGTCTATTTCAGTATGTTACAGCTATTTACACAAATCCATAATGTATTGGATTTGACTCTGCCTTCCAGGTGGTTCTTGGTGCAGTTACAAAAGACATCAAGAGAATTAAATTTAAAAATGTGTTTAATGTAGTAAACTAAAGAAATAGACGTTGGCTATCGACAGCAGTGTTAGGTTGGAAAGGTTTGACAGGTAGTAGTGGTCAGTAGGCTCCTACTACTGGAGCAGACGAGTGCAGCACAGAGGGGACAACACTGGACAATAAAACCTGTGCTGACCGAACCGGTCATTTGCATTTTTTTTTAATGGCTCAGTAAGTAATGGTAAAAATACATGCCCATGGACAATAGTTTAACATCTTTCTTTTTTATCAGATGAAAGTTTTCAGTGCAGTTTGTAACCAGTAAGTTTTGTTTCTAAGTTTTGTCTTTGAAACAAAACAAAACTTTCTAGTCCTGTTTGGAACCACAAAAGTTTGCAACATCTCTCTCCCATAAGATTCAGCTTCAAACCAACACAAATCATTACTCATCCAAATGTTTACCACAAACAGAAATGAGAAAAGGTTTGGATTATTAATGAAGTGTAACGAGACCAGGTCAGATGAGAGGGTTTTACCCTCCCAGTGCTGTAGTTTCAGGAGGTAAAACAACACTGACATACACATTTACACACGAACTTTAGCAAATTGCACCTGCCAGTCAAGGAGACAAGTTTCAAAACTCTTGTGTTTCACCAACTTCTTTGGCAATCAGGAGGATTCCATTGCAGGTAAAGTTAGACAAGGTGCACCAGTCTTCTACAGGAATATTTATCTTTTATCTTCCCAAAGCGACCGGGAAATCGAGAGTCTCGCCTTACGGCCCAGCTCTTTCTTCACCACGACTGATCGGTTAAGCATCCGCATCACTGCTGACGCCGCTCCGATCCACCTGACATGATGCCTCCTTTAAATTTCACACCCATAATTGCAGATGAACAGAAACACTGATGCTAAATTTAAAAATAAATCCTAAGATTAAAGATTTATAGTCTGTAAAAAGCAAACTACACAATTTTCGTTTTGGTAACAGTGTTTGTTTATTGTACTCTTTTAAAGTTAAATCAGCTCACAGGCAGCTTTAAAACTTTGCTTACATAAAAGGTAAAATGTAAACTTCTTGCAACTTCAAACTAATTTCAGGGCTCAAAAATGAGGACTCAAGCCAACTGTTGAAGATGAAGATGAATGTTTTCTCTTTTTACTCTAAACTTTTTGTATAACTGTAACTTAAACCCAACAAATAATCACGTCTTGCCCCTCGATGAGGATTCCTCATGAACAAACCTCAAGAGACATGTATCATATGAGTGTTTACTGAAAACATTACTGACTGAGGGTTTGAATATTAAATGTGTCCTAATGAGTTATCAGGAGACTAGATCAGCTGAGAGGGTTCCTCTCGAGTATTTCACCACACTGACAGCATTTTTCCATCACAACAATTACAAACTGGATGATTTGTAAGAAGATGACAGAAGTTAAACTTTTTACTGACTCACTTCTTTTTTTATGAGGCTTTCCTTTGTCCTGCTTTTGAGTAAGGGGACGGTATTTTTGAATGTCAACCTATGTCTGTCAATTTGTAGTACAAGATCTAGCTATGGTCACAAAGGTTATACTGGCTTACAAGAGTCTTCAATTCAACTGGCAAGTTATATCCAGAGATGGTCTTTGGAAAATAGACGTTTGAGTGCTGCCAGCATTGCTGCAGAGGTTGAAGGGGTGGGGGGTTAGCCTGTCAATGCTCAGACCATACAGCACACACTGCATCAAACTGGTCTGCATGGCTGTCGTTGCAAGAGAAAGCCTCTTCTAAAGACGATTCACAAGAAAGCTTGCAAACAGTTTTCTAAAGACAAGCAGACTAAAGACATGGATTACTGAAACCATGTCCTGTGGTTTGATGGCACCAAGCTCAACTTTTTTTTGTCCAGCGTACAGTCTGCCTACAGTCAGGCATGGTAGTGGGAGTGTCATGGTCTGGGGCTGCATGAGTGCTGCCAGCACTGGGGGGCTGCAGTTCATTGAGGAATCATGAATGCCAACAACTGACCAGTGGCGGCTGCTGGTCTTTCAAGGAGGGGAAGCTCATTTTTCTGGCCTACATCATAACTGTGTTTGTTTATTTGTATGTAACAGAATAGAGTCGCCAAACACAACGGCAGTCGTTTTTAACAAAGACAAAAGTCGCTGAGGATCAGTAAAGTCTCTGGAGCAGTTAAGAACAACGGAATGAATAACTTGGAAAATGCTCTGGTAGATGTTTTATTCTTCAAGATCGCTGATTCGCTTGTTTAGCTGTCAATCAAAAAAGGATTTCGCCTCAGACAGCTCATCCAATCATGGATGCAGAAGCTCAGCGTCCGCGAGAAAGTTGGGACCGCCCTCTTGCCAAAGAACTCCAGAGACACTGAGCGTCCGATGGGCGGGAGAAAGCCCAGCATTTATCCAATGAGCGTCCAGTTTTGCTGCTGGAACAACCCACTTTGAGCTTCCACATTGAAGTCAGCAGATGCTGAGCGTCCGGCTGTGTGAAGCGCTGAGGCGCTGCGAGGATGAATTAGAACGAAGTTTAGACCTGTGATTATCAGCTTCTTATCACAGTGTGATAAGAAGCTGATTCTGAACAAAAGATGAAGGCTTTCAGCACGTATTTAGGTAATGAAATGTACACACAGCAGTACGTATTTCACCACTTTTTCTTTTTTTTTGGGGGGGTGACATTTTAAGGGAAGTTGAGCTTCCCCTGCAGTCTTAGAACAATCGCCACTGATGTATGATATAATTAACTTTATGCTTATGACCCTAGAATTGTTAAAAACAGACATGAGAACGGAAAAATGACAACTATTTAAACCAATTTTAATCTATCCCACTATCAGCACATCTCTGTCCTCACCATTGCCTGCAGCTAGGAGATGTATCAACCCTCTCCTGTCTAAAACATTTGCTTAAATCCTGCCGTGTCAAGCCTCTTCAAGATTAAACACTGAATAAATTTGCCATGGGCTGCAATCCAACAGGACTTTAGACGGCAATGAGAGTATAAAGAGGAGAAATCAACACCTCTGCCAAGGTATCATAACTTCTTTATCTAGAAACGACCCAAATTAATGGTTTACCTCTGCTTGAAAATCATTAACTCCTGGAATTAAGATTCATTACATCAGAACTTCTTTTATTATGTACTTTCTTTCATAAATCATCTTGATACTGTTTTAAATCTTGGGCTTATACCTCTGTCAGCATTTTAAAGTAAACAGGTTGTGTACGAACTGCATCGATGTGGAAATTGTTTTGTAAGTAAGGGACTGTAATTGTGTAACCTCACAGATCAGGTGAAGCTGGCATACATAAGTCAGCTTTATCTCTCACACAGGTCAGATGCTAGTCTCAGCAGAAGACCATAACCACTCTCGTGCTTACCAATGCTGTCGAAGAATCTGCTTGACTTTTCCTGTTCCTTTTCTTTTTGAATCACAACGTCTTGTGTGACATAATGGGCAGCTCACAGATTAGAGATTTTGACAGCATTACATCTTTCCTTGGATCTTGGGGAGCCTTTCAGCTAAGGATTTTTATAGCACTGGGAATCAGCATCCTCCCAAATGGATTTAATGGAACATACATAGTATTTGTGGCTGACATCCCACCTCATGAGTGCTACATCCCTGAAAGTAACATCAGTGAGGTGTGGAGAAACGTGACGATCCCTTTGGAGATTGTCAATGGCGTTGAAAAGCGCAGCTCTTGCTCAAGGCTTAACCTTGAAATTGTCAGTAACTACTCTCAAAAAAATATGATCCCAAATGTTGATGTAAATGTGAGCGAAATTCCTCGGGAGAGTTGTCTGAATGGATGGATTTACAGCCGAGAAATCTACCAGTCAACCATTGTCACAGAGGTGAGTGATCCTAAATCATTACTTAACTGTTCTTGGAACACATTTTAGAAATCATCGTTAATAAATGGTATTTAGAAAAGCTTCTTTGTGGATAAAAAGTGACAAATGATCAGATCCAAGCTTGTTTTATCTTGTCTGTCTGAAAGAAGAAGAAAAGTCCTGTAAGTACTACTAAAACAATCGATGACAAGGTTGGTTTTGGTTTATTGAAACAGGAGAAATTAGTAAAATGCAAGCGATAAGTCTCTTTATATAGTGTTGTTGCTTTTTCCTATCTATAAAATGTTGAATTACATGATGTCACTGTTTGAATCCAGGATCTAGATGTTGAACAATGGACCAACTCACAGACTTTCTTGCTTAATTTTCAATAAAGCAAGAAGAAAAAGAGGTTTCATGCATACAAAATGATAACTATTTAAATATTTTCAAGGATATATGGACAAAAACAGTGACTCAGTAAACCTCTAATCACGAATCGTTGCGCTAATATAGTCTAACTACATGCTAATGTTTGCAGAGCTGGCGTACCTGCTCCACCGGCTTTAAAACTGATCTGTGTTTTACTATAAATTGGGTTAAAAGTCGAGATTATGATCCACATTGTTACTCATTCGGATAATTAAAGTAGGGATACACTCTGTTGATTTTGCAGTGGGACCTGGTGTGTGACGAAGCGTATAAAGTACCACTGGCCACCTCCATCCATTACGTGGGTGTCCTTGTTGGAGCATTTATCTCAGGTCAGATGTCTGACAGGTCAGTGGTCTTCACAGCAATGTCGAACTTTTTCAACTGTCGAATTGTCTTTGGTTTTGAAGGCATATTCACTGCTTTTCAGGTATGGAAGGAGGCCTACACTTTTTATCATGATGGCTCTTCAGGTCATTGCAGTCACAGCGCAGATATTCTCACCAAGCTGGGAGATCTTCACCTTCATATTCTTTTTTGTGGGCGCAGGAGGATACTCCAACTACACCGTCGCATATGTGCTGGGTAGGTAGTTTTCCAATACAGATATGCCACATGCCCAAATGAGTTGTTTTACCCCAGTGTTGTCATCCAGTCCTGAGTCCCCAGTATTCAAGTTAAGTCCAGGTCACCGTAGAAGAACCGGAGGCCCAGTCTATAAATGAATGATTGTGTGAACCTTGACCAGCTGTGTGAGAGCTTTTGGATGGGACGTCACCAACAGTCCAAGCGACTTTAGTAGCTCTCTTACTGTTTTTGGACTCATTCTGGACAGATGTCTGTTTAAGTTTGAGTTTGTCTCAGTCCTCTCCTTAATGGTTCTCATATCATATCGAAAATCAAATGCGCATCTGTAGAAACTGTCGTTGGAAGTGTTGCTGAACAAGACGGCACATGAAAATGCTTTCAGGCAAATACATATGGCAGCCCTCAAACTGAATAAATGAACTGGGCCTTTCTTTAAAAACTTACAGTATAATTTTTTTTTTTTTGAACAATATATTTATTGAACTTTTACATATACAAGTATACAAAAACATGGACAGTTGGACAATGAAATGTATGAAATGTATGAAAAAGACCATACTTCGAGTTGTCCAGACAACTATCAATAACAAAATAAGTAAATAGAAAGTAAAATATAAAAAAGGACAGGGTGACATGAGACAAAACAGAAATGAATAAAAAAATAAAATAAAACATACATATACTCTCTCTAGTATAACATAAACTTTAAAACATTTTTGATAACTTCCTTTTTTGATCAACAGGTACGGAGATCCTAAGTGTCAAAGCCAGAGTGGTCTTCTGCTCCCTGGGTGTTTTTATGGGCTCTGCTTTGGGCTACATGGCGAGCCCAGCTGTAGCTTACTTCCTGCGGGATTGGCGGATGCTGTTAATAGCCATGGCTGCTGTAGGCCTGCTGTATGTCCCTCTGTGGTGGTAAGAAGATTCAAACTTTTGGTTTTGCGCTGGACGCGGTCAGCACTCTTTGTTGTGACAGAGGGAGATCTTTCTTGTTGGGCAGCATCCTGAGTATGAAATCTGTGATGAACCTGTTACAGTTTGGCACACTTGTGTTTGTGGACAAAAATAACTTTATGGCTGTACAGGATAGCAGATTGTTTGGGTTTAGTGCTCTTATCTAACGTCTCTGAGTATCCTCTGTTAATGTTTTGTCTGTGTATGTTTTTTTTTAATGTCTAGGATTGTTCCAGAGTCTCCTCGCTGGCTCTTCTATCAGGGAAGAGTGAAGGAGGCTGAGGCCATACTGAGAGACGCTGCCAAAATGAACAAAATCAAGGCCCCAGAGGCCATTTTTACGACAGCTGAGGTAAGATTCTCAGTTGTTTTATGATTAACATGTCATAAAGATAACGGTGCAGTTGAAAACACACGTGCACGGGTTACAGTTTCATGCGAGGTCAATCAGGTCACAACCATCTCTGACTAAGGATTACACTCCTGAACATATATGTGTTTTAGATAACAACTCTCATACCTGAGCCCCATACAAAGAAACAGCAAACTGCTTTAGCTCGTTACACATTGTCAAGAGATTTTTTCCAATGAAGTTATTTTCAAGCTTGCAGATTCTGAGCAATCATTAGTCAAAATGAAGTTTAATCATCACCACAAACCTGTACAGATACTCCAGCTTAGTCGGGGCAGTCAGTCCAACATGTGCGCTGTGTGCAAAAAAGAATACATGGAAATAATGCTAACTTTGCCCTTTGGCTGGACCCATCAGAGGAACCTCCTGGATCAGCACACATCCACACTCACACACACACATAACCAAGAATGATGGGGGGTGACAGCTAACTTTGCCCTTTGGCTGGACCCATCCACACTCACACACACATACACACATAACCAAGAATGATGGGGGTGACAGCTAACGTTGTTATGACAGATTCACAGAGCTGTCACATCCAAACAAGAGACAGACAAGATCTGCACATGGATTTCAAAGAACAAAGAAAGTGATTAAGAGTTTGATCTACGGTCACTGTGGGACTTCTTAGGTTCAATTGTTTCATCTGCACCTGTTTTTTGTTGTAGATTGAGAACGCACTGGCCACGAAAGACGACAAACCTACGATCACAATTATCATAAGCAACTGCACTGTTTTTTCTCTAACAGTACTGTGCTCACTGCTGTGGTAAGGCAACCAATTTCTTACAACTCATCAGATTTACACATGGACCATAAAACTATAGGGGAGAGTGGGGTAAGATGAGCCATTTTTCATATTTCGCATCACTCCATCCATGTATGGGCTAAGTTGAGTTTTGTAAAAATCCATTTTAACATGAGAATATCTTTAAGTGGTTCAGAACATTTATAGCTGTATTTTTGAAAAGAAAAAGTAACACATTTTAACAATCTGATCTGAAACTCTGATCCTCTCATCAGACTTCTTTACTTACCCCAGAACAACTATTATGACTTTATTAGTCCTCTAAACTAAAATGGAGGACTTTTATACTAGGTTTTTGACCTCATGTTGTGTCTCATAGATACCACAATTGATGTATAAAACAAATTTAAAATGATCTTTTTTGTTCTGAACACAATTCTGAGAAAACTTCAGACAGACTAAATTCACTTTTAATAAGAGGGAAAAATGTTTTTTTTGTAAATAAATGTCTAACCCCTTCATCCATGATGCCCATCTCCTAAATATTAGGTCACATGATCAATTTCTTTTACCATTTCCAAGCAACAGGGGGTGGCTCAACTTACCCCACTCTCCTCTAATGGTTGCACTTTTACAACACATAACCAGATTTGTGATATTTCAAACAGTTTGATCCCAAATTTCTTGTTTTCACTGTCTGTGCAGGATCATCATCACCATCGGCTACTACGCTTTAACTCTCAACACCTCAAACCTGCACGGCAACCCTTATTTAAACTGCTTCCTGTCTGCGTCGACAGAAGTGCCGGCATACCTGATCGCTCTTTTGCTGCTCAGATTTTGCCCCAGGCGCTTTTGTCAGTCGTCTACGCTGATGCTCGGAGGAGTTATGATCCTCTGTGTTAACCTCATCCCAATGGGTAATTCAAAAATAGTGGAGCTGTTGGTTTGTGGCAGTACATCCACCAAAATCCAAAGCTGGTGGGGTTCATCCTCTGGGAATCATGAAATTGTACAAAACTTGTATGAAACAGAAACTTCTGTGCATTATTATTTATTATTATGTGACACATCCTAATGCTATGTTCCAATTTTGCCTGTTCAGTGTTGTAAATACATGTTTAAATGTCCTCTGTTGTCAAAGGTCTTCCAGCGGTGTCCATTTCTCTTGAGATGTTGGGGAAGTTCGGGATGACATCTGCTTTTTGCATAGTGTATGCCGTCACATCCGAGCAGTTCCCCACTTTTATAAGAAACACGGCCATGGGGTGTTGTTCAATGGCTGGTCGCATCGGAACAATCATCTCCCCCTTTATCATTTATCTGGGTGAGTGTATGCAGTCTAACGTGAGTATTTCCAGCAATTAGCCAGTGCCGGGGCAGTTTCTCTGACCCAGACTGTGACATTTATCGGAAATTCATAATCTAATCCGAGAGACAATGAACCTGCAAAATGATGGTTAATTAAGGATTTGTCTCCGGCATTCTTGATCTACAAATTGTCTAATGGGTTTTTAACTAATAGACAAAAACAGAAAATTAAAGACAATAGAGCGGGTAGTTGTTTATCCTTTTTCAAAATTTCAAGACTAAAATATTTATGGAGAAAAGTCTTGATCTTCTCTTATATGTTATTCTTCTTTTTTGCAGGTCAATTTTACAAATCCCTCCCGTACATAGTGATGGGAGGGGTTGCTGTTATTGGAGCCATCTTATCTCTCCTGCTGCCAGAGACATTTAACATCCCTCTGCCGGAGAGTGTTTCACAGATGCAGCAGATATGCAGGTGAGCAATAAGATATCAAGAGATGTTTACCGGACACAAATTTTGCTTAAGTTATTGCGAAAATTCAGATTTACTTGTAATTCGACTTTCAAGTACCAGCAAGAGCTTTTCTATTTGATTAAAAAAGAAGAAAAGTGCAGGTGGGGATCATGCCTTAAATCTTCCAGTTCTAAGACAACCCTCTGTACCTCCTCTATCCATGCTGAGAAATGGCAGCATGTAGGCGGTTGAAAAAAAATACTTTTGATAAACTCGGGTTTCATCAAAGCTTTTAAATTCTGTTTTTATTGAAGTTTATTTAAAGTGCAGCTCTTCAAAGCGTTGCATATCTCATTAACCGTAAATTTGCCATTTTTGCACCAGCTTGTTCTGTTGTTTTGTGTGTTTGACCAAATGTTCTCCCAATGTTGATACAGGGGAAGAAAAGAGAAGGAAAAGGAGGAAAAGAAAGCCGATGCTGGAGGAAACACAGCTGATTATCAGAAAAAAGAAACCAAGTTGTAGTTCATTAAATGTACATAAGACATTTTTTCAGACTTTTTGCATAAAGCATTTGTGCATATTAAAAAGTTTCTTTATTTAAAGTTTTTTTTTTTCATGAAGTTGGTTTGAAGTGGTTTCTGCTGTAACAAGTTTCTATTTGTAATGATATTAAAACAGTTTGATACGTATTTTAAACAGATTTTCAGTTTGTTTGCGCTGAAATCCTCTACACTGTTTGAGTGTTGAAGCCTGAGCTCTGTACAAAAGAATAGTAACTTGACACGTTTAAAATGGGCACAATAAAACTGAAATGTTATTCATCACAAACCCACTGATAACCCTTTATTTGAGACCTTTTTGCAACAATATCTGAATCAGAAATAATGATGAAGTTTGAACGTGAAAATTAAAAGAAAGCATTTTAAAACTAGTGAGTAAAGTGAAGTCACTAACTGATATCCAGCTTCTGATCCAGGGTATAATCATTCGCATCCTAAGGCCTCCACTGAATCACCCCTTATCAATACAGGTGACTGGAGCTGGAAAGGCATAATCAGCACCCATATACAGCACACAGAGTGTAGTTTAACCCCCCAACCAGCAAGTGGCAGCGAAAGAGCAACATTTCCTTGAAGTGCAGCGGAGTTTCGCAGCTCAAGGAAGAACATTTATTATCATTTCTTCATGGAAATGGAATCAGACCGAGACGCTAAGGCAGAAGAACTACCGCGAAATGATCATTATGACGATTATTACTTCACACAAACAAGCGGCTGCTGGAGGAGATTGGGTGAGTTGTGTTTGGTCTCTTTGCTAAAGAAATTAGGCAAAGCTAAAAAGATGTTTGGTGGCTAGTGCTGTGGCTGGGACCCTATATGTACTGTTGATGAAGTTAGGGGCTGTTCTGAGCATTATTTGTAGCTATAGAGTGGCGTTTTGGTTGAGGTGTGCGCATGGAGTGATAGACCGCTGTGTATTTCTGGTTGGTGTAACTAGAGAAGCAAGCAGCCGGCAACATTCATCTCTGGAGGGGATGTCTAACTCGGTGCTAGGGTGTGTTTGACCATCCTTTAATATACTAGAAATTGTGTTATCTTCAAAGAGTTGGTGCAGTTACACCCCTTATGCAACATACGTTTGGGTACACGCGTTTTAAAAACATGTTGCTGTTACGGAGTAAACATTTCACAGATGTTCGCTGTAAAATTCATTTTAAAATCTTGTAGTTTGCCTTTTATTTTGAAAGTCTGCAGCGGAAATCCTCGCTAACGTTGCATTTAAAAAAAATGTAATTTCGTTTTTATTTTATTTTATCTTATTTTAGCTCTGAATTTAGTGCATGTGTTGTTTATCGGATGACATTTGTGTATAAGTCGGTGTTGTCGGTGTCACTACCGGTTGTCCCACGTTCACGTATGTTCCATTTCATGTTTGGAAATCTACTTGAGCTGTAATGTGCAAAGTTTTAACTGTTGTGAATTGTTCTGTGTGTTTTAGATCTGTTTGTTGTGCCACTTTTTTACCACTAGATGGCAGCATAGCCCTTATTTTGGTTCTGTGCTGGAAAAAAGTAGTACTCATTTGATCATATGAAAAAGTTGCGTTGCAGTGTTGAAGGATTTATGAGCACTGTCCTCAATAATTTCATTTGGTAACTCAGAATTGTTGTATTCTACATATAGATTTTGTCACTTTGATTAGTATTTTTTTGTACATTGATCAAAATTTACCATAATATAGTCACTGTAAGTCAGAAATGAAAGATCTCATGCTGTATTTGAGCAGGAAAAGAGGCCTGACTGGTTTCTCATCCTTTCTGAACAGCTGTTTTTGTCTGTTTTGGTCGCATGTTGCAGAATAAACAAAGTCTGACTGCTGTATCTATATAGTCATAGCAGTCAGAGGCACAAATAAAGAAGAATCAAACTACCACACCAATACAGATCTTATTCTAGTGTAGTGAACTTACAGAATTACTGTGAATTCCTCTCAGATGATTGTTATAAATCTATGTTATTTACTCGAGCAGACACTGACGGTTGCTTCATTTCCTAAATCTGTCTTGATTCAGTACGGCACTCCAGTGGACACAGATTTTTTTGTAATGCCAGCTGTCTGCATGATGAGTTTTATTTGGCCTTTGACAGGAAAGTGTGCAAAGTGGGGACAGCTGCATCATTCACTGAGCATTTTTTGGTCCAAAAGAGGTCCAATAGACGTCTAAATACAGCATCGAAAACTGGTCTAAAATCAGGCTACCACAGGTCTAAAAATAAAAGTTTTTTAGACATCTAAATTTAGACCAAGTTGAAACCTGGACGAAATCTGGGCTATAGCTGTATTACACTGTATATCGCTCAACGGCTATCATAATTATTTTGGTTAAGCACTGGGAGATCAGTTGTGCAGTTGCTTTTTGAAATAAATAGTTATTGAAAAATGGGTTAAAGTGCAACGTCTAAATTCAATCTAAGCATATACAAAATCCAGATGGTTGAAATTAGGTCTAAAAAAAACAGTCAATGTCTAATAGCCGTCTATTGCTCAGTGGGATATTTAATCTTACAGCAGTACAAACTGTCATGCAGTTACAAAAGGAGATATGTGAGCTGGGTATGACTGCTGAAGACAGGAGCAGGAGGAGCAGATGTGTGTGTCAGTAAAGCAGAGGGACAGAAGGAGCAAAATGGAAATAAGGTTGTTAGCTTTAACAAGGATTTTCAAAAACATTAAAAAATACGGAGGCTCACCACAAGGGTGCATCCTTTCACCCTCATTATGTACACCGTTGGATGCTGCAGCACTGAGGAGGGACGCTTTTGTTTTCTGTTGTGAGCGAAACACAAAAGTAGTTTGCGTGTCACATCGTCATGGTCCAGGAAAAACATGCCAACCATCAGGTAATTGTCACACCTAAGCAGAAGCTTGGAAACTGTTATTTAGTGATTACATATAGGGAACTGAATGTCTGGCATGCCACACTGAAACCAATGAGAGTGGAGAACAAATAGGTGGAGGAATGTGTCAACTGTCTTTGATGTATTGTTGGAGTTAAGTTGGTTGGAGACGATCTTTTACGGACGTGACATCAGTGCACAAAATATGTTTCTGTCTCTGGAGTCAGAGGCATCATGTTTTCTGAGTGCAGCATGACGACAAAATGAGTACAGGAACTACTTGCACCCATTCATTTGGCTGGGGTTAAAGTTTTCCAGATGTCTGAAGTGCTTCCTTACACTGAGCCTCGTCCTGTGCCTGGCTCACGCTGGTAAATAGTGCGTCGGAAAGTTCAAAAGGTCAAATATGCACCCTTGTTTTGCTGGGATGATTTAGTGAAAACACACTTACCAGAGACGGTGTCGTGCACGTGGATGTGAGATGGTATGCACATCTTTCCGAGCTGTGGCGGGGTGATTGAAAGTGAACACACACGGAGCAGGTTTGGGGTTTCCACCAATGTAAACAAACCATCAGCTGAGTTTAGGGGCTTGACAGTGACCCCAGCCTTTGTGCGTTTTATTCTGCTTTGGTGGAAAATTTTAACAACACAGTGCCACACATCTCCTTTCCAGGTGGCTTGATAGTTAAAGCTGCTGTAAGGAGCTTTGAGTTTATTTCAGTTTTGGTTTTACTCCTCTTGCTTGTCATGTGCATGAAGTCGTGTTATTTAATAATAATAATAATAATAATAATAATAATGATAATAACTTTATTTGTATAGCACTTTTAAAAACAGAAGTTTACAAAGTGCTTTGACATGTAGTCATAGAGCACACGGAAAAAGACAGATAAAAACAAAAAGCTCAGTTAAAACAAAATTGAAAGCCATTTTCACGTCATAAGGAACCCAGACAATACAAGAACCATGCAAAATGAAATGAGACCATGAGGACCTAAATAAAAACATAAAATAGTTCAGAAAAAAGAAAATGCAATTAAAAGGGGGGTTGAAGCGGAAACAGGATATTAAAAATATAAAAGGCAATATCAACAATGATGATAAAATAATAACAGATAGTACTTATAATAATAATAGTAATGACAAAATAGGGCAACAGAAATGAGCAAGAGATAAAACAATAAAAGAGTACAAGCATAACAAAAGCTAAAAAGACAGTAAAGCCAAAATAAGATAAAAGACGGTTAGTTAGGTATTCAGACAAAAACCAAATCCTACTGTCTTTTGAGTGTAAAATGTGTCACTTATTGTAAAACTTCGCCACAGAAAAAATAAAATCTGCTGTTTCTTCAGCCTCCTGACAGTCCCATACCCCCTCACAGTGGTTTCAGGCGTCAAAAATTACATCCTACAAGATATCAGTCTAGTAACAGTTTCCGTCTGTTTTTCAACCAGTTAAAAACTCCTCACAGTGCCTTTAAGTTCTTGAAAATTTCAGGGCCTGAAAGTTATGAAATTATCTAGAAATTCTATGGCGTTTGCCCCTGTCAGGTCCATTGACCCTGAGCAGGTAACAAAAAAGGACAAAAAGGAAGCACAACAGCACAAAGGCAGTTCAAATAAAGGATTGATGGAGCTTCTTGAGATTGATTTGGCCTTGAAATGACTGCAATGGCTGATTTTTCAGACAATTTAATGTTGTGATGCAAGTTACAATGATTACAGGATGATTTGTGTGACACCTTTATCACCGAATGACAAAGAAAAACGTCCCGCTAAAGTCATCTCTTGGCTGAGTGAGTTTTAAGGACACCCATTTCACAGTTTCTAAACAATTAATAAATAAAGTAGAATCCTCATATGCACAAAACAAAACCCTTTTTGAGGTTAGTTGTATGTGTGAAGAAACCTGCTAATTTATTTTCCTAGATCTCTTCTTACCTCAAAAATTCATAGAGAGCTGATTTAATAACGCCGAGTAACGTGAATTTGGATCAACAAAAACACCTGCGGTTGGAGAAGAAAGAAAGAAAAAAAATAATAATTTCATCAGAGCATACAGGGCCATTAAATGTTCAATCAGGTGATATTTCTGGAAAGCTTGAAAATAAAACAACATAAT